TCCCCAGACCAGGTGCGGCCCCCGAGAGGACTAAGTCTTTTGTGGTGGGCGCCCGTGGCGAGCGATCATCTCCGTGAGAGGGTCGACTGCCCTCCTCATCGGGTCGCTGGGGTCGCCGCCGGTGGCGTCGATGATGATCCTCCTCACGGTCATCCCAGTGGGAGTCGTATACTTCGTCGGGGTCCTGGTGCAAAGCGACGGGCGGCCGTCGTCGCCGTGCGCTGGTGAGATCGGCGTCGCTGTCGCCGGACGTGTAGGTGAGACGACGGTCCTGATCGAGCCTTTCGAAACCCCTCCGAGAAGGAGGGGGGCCTAGCGCTCGGGGATCTTTGCGGTGCGTCCATTGGGAATCGTCAATTCCCGTCAGGCTCAGCGGTCTATCGCGGCGGTAACCGCCCCGGTCGGAGCGCAACCGCGCCGCCGAATCCTTCTCAAACTGCTCGCGAGGATTGGTGTAGGTGTAGGACTCGTAATCGTCAATGTCTTCACCCTTGCGAAGCTTTCCCATCGGCGGATATCGCCACCGGTCATTGTGTTCGTAGCCCCGGTAAGCGCCGTGGGCCATCCGCGACCTCCCAGCTCGCGCATTGGGGTCCAGCCGCCCGTTATCGCTGGAATAATCCGTAGGCGCGAGGTGGTAGTGCCTTTGATGCCGACTCGTAGACGCGGGCATCAGGTACCGTTCGTGGTTCGGAAGAGGACTTGGGGTCCGACCGTGGCCTGCTGTGATTACCGGAGAGGCTCTTGGATGAAGATTCTCCGGTCGTCCATCTGCCACCGAGGTCGTGCTGCTCCGCGGCCGAGAACGGATAGCGTACTCGGTCCTCACTTTTGTGCCATGATCCGAGTCTCGGTAGGACTTGGATGAAATCGGCTGAGCCTCCAATCGCGGTTCCCGCAGGTACCGGGGTTCATAAACCGGGGAAGACGCATAAGACGCCGGGAGCCCCTGACGCACGGCTGAGAGGTCGTAAGGGTCGTAGGGGGAGCTGAGAGGGACCGATCCGGTGGAGGCGCGCATGGGGTCAACCATGCGCGAACTGCTCGGAGACATGGTGCGATAACGCGCTTCAGGGCTCATCCTGCACACACTCTTCGCAAATAAACCGGAATAAGCGTGACCGCGGGTTTGAATGATGTTTGTAGTTCTTTCGATAGTGAGAGGGCAAATCTGATCAATTTGAGCCCAGGGATTCGCACACAAAAGGCGGGGAGATCTCGGGAGCTCGAGCGCTCGAGATGATCTTTTAAATCACGGCTCTAAGTCGAGCGATGCAAAGAGTGGATCAAGAAAATTGAGTCAGAGCACAATTGGAGCAGGGTCCGGGCGCAAGAATTTTCCTAAGATGAGGGCCAAGGCGCACAATCGAAGGAAAGAAACAAAGAGAAGGAAACAGATGATTGCAGAAAGTGAGGGGCAAAACAAAGAAAGCGTCTGAAGCGCAGAGAGAGAAGAGCGAAGATCCAGTGCGGTCGTGATCTGTCAGTGCCTGATTCGCCAGGCGCCGACCGAGGGGCGACCGAGTCGTCGATCGTTTCAGAGTGCGGTTTGGGAAGAGTCTTGACTCGATATCAATCGAGTCGATGCGAGGAACAATTGGAGGAGTATTCAAGCCAAATAAGATCTGGTTGAAGAGATTCAGAGGTCAGCAGAAGATAAATCAAAAGGGAACCCATGCAGATGGCGACCGGACTCATCGGATCTCAAGCCCAGAGTGACGAAATCGAGTCTGACCCGGGCAGTGGAGTAGGACAAGACGCACAGAATGGATGAGAGACCTGGGATCAAGCGAATCACAGTAGACTTGCCTAGCCAAAGGGATGAGCGTTATCCATCGTTCCATTTAGGTCCCTAGGTAAGTAAGATGTTGAAGTATATATCTGGATAGTTGAGAAGAAGAACCATGGAAATGATCCGCTTGGGTATCCCCAATCACGGGATCCAGCGGTTCATCGTCTTCTTTTCCCCACTTCAACTCTCTTTCACTCTCGTCCTTCTTCCTCCCATTCCGACCATACGGGTCCCTCCCTGCATGGAATGAGGCTCTGCAGCATCACTTGAGGGTTACACTTCCAGGTCGATACTACCGAGGTGGTATGGTTTCGACTCTTCCTCTGATCCCAGCGATCGGGGCGTCTCCACATTCCCCTTCCCCGGCCCCGCCCCTGGTCCATTCAGATCCGTCATCTCTTTCATTTCAGTTGCAGGCGTGGTCAATCCACGTCGTCATTGGCACACACGGCTGAAGTCGGACAGCCTTAGTCCTAACTTGGCATGCTTCACTTCCATTCCTTGTCATCATCATCGTCATCGTTATCTTCGTCTGGTTCCCGTCTCGCACTATCCTTCGATTCCCGTGCGGTCGGGGTGGGTTTCCTTGTTGCCCGACGGGCGAAACACCCCTGTCGCATATCCCCCACTCCTTGCTGAAAGTCACGAGAGACAAGACGTCATTGATTCCCATTGGATCCCTCTCGCTGGGTTGGACCGGTTCCGAGGAGAACCAAGGAGTTCGGGGCATCGTGCCGCTGCATCGTTCCGCGTTCTAGAAACGGGATGTATGCATGGCTTCCATGCATCCCCCCGGTGAGTAAGTTGATCTAGACTTTTCAATGTTGGATTACATGGTAACGCATCGATTTAGCTGGTGGCTTCCCGGCATTAACCGTCGTCCGGAATGCGGGCCATCGGTCGTCTATAATTGGGGTTCCCAAAAGGAAACAAGACGGGCTCAGCCTCAGTTGGCCGAGGGTACTCGGGCGCCAGCCTCGTCTACCTCGTCGCCTGGGCGCCTGATCCGTCGCAAGGGCGTTATTGCGCCTACTTTTCACCCCCTGCCCTGCGCGTCTACTATGCAATATCGGCCTTGGGCAACTATTACCGCCCTGAAACAATCGACGAACCGGTGAAGCTCCCACCAGGGTAGTCCCACCTCTCATATCCATGCCGCGAATCTCGAGTGCCCTGATGCCTCACCGACATTCCCTGCGGCCGGTGCGGGATTTTCCCTTTACCCCCCTGTTGCCGTGGTGGAAATGTCCCCGTGAACTCACGCGGTGCTCATCCGTTTCATGTAAACGGGAGGGGGGCGCGGGGGCAACCAGGCGACATAGGGGTGAATATCTACGACGCTTGGCACGGCAACTGAGGGATCGCGGGACACTCTGTCATAGAGGCTCGTGAAGGGAACGATGTACCATCGTGTCCATGTCCGAATATCCTGGGCAGACGGCGTAGAGTCGCCCGTTGGTTTCCCATTCACATCCGTTTCATGAGAACCACTGCGGTTCAAAGTCGAGGTCCGACGTCCTTTCACTGGTAGTTTGCACTCCTCTAGACGGGTATGTTAAGGCTCTACCGCACTATGTCGGTATGCCGTCGCATGGGCTAGTTCTGGCCAATACTGGATGGGCAAAGAGCCCTTCAAACGTGCCCGCCGACACCAGGAACCATGCAGGACGGGCACACGAAGATCTACAGAGGTTGTTCACCCGCCACATACAAGCTCAGCCACACTCTCTGCGTCTGGGGGAACCGATCTGGTGACAAAACCTTTTGGGCGGAAGGGCGTGTCTAGAGTGGCCTGTCCTACATTGTCATGAGTACGCGTGAGGCCCGTCGCTCTTGGTCGAGTCATCTCGGGAATTTGAAGCGAGTCACACCAGCCTCATCTACAGTGGCTGCGCACCTTTGACGCCCTATGAAGACTTGGTCGCTAGCAGACCGCTTGGGTATTCAGGCAAGAACGTCTGGTGGCTAATGGATTGTGGCTGATACAGATGCAATGCGTGTATCCCCAGGTTCTGTCTCCCAGTCGTGGCGATTGCTTCATCAATGCGCGCCTGAAGGGCAAAATGGGAACCAGACGCGCGTATCCGCCCTGTTGGGCTATGATGGTTGAAGGTACAAACGGTCTTTGACGGAGACAAACACGATTTTTGGATATATTTAAGAATGGGACGATACCTCGACCAAAACGAACATCTCAATCCAATCCATCCTTCTCAACTATCCAAGCCTCCATATCAGTCGTTTCACTGGTTTGGAATCTGCTGTACCTTGCTGTGTGCTATCAATCTACCTGATACCAATTGCTTTGAAGGCCCTTTCCACTCCCGAAGCGTCCCACCTCATTCATCTACACGGTTTTCCTACAGTGTGATTCAAATCGATCTTCAACCTCACTTCCTCGCCATAATGAATACCAGCATCTACGTCCAGCCAACCACCATTCAGACCGGTTATCGCCATCAAATGGAGGGTTGGTGGATCTGCTGTCGCTGCGGTAACATGAACAACCCCGACCTAAGTCCAGAGCGGTGCAGCACCTGCGGCCATACGCAAGACCCGACCTGCCGCAGCGCATAATTCATATTTCACCTTATCGACCTTCCTATCCTGGTCGACGCGTGTAATTAGAAACGATGTTCATGATGGGATGTTTCTCAACGATGTCGACGTGATGATAGATTTCCTTTTCCTCCTCTTCTTCTTCTTTTCTTTCCTTTTCTTTCCCATGCTTTCTTCAATCTTGTCTACTTTAAACACTTGATTTGCTTTGTTCAGAGTGCAGCGTTCATCATGTACAAATAGACCAAGACCATGCAAATTGATTTATTTCCATCCGCATACTTACCTACTCACCTCCGTGCCGTGCATGTATGCATATATGCATATATTTATGGCGCAGATCATCCATCTTGTATCGAAAATCGAACCTATCAAGATGCTTGGGGTGCCAACTTGAGTTTCCAATCACATCCGCTGGGTATATTAGGGCACGTGTCTAGTGGTTTATTAGGGACCCTGGTAAGTAAGTAGATCTACGGAGATAATAGGAGGTAGGCGATTGGATCACGTGATAATGAAGAGGTGGGGAGGTAAGAAGACTTAGATTAAGAAGGGAACAAGAAGGACAAGGAGGGAACAAGAAGGGAATATAAAAACCAAGAAAGAGGCAGGGAGGAAAGTAAATCGATAATTAATTAATAACGAACAGGTCACGAACTGCATGACTCAAGTGAGTCAGCTAGCCTGACCATGCTAGACTAGAATAGAATAGAATAACCTGAGCTTTATGAGATAAGATGCACTAAACCAAACCAGACCAAACCAAACCGGGGGTATGTATGTATGTATGTATGCGTGCCTGTATGTAATTGTGTAGGGTGTGTGTATGCATGGATGGATTGATGATGGATTGATGGAAGAATTGATGGAAGAATGGATGGAAAGAAGAGAAGAAGAGAAGAAGAACACCAAAACCTATGCAAGAACCAATTTAGTCCAAGTAATCAATCAAATCACTTCTCATCCCGCCTATGACTCCTCCGGTGCCGGTGTCTATGACCAGGCTTACGCGCTCCCCCGTCGGGCGCGGGGGAATCGGGCGCTTCAAGCCCTGCCTCGCGCTTGAGGCGGTCGACGACCGGTCCGAGCGCAAAGACGCTTTCGGGGCGGCGGTGGTGGTCAGCGCACGGGCTGTGCTTGATCGGTAGGAGCCAACTGAGCAGAGTGTAGCCCATTACTTGCTGTAGGTTTGCGATCGGGCTGCCGAGGTCGAAGGGGTTTTCGCCGGGGAGGGTCTGTAGGACTGCGAAGACGTATTGCTTTTCTGGGGGTGGGTAGGGGACTGTTGGGGTGAGTGTTGTGGGTGCTGCTGCTGGAGGGGGGTGCCGGGGCTCGGAGTCGGGCGGTGCGGGCGTGTTGTTGTCTGCGGGTGGTGGTTGTTGTGGCAGTGGGATGGGGGATGGCAGGGGTGGGAGAGGATAGGTGACTGTGTGGTAGGTTGGGGCCCATTGGGAATTCGGGCCGAGTTTCGCGAGGATCCGCTCTGGGATGCGTATGGCGAGCGTCCAAACTGCCGAGCGACGGTTGAGGTTCTCGATGGTTGTGAGGTTGTACGTCGCGAGTTGGAGGGAGCTGAGGGTCATGCCGAAGGTGAAAAATCCAAAAAGGCCCGCCCTGTTGTTTGTTAGTGGGTGTTTAGAGAGGCGCGCTTGCAGACAACACTTACAGTCCCATAGCAACCGCCCAGTGGGCATTGGCTGCGCCGGTCTATCGTCACAGTTAGTCAGGTATTCCCACGTTCTTTGGGCCAGAGCTCACTCACCTCTCGTTTGAGCTCTGCCGTGAAGACGGCGCAGACGATCAAACAATAGGAGCAGAAGATCATCGTGTAAAATACAAACTGAATAAAGAACTTGAACGAAGTTTCAGACACCACGCCGCCGACCCTAGTCCCACGTTAGTTTGCGCCCAGCACACGCAGAGAATCCACTCACCAAGGGCAAAAGTGGTCCATCTTCGGAACGCATCGGTCCACCTCGCGACAGTGGTGCGCCCGGTCCGGTTTATACCGACGGCAGGTCGAACAATAAAGCGGTCTTCCGTCGGGCTGGCAGACGAACACATCCTTCGTGTAGAAATCTTCCAACCCCTCCGTGTCAGTGGAGAATGCGCCATCACTGGCCGGGCTATACTGGAGCCCGCTCTCCAGATCCACATCGGGCCGGTCCGCCTTCTCCGTTGTCCTCGATCGCCGACGACTCTTCTTCCTCCGGGGACCTCCTCGGTGGTGGTGACGTTTCGACGTCTCGTCGGCCGGCTGTGGATCCGGATTCAGCGGGGTGGCTCGAGGCAGGAACCCCGGGGCCCACATAACATTATATAATAGTCGGAGGTACGTGCCCAACACGGGTATCAAAAGGACGTAGAATACCGCAATGATGGCAGCGCCAGCGCCCACCCGTCGGCGGTGGTGATATTTCGGCAGCGGATTGATAAGATAGTCGACTGGGAATGGGGTAAGCCCGACGGACTCTCCAGCGGAGTTCAGGGGGGGGGGGCTGGATACTCACTGCATAACGGCTTTGTGATAGCATACGCCGCATATATGACGATCCCTAGCAAGATCGGAGGAATGACCCTCGCTACGGCCAGGTTCATGCGCCTGTCCGGCCGTGCCATCTGAACTCAATTGTCGAGTGCGGACCGTGGGCACCGCATAGATAGAGTTGGGTGTAAGATAGTCGGCGTAAGGGATCAGATGGGCTCCATCGTATAACACGACAACGAATCTTCAGCTGGGTATACACCACCAGCAAGGCTGGGAAATAGCTCCGAGCGAGCTGTGAGCTGAAGCGACACGATAGCGCGCAGGATTCGATAGTTGATCAGGGTCCTTGAAGAGCATCAGGAGCAGCCCGGAGAAAAAGGTCCAGCCGGAACGGGCACCAAGAACAAACAAGGCCAACAGGACAAATATGCCAAACTTGACAAACACAGCCGCAATGACGTCATGGTGCCTCACGCGCTGATAAGATAGACGATCGCGATAGTCGCGTTGATCTTCGACTGTCAGGGATGTTTCTACATGCTACGGAGAATAGTTGTTCTCGAAGCGACCCGGCCGGTGGAGATGTTAACGACAGTCCCTACCACCGCTTTCAATGCATCATGTCTAGGCTACGTCGAAAAGCCTCGTGAAATGCCCATCAGATCGTATTGTTCCCCGCACTATCCCCGATCTATCACCAAAACAGCCTTTCCGTCGGCAATCCCGTCAATAGGCAGGACACCCAACAGTCTTGCAAGATGTCCACGTCGCCCTTGTCTACCAGCTGATACCTTCTTGCGTAGGCACAAATTTTTCTGCCTGAGAGCGTTACGAATGCGATGCGGGAGAATCGAGTCCAATCTATGTGACGTCGAGGTTCGAGCCCAAGGCAACGCAAGCGCATGGTGATCGTAGACACACGAGGTGTAGGGTTGTTGGATCGATGCGACTCTGATACGGGACGTGTAACGAGTCGAGGAACCCTGCAGCATAAGCGCAACCATTGTCAAGAATAATCCATCTCGTAGATCAGCTCCGCGACCAGAAATCACGCAGGATCAACAGAGTGGGAGGAAGGAGGGACAGGGACGGGGGCCAGAAATTCCCAACAACCCGTCGCAAAAACCTCAGGGAGTGTAAAATCGGGAGACCGTTGGACAGACCCAGCCGGTGGGTGCAAGATCGCAGTCTGACACATACGACACACACATGACACGGCAGCTGACCGGAGACACCAGGCGAATCAGGGGAGACATGCGACCGAGAAAAAATCAAAAAGGAACAAAAAGGACAGGTTCCATGGTTGCGGAAAGATGACAAGATGCGTTCTTCCCCTGTCCCTGGGATGATTCATCAGGGCTGTTGTATTGGAATGAATAATAAAAAAAGACATAAACCTCAAATCATCAAACATAGCCGCGACCCCGACGCCCAAAACGGATAGTGTGTCATACTTCGTGAAGCTGGAGCAGGATGATGATGATGAGGATGGCTGAGCGACAGGGGGGGGGGGGTCCAAATGATGGTCTAGTGGCAGATGAGCAGACCGCAGAAAGCATGAGTAAACGCCCTGGGAGGCCCTACAAACCGTATCGAACTAACGGTCAAGATCACCGCTGAGTCGAGTCAGAGGAAGGTTTTTAGCGAGTCCAGCCAGGGTCTATACAGTTGCGTGCATCCATTCCGGTCGGTCTCTTGTTCGTGGTCAATCATTGTAGACAATCGGGGTTAGCGGGGAGAGAACGGTAGCCTCGTTGCCTCAGGTCGAAAGTGGAGCCTTATAGGCAACCGACGCCCCATAGAAATAAATCAAAAAATATATATTAAATCAATCAAATCAAATGAAAGAACACAAAATAAGGAAGTATTTTTGAGTAAAAAGAAGCCAGAATTCTGAAGAGAACAGGGATATCAACTATAGAATATTGCATGTCAATTTCATTGTAATCACCAAAGCAGTAATCAAACAATGAAGGGGAATAATATTCATTGATTCTCGTCATAATCAAAACCACCCGAATGGCGGAGAAAAAAAAAAAGAACGAGGGTCTCCAGGGCAAAAAGCTGGCGTCCAAGCCTCACTCAAGTCCGCCTTTTCGACAGCACTAGTGAACCTCCGTTGACTCAATTCTAGCGGTGTTGAATCAATTTCTCCCCCCCCAAATGCCTGTCAGACGTCATTCGGGTCGAATTGCTCAGGAATCCATCTGGGTCTACCAGCGGTCCAGAATCTGCAATCATGCCCCCCCTGGCCCTGAGGGTCTAGTTCGTCCCGACAGCAGCAATCGCCCATCGCCCTCCAAGCCACACCACCCGCATGGTCGCTGATCAACCCTCGAAGCCAGTCTTTTTCAGGAATCGGGGAGATCATTGAGGATGACTGAGATCAAACGGATTAGCCCGATTGGGGCACAGGCTGAAGCCTGCCTAGTTCCTAGACCTGGCACTGGATCTTTTTGCCTATGGCTGCACCCAGGGCGAAGAAAGGATGCCTTGTGTGAATCATCGCTGCCATTCGTCTTGCGCAGCTTCAATCGTCTCTTCCAAATTCTTATATATACCACTCTGATGTCCGGTCCTCAGGCTCTTTTTTTCCTTCATCATCATCTCGAACCAAATCCAATCTTGACTACTATTATCCATCTATACTCTCCTCCAAGCTCTATTGTTAGCTTCGTGTCGTGTCTCTGAATATCTACTTCGTCTTCTATACAATTGCAACACTGCTGTATCAGACCTGATCAGATCCATCGTGACCACAGTTCTATCTCTTGTGGTTATTCTCCCTGCCAGTCTTAAAGCTACTCCATTGATACGTCGCGATATTCTGTGACCTCTTCCTGACCACCGGTCAACAACCCTACCTTACACAATGTGCATCTCTACGAACTACGGCGCCTCTCCTCTGGCCTCTGCCATCCCGGCCGACATCCCGAACTACCACGGCCACGGCTTGACTGAGCCCGTCATGAACAGCTCGTCCAACCTCTACTTCTGCTGCCAGTGCAACGACGGGCCCAAACTCTACAGCATCCAACCCCGGTGCGTGAATTGCAACCACACCGTCTGCTCCAGTTGCCGTTCTGCCAAGTGAGTGGTGTGGCTGTTCTAGCTTGCTACCATCTCTTCGTCAAGGTGAGATCCACTGCTTACATCCTTGTCCGGTTGGATCAACCGAAGCTGATTCATGTTTTTAATTAGATTCTGAGGCTGCGCCTTGAGTCCTGTGCTTGTAATCTTCCTTTGAGCTTGGCTTTGGCCTTTGATTGTGTTATTTTGAGCGGCATTGAATCTATTATCGACATGAATTGGTATGAAACGGTTATGTGAATGATTGTTTGTTTTATTGTTCTTTTTGCCTTGTTCTTTTTTTGTTCTTTTTCTTTCTGTTTTCTTTTGCTTTTTTTTTCTTTCTTTTTCCCTGTGAAACAAGAATATTGCATTGGCATGCGACATAGATGAGAGGGTGTTTGGCTTGGGATTACTGTGTTTTGTTTCTTTCTTTGTTCAAATTGGGGGCGGCTAGCTAAGCTGTGCTTGCTGGGCTTGGATGTGCTATGCAGCCGTGAAGAACGCCTTGGGGTTGGATCTGGACCGTCAGATTGTGGGGTCTGCCCGTGTCTAGTATCTGACCCCTTTTACGACGACATCAAGACTGTTAATGAGCGTGTTCTGATTTCATCTTATGTTTTTCTGACATTCCACTCTGTGGCTTTGTTTTGTCTAGTTCTAATAGACAATCCATGACTTCATCCAAACCGTTGTTGCTCGCTACCGTAAACCCTTCCAGGTTAGTCAATTAGTGGGGTGGGAAAAAGAGCCCTAACTCGAATGGTCATTCTTATGGAGAGCCTTGCTGCCCGCTACCCTGAACAGCCACCCTGCCGAGCCACATGGTCAAGCGCTCACTCGTATTCTCATAATAATGTGTTGATTTTATTATGTAGTGTGGGTAGGTCAAACCAGACGGTCTCCATGGTTCAATTATGGATGCATGAATGGGTCCATTACTGAGGTGGGTAAAGTCTCAGGTACCCCGACCGACTCGACTTACCGTCCCTGGTTGTAGTCATCCATCATCCACTATACCTATGAGATGGTGGATCGGCATTGAATTGGATTGGATTAAATTGGATGGACAGGATTGGATCCCACCCGGACCAGACAGAGCCTCAAGACCCGGGGCTCTCTCTTCCACTTCCAGTGCCCGACGGACCGACCGAACCCGACTGGCAGTAATGAGGCGGTTTAGGACGCAGATCATTCTACCATATGCACGCCGCACCTGACCAGCCTGACCCTAGTGCCTGCTAAACTATCCCATCCACCGCCCTTTTCCCCCGCGTGGGGATTCTGTCGCTGGTTATTTCCGGGCGTTTTGGCGGTCGGTCTCGCCGGGCGTCTTTAGTATACTATACTACTGTTGTGGGCAGTGCCTTGTACTTTTGTTTATTTTATTTATCGTTTTTCTTCATCTTGTCTCGTTTAATTTGTCTTCTAAATGTTTATACGAGCCCGTTCAGCTATGATGTGAGAGAGATATAATTAAAACAACCCCCCTATCTACTGTAATATATATATATGACAGGCTTACACGCAAGTAGAGTACCTTTGGGGGCCAAGTTCCCAGAAAAAGAGGCAGAAAATACTCTACTCTTCCTGGTCGATTCCGATCCGATCATGTATTTGGCCCCCGTAGATCTCAGCAGCCATAAGTAGAATTAAATATCGAAGATTAGACAATGTACCACCCATACATCAGCATCCCCTGTCATTATCACACACCCAGCCACTACAACCATGTCAGCCTGAAAGCGTATATTAGATATCGTTGTACCTGATCACCCTGACAGGCCGGTAGGGAAGTATATGCAGAGAACACCGGGCGAAGTTTCCAGAAGATTTAGTTTACTATTCCCACCGCTCTTTGCATCACCTGGCAATCAATCCATGCTGGATGTACCATGGAGAGTTAATATACGGTGCGTCGAATCAAGAATATCACGCAAATTACTCCAGCTGGGGTCAGGAGGGACTCGTGCTGGAGATTGGATGGCGGGGATGGACTAAGATCAGCCTTGTCTCTCTCTCTCTCTTGCGCTGTCCCCCTCGTACTCTGTCTTCCGATTCTCTGCTCATCGGGCGCAGTCATGCAATCTGCAGCAGTCTGCAGCAGTCGGGCCAGGAACATGTCAGGCCGGCTGAGGTCGCACGAATGCAGTTACGGACTGGGGGGGTGGTGGCTTATTCCTGGTTGACACAAGATACTTGGTCTTGCTGACAATGTGTTTATTGTATATTACTTATTGATTTATTGATTTACAGGTTTACAGGTTTACGGGTTTACGAGTTTATTTATATCTCTGGGGTTTGATTATACGATGTGTAGTGTACGGATACTGCTGAAGTGATTGTTGTACGAGTGGAAAGTAAACGGTGGTATATATTTAAAAATGCGCCGTGTTATACCATACACATTATACTGTCTATCTACACCATTATCCAAGACCCCTGGATAATCAACCAAGTCGACTATAACTAGTCCTCGTGGGAATTCCCCGAGACAATCAATCTCAGCCTTACAGATCTACCATCCATAGCCACGTTGTCCAGTTCATCCGTCCCCTCATCCTGGAACCACAATCCTGTTCTTTGCCAGGATCCGTCTGCACAAAACCACCATCTCGGTTTAGATCTTCTAGTCCTACCCTCCATCCCACCATGTGGCCTGTCATTATGCATAAGACCACGCTGTTATAAAAAGCCTTCCATGATCGCTGATACTATATATATATATGGCCCCGAATTTCGTATCCCTGTTTCGTAGGCTGTTTCGATCTTTGTTTGGTTCTAATTTGGCCTTGGGGTGGTAGGTGTTTCGGCTTACTTGAGGATGGAGTGGTAAATGTTGCATTTGAGGGGGGGTGGGTGGATGGGGAGGGTCATGTTTGGGGGTTCTTCTAGGGCGGGGTTGGATTGTGATACGGGGGGGTTTTAGGTTGGCTTTGATTGGCATTTGGGGGGGTGTAATGTTGTGTTTAGGGGTTGGATTATATATTGTAGGTAGTGTTTAGGAGGATGATTTGTAGATTGCTTTATAATTTTTTTATTGGTGATAACATTGCGTTCTAGCCCTGATTATAGTCTGATGTCTACAACATTCTAAAACATCGTATACTACAGAACAAATTGCTACTGAATAGACTAAGTCTGCTAGGATGACTGTAAAAGGATCAAAAAAGTCCTGTGGAGGCAGATGATGCTAGCAGAATAGACCTTAATAATCCTGCTGCTGCGTTCTTCTCATCATTGACTTTCTCTCATCTGATCTCACACATCTCACACTCGTCAGCGATCTGAGTCCTTCCCAGACCATATTATGGCTGCAAGGACTGCTTGCAACAGATACCGCAGTATCTACTTCAAATGAAAGTATATTGCATAGACTGCTTTCTATTGTCTTTGAGAGTGTCTAACACTTTGGTCAGGATGAGATGGTCAACCGCTCAAGATTTATCCAAGAGGCTGACCGTGGATACTCGATCACTGTATATTTATTGAACTCTACACCTGTACGGAACCGCTTGTCGGCATATAGAAAATGATAGCGAATCCCTTTCGACTAGAACGAATTAATAACTGCCAGTTGAGACCCTTACTTATTAAGGAATACCAAGAGAGTCCTCCCCCGAGATGAAAGATCCAAATGAGGATGCATGGACCACAGATCTGCAAACTGTCTCCTCGATCCTACCAAACCCGTGGCCTAGTGCCCGTCGTTCCAGTTTGGGCATCACGCGATTGGTAAAAGCGTGGTGGGTGTGTTCTTCAGAAATCGCCGATGCAGAGGAGATTGTCAATCTCAACGGCAGAACAGAGAGAAGAAAAACACCTTGCAGTGATGAACATATGATTCATTTCCCCTTATTGTTTATTCCCATTGTTGTATGACGCAATGACGGGAGTTTCCTTGGAGCTGTTTGTTTGGGCTCCATCTTGGCACTCTGAACTTCAATCGTGTTGTCGATCTGCCTTTCTTCAAACCCTCTCGTCTTCTATCCCTGTCTCGTTCCTGTCCTTCTTCTCCTCCACTTCCCCTCTCCCATTTCTTCTTTCTCTTTTCTCTTTGATCGTTTCTCTTTTCCGGTTTTTATCATCGCTTCGACTTATATATTGCCATATTACTCAACCTGTATAATTCATCATTTCTTAATCTTTTGATTGATTTACCTATGATCATTGATTTATTGTCTATTATTTATTATTTATTTCATATTTAATCCCATCTAAACCCGAGTTCCCATCTATACTGAATATATTAATCGACATCTGGACTGGTCTCCTGCACATTTGTGGTTTCGTCCTCCGTGGTCGCCCCCCGCGGCGACACCCGGTGCATCACCATGTTTCGTCGTCGGAAGAGCTCCTCACATCACCGGGTTGGTCCTGCACTTTTTCCTTTTACTTCTCACTCCATTGGCCCTAGAACTTTTCTAATCCACACCTTTGAAGCATCCACTATCCCCTTCCAATTCCCAGTCCGCCCATTCCGCCGCCTCCCATGCCTTTCTCAACTCCCAACCCTCCTCCAGCAGCTTGTCCTCCGCCGCAGCCGCCACAGCCCTGCGCAATCGCACCCCGACCCCGACCCGCGTGGAAAATGTCGAGACCAAGCGCATGGTCCAGCGTCGCTCATCCTCCTCCTCCTCCCAGCACTTGGCCACCCCGAGTCTGTTGCGCCCCGCAAGTCGCCAGGACCTCCGTCGGACGCGCAGCTCGGGGTCCATGACCACCCGGACCTTTCGGGACCAGTCGCCGCGCCGGCCCTCGTCCACCACACTCCCGCGACGCCCGACACCCCCGATCCCGTCCATTCCGTCCGAGTACACATCGCGCAGTCATCCGAATGGGCGATCCTACAGTATGGGTCCCACCGTGCGGCCCCCATCGCCCGTCGTGGATACTTGGCGGGGGATGAGCGTCGATCGGGGGCGGAGGGGATCGTCGAACGCGATTCCGGAGCTGCAACGGCCGGAGAGCAGGGCTTCCATCAATTTCTCGTACCCCCTGAATTCGCGACCCACCTCGCCGACCGACCCTCCGCCGGCGACAACCTACGAGCGGCGGGACGCGGCGTCTGGCGTTTCACTGGCCGCCCAGGTGTCAAGTGCGCCGCATCCTCAGAGTCAGCAGATCGTCAGGCAGCCGGCCAACACGTCACTCCGTGGGATAACGAAGGAAAGATTCGTCAATCCTGGCCGAGGGACGACCTCTGTGGGTGGTACGGCAATTGCCGCTGCTCAGGCGGCGATTGTGCCCCGCAATGAGGAACATACCTCCCCGGCCGCCATGGTTCGGAGCATAGCGCCGCCTACAGAGCGTGGGGCTCGGGTTTCTCAATCTAAGCTGGCGACGGTACCAGATCGCAAGCCATGCCCCTATTCCGGTCCGATCTTGTCGCCGCCAACAGTACCAGAAGACCACCGGGAAGACGAACGTCCCCTCGAAAGTGACTCGGGAGACAAGATAGACACCCCTCAACCGGTAGGACTGGCGTCCCCGGAACCTCCGGCGGACGCAAAACTGCCAGAGACGCCCGAACGGCGACAGCAATCAGGATCGTCGGCTCTCAGTCCGCCTGAGTCTCACCATTCGCCGGTTCCGACACATCCACTTTCGCCGCCTACCTCGCAGCCCACCAGTAGCCCAGAGCGACTTACCCGCTTCTCCACCCACGTGTTAGTTGGGGGTCTAGCGACTGAATACCTGCACCGTCCCCCGCCTCGATCGGTGTCGCCCGTCAAGTCTGCGATGAAGGATTCGCGAAAGAATGCGTTCTCCCCGGACGGGGTGACGGGGGCTACAGTACGCCCTGGTCCGGCAATGAGCGAGGGTTCCGATGGGACCTCTATAGCCTCTGATGATGGCGTCCGCGCAGGAGTAAACCGAAGAAAGCCCGTCAAAGTCAGCTTCGACGACGAAGCCGAGATCATGGGCGTGGCCGCGAGCCCCCCGACATCACCAGAGGACGTCTGCCCGGATTCCCCTGGGCGGTCTAAATTGAAAACGGGCTGGTTTGGGGCGAACAGAAGGAGGAATGGCCCGTCGGCGCTGGCGGACGAGTTCACTGAGATGCTCAAACCCCGACGCGCTCTGCCTTCTTTCGGCAGCGTTCGCCGAGACCGAGAGGGCGACCAGTATGCGGGCCCGCCTGTATATGAGGAAAGCGATAATGAGTCCACGAGTTCGTCTGAGCTGGACGAGGTGCGGGACACGTCGAGTGAACCTGGTGTCTGGGGTATTCTACCGAACGCTCCGATGCAGCCTGTAAGGCAAACCCAGTTGAACCGCGTGCCATCACCGGTTCCTGAGGACGCTTCTGAGGTCTCCTCAAAGCCAAGCCCGCCCAAGGAAAATAGCCCAGCCGCGCAAGCGGACGAGGCGAGGACTGCGGAACAGACAGCAACTAATGGTCATCCCAAGCCGCCGCGCACGCCTCAATCGGGCCTAGACATCCCTGGGATTGCTATCCAGCCCGCCACTCCGGAATTTCAAAAGGAGCGGGCGAGCCTCGAGTGGTATGACGTGCCCGGCGGATTTCCACGCACGTCGGTGGAGGTGGACCGGGGCAGACATAATGGCCCAAGACGATCCCTTGAAAAGAGCGTCACCTTCCCATCCGAGGAGGCAGAAAGTGACGACGAGTCTGGAGAGAGTGTTTACAGCGATGCGGAGGAAACCTTTGACGGCAATGGCTTCGGCTCCATCAACGCTATCGTGGACACGCGCCGGCCTCAGCACCGGTCGGAGGGGCCTACAGACCGGAGCCCGCTGAGGCAGCAGCCCGAAGACATGCCCGAGGTCCCAGAACCCTGTCGGATAGCACGTGTGGTGACTCCGGCGGAGGGTGCGAATGTCCCGCGCTCATTCTCACCCGATTCCCCGCACCGCCTCCGCCCGTTTTCGTCGGCCTACCCGCCTTTCCCCACACGGCCCAGCGGCAAGGTCCGTTCCACGCCCGGGGATGGGACGATTACGGGGCCACCGAGACGGTCTATGTCGGCCGATGCCCGGAGGCATGCAGATGGTGACGCGTCGATGCAGCCTACCGCCCGTCAGCTTGCAGGACCACGAGGAAGAGGGAGACCGGTCTCGTGGGGCCCTGTCTCTCTGGCCGGGCCTGCGGGTCGGGACCAAATGCACAACCCGCTCCACCGCGTGCCATCCGACGGCAGTGACTCGTCCAGTAGCTTCAAGCGATCGCGCCGCGCGACGCACAGCTCGCATCGTACCATGCGACGGACCTTGCGCGGGCCCCCTTCGACGGAAGGGACACCGTCTACTCCTAAACACCAGACGCCGATGCCCTTATCGCACCGATCCTCCACGCTCACCCGACCAACCTCGTCAGGGTCGATCTCAGGGTCAGGCACCTTACGTGCAACACTACGAGGCCAAACCCCTCGCCGAGAAAAGCGCTCCCTCTTTCCCAAAGGAAAGCTCCCCAAGATCAAAAACGCCAAGCCATCCAGCGTACCCTTCACCTCCCGCTTCGCCGACTCCGACTCAGACACGGGCGGACATGCATACCCCCGCCTAGGGCGCAAACTCTCCCGACGATTCGACGACGTCGAAGGTCGCGCCGCAGACGATCTCCGTCCGGTACGGGGAATCCCCCGCCGCTTCGACGACGGCGACTCGACTGAGCTAGAAGACAGCTCGGACAACGAGTCACGAGCCGCCCGGCCCCAGAATCCACGCGCGGTAGCAAACGAGGCCGCAGACCCCGACGCGTCCCGGCAGCCTGCCCTCGCAGCCGTTGCCAAAGCCCGCGGCATGACGGAGTCGCAGCTTGAGGAGTTCCTCCGACAGCCTGTGAGCGGCCGCAAGCCGAGCCTTCTCCACCGGTTTAGCATCCGCAAGTCGAAGTCTCCAGCGAGAGGAGCCCTCCAGGCGAGTGTGGATGCCCCGCCAATACCGGAGTCGGCTCCGGTAGGCGGGGTCACGACGACGATCACTGCGAATGACGGCGTCGCCGCCCCAACCCCCCGACTTCTCAAGAAGGGATCCTCTAAGTCGGCGACTGAGGAGGGAAGCAGCAACGGCTGGCCTCTGCAGCCCCCGCCAATGGACGCGGGAGGGTCCCCGTCTACTCATGGACGGCCGCGGACGGCAGACGGGACTGTCGGGGCGGAAGTATCAGTACCAGCATCCGCACCGGAACCAGCGGCCAGTCATGCACTGGACGTGGGATTTGCAAGGGGGCGGAAGATCCGATTTCCGCGGTTGCGGAAAGCGTTTGGGTTGTAATCTCTTCTTCTTCTCTTCCTTCTTTCTTCTTTTCTTCTTCCTTCTTTCTTCTTTCTTCATCATTACTTTCTTTATTATCTATATTTTTTGTCTTATGTATTGAGATTAATGTATACGTTGGAGGACAAGGCTGTGGATGGAGACAGGATGATGATACCCTCGTTTGATGCTATATTATACGATACTACCTAATACTGATGGAAGGATGATGGATATGGTACGACTAATGAATAATAGGACTGCGATGCAATGCTATGCTATGCTCTGCATGATGAATCAGAATGGAATGAACAATCCTCACTTCTAGTAAAGACACAACTTTAGAAAAAATCAAGCAATTATCGTGAATACTCCTACTAATGATCATATTAATAACAACCGCTATCTATAAACAAAACACTACGGAATCAATAAATAAAATAAGATAAGAGACCTACCACGGAAACAGGAAGTAAACTGACCCAGCAACAACCTCGGGCGTCGGGCCAACCCAGTGCCCACAACCCATCTGGTGTCCGTTGTTTTTTCTTTCTTCTCGGTTCCATCTCCACCGCGATCGTTGGTCCATCTAGGATCCACCCGCTCAGATCCAGATCGAATGAGTGGTGGTCTGTGGTGTTATCGGACCCACTTTGTTTGGACCAACCGGTTCTTTTCGCTCAGCTCAGCTCAGCCGTACTCGCCTCTGTACTAACCTCTCGGTACCTACCTACCACACTAGGTTAGCTTGCTGGCTCCTGGTGAAACCTTTGGCCAGACTTTCAATGGTTAGGTCTGTTTCTGGTAGATGATTAGTATCGTCGGTTGGTTGTTAGGGAGATGGATGGATGAGTGCTCCGTAGATAGGTAGAGAAAATCAGGCGGTTGGGGGGGGAGGTTGGGGGTGGGTCTGATTAACACGGTCTGGTCTGATCTAGTCTGATCTAGTCTCCGACAGTGGAGACTGATGGATGCGTTGCTGGAGGGAAGGGCAAGACCAGACGAATGGGGGGAGACCACGCCGGTGGCTGGTTTTATCTTGCTTTCTTGTGTGATTGATGATTGATTCTTTGGAGGTGGTTGGGGATTTTCTCATGTATGTCTGATGTATGTGGGTGTGTTTCTTGGATGAGGTGGATGGTGTATCGTGTACAGATTGAGTCAGACTGTATGTCATATATGGATGGACTCATGTTCTCTCTCTCTCTGGGTGTTTTGGAGGGTACTTGATGGACTGTTCTCTGTAAGGTCTGAGTGTCCGTGATAAACATGAGATGAGGAAGATCATCAGGATGATGCTATCAGTTGCCGTGGGAACTCCCCGCTCGGTGGTTAGAAGATGAGAGGATCGGAGAGAGGATCAGCTAAGTGGAGAGCATGTGATCTGTCTGTTTCTGTTTCTGTTACTCTCTCTCTTTCTGTCTCGTGTGTTTTGTTCTGTCTTGTTTTGTGTTTTGTCTGTTGGATGTGCGGTGTGTTTTGTTGTGTATCTCCGTATATGAAGCCAGTCTGGAGATTCTATATCTTTCTATTGTGTGTACATTGACTTCTATATATTCTACCTTCTACACTGTAGTACTGGTATACCAATGATATGGAGTAATCCAGTAGAATCCCCGTATGTAGATCAACAACCTCGGACAATAGAGGAGGTAAATAAATAAATAATAAATGCGAGGTTGGACCAAACAGGCTTGGCGAGTCAACAAACAAACGCCCCTCCCAGGCCTATTTCTATCTCTCTTTCTTCCTTCTTTCGTTCTTCATTCTCCTCTCCATTCCTCATCTGCATTCTTCCCATCACCTGTCATCTCCATTCCTCAGATCTATCATATCTATCGGATCATCCATCGATCAATTGATTGTTAGATCAATTCATCCTTCTCTCTTCCCCCTCCAGGAAAGAACAGAAGAAATTATAGTCTTTTCTTGTCGCCTTTCGAGTTGAGGCCAATTCGAAAGGCATTCGAGAAAGGACGCCCGAAGATCAGCCAATCTGGACTTCGACGCCCGCGTCCCCATCCCCTTCAGTGTCTTCCCGTCGTCGTACCGGAGTGACGCTGTTCCCCATCTGACCCCGGAGAAAGAAGAGGGTCAAGTCCATCTCGATCACACTTCGCACGTCGACCGGGAAGATACTGGAGCTGCCCGTCTTCCCGAGCCTCGTGTTTACGGTCAGGAAGAGGTTGATCTCCATCTGCATCGAGAGAGTCATCCGTCGCCCAGGAAGAACAAGCCCCGTCGTGACGAGTTTGTGGATATCTCTGCCAGCTCGCGTGTCTCGCATCCGGAGGTTCATTTGACCCGTGAAAGGTATTTTCCCTTTTTCTTCCTTCCCTGTTTTTCCCCCCGTACTTTTGTTTGTTTTGTTATGGTTTTGTTATGTTTTCGTTTGTTTTGTTTTGTTCTATTTTGGTTGGTGTGGGCCAACAAGCGGTGTCACCCATGCCCGAGCTAGATCTAGTTGGAGAACTAGATCGGTTACGTGGCGCCCAAACATCCATCACATCAAAACAACCTTCTTGTGTTTATATATGCTCGGTCTTCTGTCTTCATCCTGCCTTACTCTTCCTTTCTCCTTCCCGTTCCTCATCCTCTTATACTTTCATACTTCCATCACATCCTTCTATCATCCTTCTATCATCCTTCTATCATCCTTTCATACCTTTCATACCTTCTTCTTCCTTTGATATACCTTCTAACATACACAGCTACCGTGAACCCTCGGTCCGTTTCCAAGACAAACCCACCTACGACCAATCCGTTGAGAGTCAGATCGATATCACCGAAAGGGAATATCGTCGTCGCGTCCACCCGACCTACGACGTCAACCACTCCCGGGATTATCCTTCCGACCCCGTAGACTCCTACTCGAGCCCTCCCCAGGCCACCGACGTCTCGTACAGTCGCGCTCCTCGTGAGGACGTCCCGTACGACCGCGCCTACCAGCCCGCCCCCGTCGACATCTACCCCGCCGCCTCGGCCTACTCGCGTTCCGCCGTTGACTCTCAGCCTGCCGGTTCCATCCCCGCAGTCTCCTCCCGCTCTAAGGTTTCTTCCCCAACCACTGTAGTTGACCAACCCCCTCGCAAGATGGGTTACTACGACGACGACGGTAAATACCACTCCTTCCGGCGTGGTGTGGAGCGCGCTGCCGACCGCATCATGCACCCCTTCCACCATGACCACCATCACCATCATCACGACAGTGAGGACGCCGTCGTTGCTGACGACCGTGGTCCAGTTCGTTTCCGTGATGGCGTCCGTGAGGAAGTCCGCGTTGTGGAGCCTCGCGCCCGCCCCACCAAGGACACCGTCCCCATTCCCTGCCACTACATCCGCGTCGGCGACATCCTGATCCTCCAGGGCCGCCCCTGCCAGGTCATCCGCGTCTCCGTCTCCCCCCAGACCGGCCAGCACCGCTACCTCGGTGTCGACCTGTTCTCGCGCCAGCTGCAGGAGGAGTCGTCCTTTGTCTCCAACCCCTCGCCCTCCGTCGTCGTCCAGACCATGCTGGGTCCGGTCTACAAGACCTACCGCATCTTGGATCTTCTCGACGACGGCCGCATCGTCGCCATGACCGAGAGCGGCGACGTCAAGCAGGGTCTGCAGGTTGTGACCCAGGGCGGTCTGTTCCGCCGCATCCGCGACGCTTTCGAAGAGGGCCGTGGCAGCGTGCGCGCTCTGGTTATCAATGACGGCGGCCGCGAGCTGGTTGTGGACTTCAAGGTGATCCACGGCAGCCGTCTGTAATTCTTTTTTTTTTCTGTTCCTTTTTTCCTAGGTATGTGGAGCGCTCTTCTGTGATGAATATGTGTTGACAGAAGTAGGCTACGATTTTCACAATGAATGATGGATGATGGGGTTATGTACTTGCTATGTAGATGATAATTGACGATTCTTTACATCTGAACCTAAGGATTTACGTAGTTCACTTGGTTATCGATCTCATGTATTAAATTGTATTCATTCTGATTCAACATCCACATAGCAGAAGTACACCATACACACTCACATTACCTCCACCCCTCTCTTCCCCCCTCCTCCCTCCCTACCATACATAACAAAAACTACCAACTAGACCTTAACATACCTCAAATAATCCCTCACAACCCTAACATCCCCAAACTTCTTCTTCGCATCCTCATTCTTCACAGAGGGCGGCACAATCACATCCTCCCCCACCGCCCAATCAACAGGCGTCGCAACCCCATTCTTATCCGCACTCTGCAACGAATCAATCACCCGCAACACCTCCGCCGTGTTGCGCCCCGTCGACGCAGGATACAGCATCGTCAGCCGGATCTTCTTCGCCGGGTCGATGATGAACACCGAGCGGATCGTGAACGCGATCTCCTTCGGGTTGGTCTGCACCCGCGCGACGTCGTCCGCGCTCAGCATGTCGTAGAGGTAGGCTACCTTGCGCTCTGCGTCGGCGATGATCGGGAATTGCACCTGCGTTTGGCTGATGTCGTTGATGTCGTTGACCCAGGTCGCGTGCGAGGTTAGGTCGTTTGCGCTCTACATTGTCCACCACCTTGCGTTAGCTTAGATTCTTACATATTCCTCCATATATAGACAATATATATACTCCCGTATACATATATATATATTCCTTTTCATTATGGAGAGAGAGAGAGAGGGGCAGGGGTTGGGAGGGAGGTACCAGTCCAATCATCTTCACGCCCCTCGCATCAAACTCATCCTTGAGCTTCGCGAAGGCGCCGAGCTCAGTCGTGCAAACGGGCGTAAAGTCCGCCGGGTGCGAGAACAATATCGCCCAGCTGTTGCCGATGTGGTCGTGGAAGTTCATCTCGCCTTGGGTTGTTTGGGCGGTGAAGTTGGGGGCTGTTGCATTATTCTCATTAGTATTTTTTGGGATAGATGTTTTATAGACGTATATCGATCTTGGGGGTGGGATTGTGTATGTTATGTTATAGGCATTGGTAGCTTGAAGAGGGACATACCAATAGACCCCAGCCTCAAACGAGGCTGCTCGGACAGAAAGCGCACGCCCATACCCAGTGACCCTCCTGGAGTCCCCTGGCGGAGGCCCTGGCGTAGACCATGCTGGCTCAGGCGGGGCGCCAGGAACGCGGGACGCGGGGCGATGCCGGTCTTCGGGAGGGCGGTGCTGGTGCAGGCGCGGAGGCTGCGGGAGAGGATGGAGGACATTTTTTTTTGTCTTTATTAATTCTTTTTTGTTTTCTTTTGGGGAAATTTGTCAATTGGTTTGTTGGGTTGATTAATGAGTGATTGATTGATTGATCAATTGATGGGAGTGAAAGGTTGGAGTCAAAGGTGGTGCTGGGCTGGTGGAGGATTACATCATGGGAGTTGTCTGCTTCCGGCGGACCGAATTCGCACGGTGCCTGGACGGTTTTTTCTATTCTTGGACATATACGCCGTGTATTTATTTCCTGTAGATACATACTCCTGTCTGTGATTGTAAATTGCACTTCTTGATATTGATCATATCCAAAATGTTAAAATGGTACTATATCCGACAATCAACGCCATCCCCTAGTCAAACACCGTAAATCCTTCCACCCCGTATAAGATCACAAACCACACAAAGATAAAAGAAAGAGATAGAAGGAAAGGACAAAAAGGAGAAGGGGTAAGAAAAAAGAAGAGAAAGATGATATTACGCCTATGGCGCACCAACGCCAACACCAGTCTGATGCTCCTCCGTATTATACATTCCTTGCTGAAGAGACAAAGGACAAACAGGGTATCGCTGATTTCGCAGTATGTAGGTTGCAATCGGGGAGTAGTCACCGCTCCCCGAATTTGCCATACTCTTGCTGCCATTTCAAGAGATGTCGCGTTAGCACGTCCATCATCTCCACGCTGCTGAGACCCTTGAAGTCTTTCTCAGCTGACACCGGCCCCGCTTCGCCGTCTGTGGTCGTCGTCGCGGACTCGCCGTCGCTGAGGGATGATAACTTGGCGTCGATCTGCTCCGCCATCGCCCGGATACTCCCGTTCGGCTGGTCGCCTCCCGGAGGTGAGGTTTGACCGGCTACGGCCATCTCGACTTGCATCCGCGAGATGAACTCCAGAATGCCGGCCACGCGTCTCTTCATCTCGTTCATGGTTGTCCGTTGGTTCACGTAGCGGGGTCGGCTTGGCTTGCCCACCTCTCCGTTGACGTGACCATTGGGTCCGCCTATTCTCGGCGACTCCCCACCGATATCATAGGACTGTCCGCGCCGCGGCGAATTCAGCGTGCCGTTCGAATCGGTGCCGTTCACGTCGCGATCCCGCGTGTACTGATTGCGGCCCACGCGGCCGCCACGACGCGCCGGCGGGCGACCGGATTTCCGTGTGGAGGGGCGTGCGGCCGTTGTTTCTGGGGGCGGGACGGGGGTCTCATTAGGGCTGGGGGGTAACGGTTCGGGTTCGGGGGCCACCACCGGCTTTGGGGAAGAGGCCGCCTCGTGGTTCGATTCGGCTTCTATTCCGTGTTAGCTTCGTTGGTGGTCTGTAGTTGGATCAACACGTACCACCGTCATCTTTCTGAGGATCGGTTCTCCCCCTGCGTCGGTTGTTTTCAGGCGACTCTTCTTCCGGCTCTTCCGGCTCTTTGGTTTCTTTGTCGCGTTGGCCTCGGGACGTCGCTCGCTGTCGTCGGGTCCCGTTGGTGACTTCCTTCTCCTTATCGTCTTCGGACACCGGCTGCGAGACGGGTTTGCTCGGTTCGGGAATCCCGGGCGACGGCGAACTCGTGCGTTGCTTCTTGGCCACCTGCTTATGACTAAAGACCTGTTAGCAATATTCTTCACGCAATGGGCTCAATGACTGACGCTTCGCTGTCACTGCGACTTCTTTTACCCCGCCGGACAGATGCCTCATCGGTGTCCAGCTGGTTATCTTCTTTGCTCTCTTCGATCGCACGGCGGATCAACTCCTCCTCGTCATAGGCAGCATCGCGGCTGTTCATGGTGGAGCGACGTTTGGGATTGTGCATGTCATTATTGCGTGATTTGGAATCTTTGGATCGTTTGGAGGGATCATGGGAGGACTCGCGGGAGGAAACCGCTGTGGAAGAGGGGGCGACGACAGGAAGGTAGGTAGAAGAGCGTGAGCTGGAATCAGGTTAGGCTTTGTAATGTGATGTTGTGCTAGGAGGTGAAAGAAAAAGCTTCACAAGGCGAAGGGTATGACACCCGTGGCCTCCGGATGAGAGAATTTTCAACTCGCTCACCCTGCTCCAAAAGTAGAAGGAGGGAAAAAAAATAAAAAAAAAAACAACGCCGGCGACAAGTGAGAAAAAAATAAACAGAGAAACTCACCCATTGACTTCGCTTTTAATCCTGTGGAGCTCCTTGCGGCACTCCTCACAGTAATACTCGTCCGGACTCATCGCCTCATCCATGATTCCCACACAGCCGCCGTGCTGCCAAACTTTGCAGGAATCACATTGGATGAACATACTCCCCATATCATCCGACATCAGTTCGGATGAGTCGGGAGGCGGGTTCAAGGACGCATCCTCCTTGACCCGGGGCCGCATGCCACTGCGACCGAGAGCTTCCCGACGGGAGGGGGGTAGACCAGGGTATTCCTGCTGTCCACAGAGACATCTTGTAACTTCCTCTTCCTCCTCATCCTCTTCGCCATCTTCTTCTTCCCCTTCTCCTAGAGAGGGGTCGTCGTCACCGCGGGCGCGCTGGCGCTGCCGCGTCTGTGGGTAATCCATTTTCGAACCCGCGTCAACCTCTTCGGCTGACTGGGAGCGGTGGCCGGAGGAGCCGTGAGGGGAGGGGATTTTGTGGTTGGATCGGGTGCTTCGTTCGCGAGTCATTGAGGATGAGGAACTGGATGAATTTGTATGCGGCAGGATCGCTGGTGAGGGTTGAGAAGTGCGGGCACGAGAAGAGCGACGAGGTGTCATGGTAAGAAGCAGAATTGGCGGGGGAGGAAGGGAGGATCTGAAGATGAACCACGTGAATTAGATTAAAATTTTTCCTTCTTCACAGCTGGAGAGAACGTACCAGAGATCGAGGACAGACAAGCCCGTAGGCGAGCTGTCGCACGGTGGAGGAGGTATCGGACGGGATAGGTGGAGGGAGAATGGATGGAGAAGCGGGAGAGAGAAGAGAATGAGAAGGGGAGGACAATTGCGACCCGTTGAGGAGAGATAGAGCCAAAATGAGGAAAGCGACCGGGAGCTCGCAAGCAAACGGCGAACTACATAGTCCGAAGAGAGGATGAAGCGGGAGGGGAGGGGAAGAGAGGAGTGAGAAGAGGAGAAAGAAATGGAGAGGGAGAGAGTAGCGGACTTCACTATGACTTAGACTGCCTCTTACTACCTGGAGGCACCGCACCGTACTGCTACTACTGCTACTGCTACTGCTGGACTGGTGCTCTGCGCGGCTTTCTCAATTGGTCCGTTCCGTCGCCGGTTTCCCCGCTCGAGTGTTAGTCATCCAACTTCTCTCTTTCTCTCTTTCTCTTTTTTTTTTTTTTTTTATCTTTCCCTCTTTGGGCTTTTTGTTCCGTTTGAATTTTATATGGTCCACTGTGGGATCTCTATCTCTCTCTTAGATCTTATACGTTGAGGTGTTTCGTGATTAATCCCTGGCTTACTGTCAAACAGATTCTCCCGATTGCATCCTCCCCCCACTCATCTCGGATACCTGCCGACTCTCGAGTTTTCCAAATACAATTCATCATAATAGATATACTATGGTCTCGAAATACTCGATTGTAGTAGGATGGACATGATGGACTACCTCTATCAAGGTGTTGTTTGCATCAAGCAAGCTACGGAAAAGAGATCGGACACTCGCATCGGCAAAACGGCTGTCCACATACTTGATGGCGGTTCCTCGATTGATCCGATGCAAGAATCTCCCCCTCTACATGGTCTTGACATGGCCATGAGAACCCTCGATATGTGTCCAGTCGCGCATTAAATGCGATGTGCCAGCGCAGACGATTCCCCTCAACTTGGCCCTGACAGCGTAGTCCGGTAGTAGTCCGGTATTGTGTAGTCATTGGAACAACTAGCCATCTGGTTGGAATCAATTCTCCAACAGTCACTGATCCACGTCAGAGCATAAAAGTCGTTGTCGGATATATCGTTGGTTGGGCACCGAGGATGCACGGGTTATGTTGGTGTTCGTGCAGTGTACCTGGAGAAAGTCCCGACCCTTGCGGCGAGAAGATTCCTGCACTGAACAAGAACTATCATTTTCCCAAACCTTAATTCCTGAACCAGACAGGTGGATCTCCTTGTTTGGACATCGGATATGGTTCTGGGGTCATTAGAGACGGCTGTAGTGTAGAGTTATCACTCGCAAACAACTGTCAGAATAACGTGGGGAAACGAGATCGCTCGCTTGAGAAGGCGGTGAGAGGGTATCGCTGATTACATCACCTCCACCTGCATAACCCGACGAATCCAAGACTTATGCGTGACCTGACTAAGCCCGACAGGCATAAAGATAATCCCCGTAATGAGCGGTTGTTCATCCAAGATCCCGACTCTCCATTTCACCCCTCTTATCCCCCTATCCTCTCCCATCCCCCTCCCCTCCTGGCTCGTGGTGATCAGTGAGGTCTCCTCTCGGATTACTCCGACTAGTCCGTCCTTTCTTTTCTGATCCTTCTTTCCACGTCTCTGCCCGTTGGTGGTGAGGTGTCGGTCGGGTGTGCCTGGCGATTCCCCTACCCGACACTTGGGCTGCCAAAAAGTCTGCAGACGCGGTCCTGGTGGATGATTCACGGGTAAGCTCCATTCCCATTACGTCGATCGAGTCGGTAAGACCGGGTCCTGCGCTTTGACTTGCTCCTGGGGGGTGAGACTGGGGGACGTACCCGGTCTGTTCGGACCTGGCGCTCGGTTGAACAACATGCCAACTGACAAGTGGGTTGCCCCGATCCAGAATCCGTCACCGTATTCACTTCTCTTTTCCCACCGACCCCGTGTCAATTAAATCTTCGCCCCCATAAATCTATCCTACAGTCGATCATCCGGGTGGAGGGCCTTCATACGAGAAGGGTAAAATTATAATTGAAGTCCCTCAAACCAGACGGATCAAGCGAGGAACAATCATCTTCCGTACCTCCGTTGGTCGAGTTAGCTGGAGTCACCGCACCGTCCGGCTGTGGCTGTGACGGTCGAGAGACGAGAGATCTTTGCATCATGGCTGCTACGCTGAGTATGTCTATTCACCAAGAGTGTATGGGAACTACAGATTTTCCCCGGACGTCCCCAGGATCCAACTGGGTGGCACTGAGTGGCCGGGATCGGGACCTGCTAGTGGATTGGTTACTGATATTGCCTGCCTAATTGTAGATGGGATGTACAGTTCGGCTCCGGATACACCGTCCCCCGTCTATCCAGATCGACTGATCCGTCCTCTTCCCAAACGCCCGCTGCGTACCCGACTATCCTCCGACGCCGCGGACTCGATCCTCTACCCCCCGGCTCCCCCGGCGACCCAATTGTTCTATGGTGCATGTGCGGATAGCGGGGAGGTGGTGAATGATGCCAAAGTGTATGTGCAGCAGAGCGAAGGCCATGATCACAGTCCGGAACGCGATCACCTTCCGTATGAGAACGGCGTAGATGTTGAGAGCGGGGATGATGAGGACGGTCCCGTGGTGGTTCACCGAAGTGCTGGCTTCCGCGGGTCGCCCCTGTCCCCGTCGGCGGTCAACTCGCAGCCACAACCCCACCCGGGCAACGGGGAAGGCACCCCGATCAAGTCTTCGGCGGGGCCCGACGGGTACGACGCTTTCGAGAACACCAACAACAAAAAGAAGCGCAAAATCCCCACGCCGGGAAATTTAGGAAGTCACTCCACCCTGTCGCCCGAGTTCTCGACTATGGGGCTGACCTCCTCGGCTCCATCGACGGGGCCTCCTGGAGATGGAAGCCACGTGAGCACCTTCTACGGCACCGGTAGCCCGGCTTCTCCCGTCGGCCATGGCATGTCAGGTCCCGGGAGAGGCCGTCTCGGTCGTCATGCACATCGAAACAGCACGGGGCGAGGCTCTATGTCTCACCCGAGTCCGGTCGCTTGGTCGCAGGGACGGGGGCCGGCTCGCCGTGACGGTATGTCCTCGCCTGGCTCCACAGGTATGTTCCTTCGGGGTGGTCATTTTCCCTACCATCCAGGATCCCGCTAATCCAGTTAGGGGAATATACGAGCTCGGACCAGGGGATCATCTCCGCTGCTATCGCCAATGCGGCCGCCTCGGCGTTTCCCTCCCCTCCCCCCGGATCGAAGGCGGTAAGCATGCTCGAACAGCAGGCCACGACCCCTACCAAGACCCAATTCACCTTCACGTGCGAATCGGATTCGTCCAAAGGCATGGCGCTGCAGCCGCAGAGTCCGTACGCGGCCACGCACCGCTCGCCCGGATCGATCGCGGCCGCCCAGAATCAGCGGCGCTTCTCGACGCAGGCGACGCAAACTAGCCCCAACAACACCGCGTCTCAGATGAGCCAACAGCCTGGTCATCCGCCGTCTGCTACGGGGGTCGAACCCAACAACGCAGGGCGGAAGAAGAAGCGGTCTCCCGGCAGCATCTATGCGCTGGCCGCGCGACAACGCAAGATCCAGCAGCAGTATACCAACCTGCACCATCCTCCGAATCTGGAAGACATCTGGATCTGCGAGTTCTGCGAGTACGAGAGTATCTTCGGCCATCCCCCGGAAGCCTTGATTCGACAGTATGAGATTAAGGATCGGAAGGAGCGCAAGCGGTTGGCGGAGAAGAAGCGGCTACTGGAGAAGGCTAAGATGAAGGGCCGCAAGAACAAGAAGACCCCCAAGGGGGCGACAAAGCATACCGCGAGCCACCAGGGGTGCTGCGATGGAAGTCACGATCGGGCATCGGCCGACCATTCGTCCTTGGGAGGTGGATCGGGGCAGCATGACGATGACTACGACTACGATGATGAACCTGTTGATCCGCCTCCTACAGCACCTCCAACCGGAACCTTTAAAACACCCCTGCCGCCCGGGAATCATCCCAAAGCACCGGCGAGTGCATCCGGCGTTAAAGGGGCTGCGGACGCAGGCACGTACAGGCCGCCCTGACAGGAGGCCAGCGGCGTCTAGGTCTGCCTATCTACTTGAAGGCAATTGACCTGCCGTCGCTGTCTCTATTTCCTTTGTCTTGCATGGCCTGTTCTTCACTATTAGCCTTTCTTCTTCTTCTTCTTCTTCTTCTTCCTCTTCGGTTTTTTTTCATTTTTTTATTTTTACTTTCTTTTCCTTTTGTACCCTCCCCCCGTTTTTCTTCCCCCCTCCCCCTCGGTTCATCATCTTATCATTTTATTATCATTGCAAAAATAGCATCAACGAATCCCCGCTCTACACACCTGAGCATTACGTCTCATGATACAGCATGGTTTCTCTCTCTCATCTTTGGGTTTTGGTATGGTATGATCGGTTTGGTTCTCACGTGGAGCAACGGCGTGGTGAACACGATAGAATGTGATATGGAAGTATGACTCGTTTCGTTTCTTCGGTTGGTTGGTGTTGACTGTATGTATGTGTGCATGGATGGATCGATGGACGGATCGATGGAATTACATGGGACGGACTCGATTAGGTGGATTGATCGTCGCATGAGCATAGGTTAGGTATCGGTATGAGATGAATGGATGGATATGGTTATCTGAATTTGCCATGCGTAGTTGTCTATCTTTGGGATGATTGTCGACTCCGGCTCCTTATGTCCCTAGAAAAGAAAAGAGGGTGTACGTAGTGTAGATCACATACTAATGCTGTCCTATATAGATGGATAGATATACCCCCGCATCTGCATCTGCATCTGCATCTGCATCCTATCAACTACCAGTTCCTTTCTTTCCATCTATAGGGCTAGGTATTGTAAACGGCGGTATGCCGATTTCAGTGGGATTAGGAGTAGACATCATTTAGACAGCTAATCCCCTACTTATTAACAGACAGATCTCTTTATAAAGAAGATAAAATATAGAAAGAAAAATAGACATAATATATTTTGAAAGAAATTACTTATTCTTCTTTTAATTAATTTTAATAATTTATTATATCTAGTGTCACGATCAGGAATAAGAACCGAGTGCTCAGTTTGGTAAAGCAGATATAAGACCTTACTGTGGGTAGATAGTATACTAATTGTTAGGCGGCAGCCTCAGGCAGCCTGCTCGCCAAGACCTGCGGGGGCTGAGTCATTGAAGACACTGCAAGCTATGTGTATATAGCCTCGGGCTTTAGCCTCCTAACCTCGCATCCTTGAAGAGATTGGTAATTAGTTCTAGTAAGATTCTTATTATACTCTCTTATATATATTCAAGGGAATCATTGTCCGTCGGTTGGCTTCTACGATGCCGGGGGGAATGCAGGTCCTGATATGCTACCTCCGATAGGTTAGTGTTGGTGGCCGTAGGAAATGCTTTCCATATGTACTGAAACGATCGGAGTATGCTGGGCTCTGGCCGAGCGAAGATCTGATACATCTGGGACGATAGACCACCCAGAAAAGCAGTGTGAGCTGTGGGTTTGTGCGGGCTTCCCAGCGTGAGCCCTCTTGGCGATATTATGGGCGGGAAAAGTTGCTATTGTACTGTATACACAGCGGTGGAATCTGGCGAGGTGGATTGGGGCCTTGATTGTTAGTCGTCTTATATCCTGCATGATCCCCTGCGTTGGGGGACTAGGATGGTCTTGCATAAAGAGACCAACATTGAGGATGTTTAAAGCCCATTCATTGTTGGCGCCGAAGGTGATTGTACGATGGAGTTGAGAGAACAGAGCAGTATATAGTGTAGTTGATACTAGGCTTAAGGACCGAACACTGCGTTGTGGCAGCTGGCCTGTTGTAAGCAGTGTCACGGAACCCCGCAGTGTTACCTATAGTACCAAGTCGGCGATGGAATGAAGAAGCTCGAATGGCAACTGGCTTAGTATGACTCTCATGTTGTGGTGGACTGCTGTTTTGGTTATGGATTGATGGAGTTGGAGTTCCTTCTTATAGACCCGGCCATGGCCTACTAGCATTGTGGGGGCATTCTAACACTTTCTTCCCATAGGGTTGATTGGGCACGCTCTCCTACTCGAAAGCCGTTCCACTGATCCTGCAAAGAGTGGGCGCGAACCGTAGGCAAGGACCGAAGAAGAATCAACCCTAATATAACCAGACAGGTCGTTCCCTATCAATTTCTATATTCACCCCGTACTAACAACGCGTCGCGGTCGATAACGATAACTGGAAGTCTGGATTTAAAGACGATGCTTAATTCTCTCCTACAGTTGAAAATTAGGTTCTCTTTCCTCGCCTTTAAACCTAGATACTTTCTCGCCAGGCAGATTTAGGCGAACGTCAAAAGACTGCCCCCACAAAGGCTTGCAATTTCGCTGCTTCGGTTGTAACCATGGATCATGGTCCTTAAATGTCTTCTGGCAGTTGATTTGAAATTGCTATTCCTAGACCGATACAGGCTAACTAACACTTCCAAATCGTAAACTGAATCACATGAATCGATCGCCCTGCAGTTCATGCCAATATCAACAGAATCGCGAAGGCACCCTAGGAGTAGTCACTTCCTTCGATGTGAAAGTGCAATAAGGGTAGTGGCTCACACCGTCTTGAGACCCGGCCTCGACCATATCTGAGTTGTCTTCCTCATCCTGTAGCACCTCCCCGTACATGACTGGCTTCAATGATGCGCTCTCATCTCCGGGAGGGGGATGACACACTGCACTAATTGCAATGCTGCAGTATGAATCTAGCGGCAAATTTGACCGGAGACGTCGGAAACTGAAGCCTGTAAGGACAAGAAAAGTCGATATGCCCACTATAATGGTGATGAACATGGCAAGAGGGGAGTAGCCACATGCGGTAATATTTTCATCGGACAAATATGCGCTACCCTTAAACTCCTGTCCGTAGATGTTGTAGGCGTTTATCTTGACAAGGAATATACACTGGGAGAGAAGCCAATGCATAGCTGATGATACTGCAATGAGAGGGACACTGTATCGGTACGCAAGACTGAGGTAATATGTCGATCGCTGCTCGCCCTTTGGCCAAGACACTCTAAGCGGTTTTCGTTGGATCGCATAGCTATTGTATTCAGCCACAGCAGTCATGCATGTAAAAAGGCCATTACACAAAAGGTATAATGCTGAAAACACGATCTGTGGCGTGTTGGCTAAGAGTGCTAGGAGAATGAGGTTTTGGCCAGAGAATATGATAGCAGATCCGTTTGGCTTCCCAAATCCTAGTTCTCGAGCAGCTGAAACTGACCACGAAGGTATTGCCAGGTTATATAGAAAAATGGATACGGCAAGGCAAACGATAAACCTATGATATGTCAGGAACAATATCTTTTGTTTGGGCCAGGGTAAGTACAATATAGAAGTGACGGTCCAGCGCGTCCAGCTGGCAGCCTTCAGCCATCTCTTCGACTTGGAATCCGGTCGAGGATGGAACCCATGGGTTATACGTCTTTTTGACATAGGGCCGTAAACTCTTTTTGTTGTATCAGGCGTGTTCAAAAAAGAAGAGAGCGCATCACCAACTGTTAAGAATATCTCTTTATGATCTGTTCTTGCCGCCAAATACATACAACACACTTTGACGATGTTGCAAAAGATAACCGCGAGGCATATCGGTAGACTAAAATAAAACTGGCAGTGCTGGTCGACGTCTTTGGTCCAGCATTCGGATATAGCAATATGCGGAATGCGATCACTGCTGGAGGCTATATCGTACACACTTGATCGGCCGTCGGAGCGAAACGAGAGTTGGGCAACCCGGGAATCATGCTGCCAATTCGAAGCTGTGCCCAGAAAGTCTTGCAGCTGCTCACTACCAGGATTGTTCAGCAAGATAAAGGTGGTAAGAGTATCAATATCATCCTGTACACTAGAGTACGTTCCCACATCGTCCGTCTTGAAAAAGGCGGGATACAAACTCTGCAGGCTTCCCCAAGTGTCGGTGCCGTTTTCATTGAAAGTCCAATTTGGATAGTCCCAATTTAGCGCCATGACTTGTGGGTTTTCGCGTAGTAGACCGAGTGAACTGAAGTACCGCTTGTCCGCTGCCTCATCAAAGATAGGGGCGAGGCAAGAAAAGCCGCGAAGATTGTTCCTTTCTGTGACCAGCAGAGCTGTGCCTGCTTTTGTGTTGAATTCCACATCATATCTTTTAGCGCAATCAGATATGCTCATCTTTTTATAAGTACCATTAAAGCGTTCGGCAAGTATGGTCTCTGCACCAGCCCCATTCAGATCGTGGAAAGATCTGGCTTCATACTGGTCCACAACAAGGGATTCCTTTTCCCCCAGGTCTTTTGGAATAACGGCAATCCCGTACCCATTAGAACTTATTGATGAAAAGATAGCCGTGTTAAATCTAGAATATTCCTCTGTTAGTCATGTTGACTTGGGTATGATGTTTAAGGTCGGTATACGAACAGCATATGGATAGGCAACGAACTAATAAATAGTAAGGCCCAGAGAACCTTTCTCTTAGCGTCCATAACCAAAAGGTTCCTGAGGCTCAAAACGCCAATATTCAGCTTGTCACGCCGTGAATGGGCCTTATCGACGTCAGACCGTGACGGTGCGCTCAAACACTGCATCACATAATTGCTAGCAGCTAATAAGGCACTGCTGAGGATGTTAATCACCACATGCATTCCGGTAACCCAGCCACTGGTCACAGAGCAGTCTCCTTCATAAAGCTCAGCGTATGTGAAAGACTTGTCGCCTGATTGTTTCGAATATCCAATGCCAATCGCGATGATAGTCAAAATCATGTTGAATACCAAAATCGCCGCAGTGCCATAGGCACAGAGTATAGCACCTTTAATCCACTCCTTTCCGGGCTGAATCTCCTCTTTAACAAACGGTAGCGGAACCTTGTCAATTCCGGCTTTGTCTTGAACTCGCTGGAACAGATCCTTGCCTTTCCAGAACCAGGACGAATTCGGAAGATGGGTGTATTGGAATTTCTGGTGAAGCCGGCGGGGGAAAGACGGTGTATGTGAATGAAAGCCTTCCTGCTCAGTAGTCATGGTGGAGGCATCATCTTCCTCGGATTCAGAGGAGTAGAAAGAGTAGGTACCCCTATTCTCATCTGCCATCGTGTAGAAGATTTTAATCAGTGTGTAAGAGAAGCTCACAGTATGGAAAGTAAGCAAAAGCAGCTCATAAAAATGGCATGCGTTTTATGTAAGTGTGTTCCGCGACCCTCAGCCTTGTGTGCTTTCAGTAGAACACAGTCGTTTATTACCAATATGCCAAGGATGGCACTGCCACTTGTATTCGCTTGCATTGGTCCGTTGTGGCTATCATCACCCATAAGAGTAATGACAAGGCTGTCCGGCATAATTGACGCGAAGTATGACATAAGCAGAGGCCATCGGACTCCATGCCAGCGTTGACAACGCCAAACAATGATAGCTCTTGTACGTGTCTTTGGAGACAAATGCATTCCCAGACTACGGGGAAAATGTAAATCTTCAGAGGCTCAGGGGGAAATTGCTTCATTTATTATGAGCTGACTGCAATTATCTGATGAAGGATCCGCATGGTCATCGTCGAGCGAAACACCAGCCTTGCATACACGAGTATCATAATAGTGTTTACCAAGGCAAGGCAGCCTCAAGCAAACGTCTTCTCACTGCCAGAATAGCTTGTGTGAACCTTGGGGGATTATTTACGGCATTTGGAAATTCCACATTAATTTACCAGCTGTTGGTCCGTATTTCCAGAGATAATACAGGTTTTCATAGGCACTGGCCAGCCTGTTGTATTACCGAGATGACCTAGAGAGTGCTCTAATTATTATCATCATGCTGATAAATGTTCCTATAAACACCAGCAGACACGACTTTGTGAGGAAGAATGGAATCTATAATTCCTGCTTGAGAGCGCCGGCTTTTGTAATTTTGTATTCTTATTGTTCCACGGTGCAAACCAGAACATTGAGATTGTATATTCTAAATCTAGTTGATGTATTTACCTGAAAAGAGAAAGGAAGAGAAGAAAGAACATTAAAGGTCAAAAGAATATTTGCACCCACAATCAGCTCCCCTCAGCTGAACCCCCAAGATTTCAAGTTTTGTAAGAGCGGCTGGCTGAGTAGCATGAACCTGAAAAGATAACCAGGATTTCACAAGCATGTCACATTCATTCAACCATTCTTTCATTCATATTCCATGAGCTGTTGCTCAACGCGGACAGTTCCATGGCTGCTTTTACATTTGTAGCTGTGCCCTTATGCAGGTTGGAAGGAATGAGCGAAGAATTTTGTGTGACAGGATCCACGCCTAACTTGAATCTTTTCAGATGGCTACATTTTCCTACAAGACGAGGTTGAATGATTAAGCACTTAGGTCGTTGGGTAGTTGAGACGTCTCCAGTATATGCATGCGTGTTCTAATTGCGAGGTGAGGATGAGTTGTCTAGTACTCTTGGTAGTGGAGGTATTCTGAATGCCTCTTGCTGCTTGTGGGTGGTTCTGTTGCGGTCTTACTATATTACTTTTTACTCTTTTGATTAGGTATCTATAGATTTTCTTGCTAGTGGTTTCTTGAATATCTTACTATTACTTGGTAGGTTATCTTGTAATCACTGGTAGTCTGTTTCGAGAGGAGATTCCTACAAGTTCTATATAGAGATTCGAGGGTTATATATAAGATTGGTGCAAACCCATACACAGGTGTTAAAATCCTTTCCTGAATGAGACAAAGCAAACATGGCTAGTTCAACAGAACCCAAGTCTATTGATTATATCACAAATCAATCAGAATTACGCCAGCCCAGTCAAATCATGGAATGCTTCAATCAAGTCAGAGTAGTGCGTGCCGGGTAAACCGATGGTTTCATCCGACGACGTATCCCTGGATTCCAAATACTAGACAGCTGAGACTGATACTGCTTCGGCCCTACCACCGAAAACGTACCGCGCCAAATCAAACAAGTCGACTTAAGGTTGACCTATCTCCAGCTCCCATCTCAGAGTCTATAGGTTCTCGTATCAATTCAATACAACCACTACCTCACTCTCTCCACCCATCATCGCCCACCCCTCTACCAAAATGAAACTCTCCAACATCGCACCCCTCAGCACAACCTGGATGGCATCCGCCGTCACAGCCAGGGAGCCCTACAACGCCGCATACGACCAGTACTGCGGCAACGGCCAGACCCAAAGCTCACTGTCCATCAACGGAACCCCCTACTCCTACTACTGCGACGTCGAGCAGAGCACAGGCGCCAGCCCGTCTTTGCGTGTGCGCTCCCCCGAGATCTGCGCTGACATCTGCGACGGCGATAGCTCTTGTGATACGGCGGTCTGGGACCGCTCAAACGGCCAGTGCTAGTATAGCACGGGCTCGGGGCCTCGGACCCCAGCGCCTAGATACATGGTCATCTCCAATGACCCGCTGGCGGTCTGCCAGGCAAATCTGGTCAAGTACATGCCGGTTGCGCCGCTGTGTATGTTGCGGATGTGCCATGCTTAATGTTGACACGATGTCGTTTTGACTGACCCGCCACAGGTCACGGCGCTGATACGCGAAGATCACCGAGGTGAATGGGCAGAAGTTTGTCTTTGCGTGCAATACTCGTATGGATGCCCCTTCTTGACCCCGAGCATTCTGTTTGGGATACTTATATACTGACGCATGGTAGAACTCACAAACGCGACCCCGCCGCTGCAGAACATTGGCACTACTCCTGACTTTGATGGGTGTCTTGATCTCTGCTCCAAGCGAAACGACTGTGACAGTCTTACCTGGACAACCTGGCTTTGTGCAATGGCGACAACCAATTGGCGTCTCAGCTCAGGTTACCCTAGAGCAGCGTAGATGAAGAATGGAAGCGCTTCGAGGGTTGCTTGCATGAAAATATGTATACTGCATGATAGATCCGACTAATCCCAATTTAGTAGTCCAGTCATGTGATTCAGTGAATTGATCATTGTTGCAGTTACCACCATACAATAGGATTGATTTCAATTAATGAATAGGGAATCACTCAAGGAACACAATAGACCTATACCAGCACCCCATCAATGCCCAAGTCAGGTCCCTAGTCACTGAACTAGGCCCCTACTACTCTGCATGTAGAAGACAGCGGCTATAGGGCTGACCACATCCCGTGACCCACCCAATCACATCCCATCCCTTCCATCGCCCAGCCGTGAAGAACAACCAGTCCACTCCTGCAGTATAGGCGCCTGCCGAAACACAATCCCCAAAATAGTTTGCCACTAAGAGGAGCTCCCTTGAAGAAACCTTCGCGCGCGCCATCCTCTTACGCGAGAAAAACACCCTGTCAAACATGACCCAGTTTCATCCTGAGGAAGGTTGGCGCGATCACTGGATGGGAGGGATTCTTTGCGCAAGGGGATATTTTTAGATATTGCCGGCTGGGATAGCTCTAGAGAGAATCAAATAGTATAAAGGGAGGGAATAGTCAATAGATGCTTGCATTGATTGATTCATCACTGGTAACTAAATAACACTCTTTCTTTGTGTGTCTTTCTCCTTCGTTCATTTCTTTTTCAAACCCTTGCGCTTTGTCGCTTTCTAGAATATTTAGATCTCGCCATTGTTCTTTATCATTCTTCTTCCTTTGAAGAGATTCTCTGATTGAGTCTATCTTATACATAATCTGTGGTTGCGCTGGCGCATTACTTCCTTACTCTCGTCTATTTCACGACTCTGATATACGATATACTACATCTACCGTACATACATTCACCATCTACAAACAACCTCCTTCCGAACAACAACAAAAACAACATCAGCATCAAAAGAACCTAGAGAGAAGAAAATGTGGTTCATCATCCTCAAAGTCCTCCGCTACGGCTTCAAAGCCGCCAAAACGCACAAAGCCAACAAGTCCAACCCGTCCTCCACCTCTCCCAACGACATCACCCTCTCCAACATCCCCTCCACCACCACCAACCCCCCCAAACCCCCCCGCAACGCCCTGAAAACCAACCTCGACAAAATCCTCTTCACCCTCCAATTCGCCCTCGCCCTAACCGTCATCGGCCTCTACAGCCAAGACATCAACAGCAAGGACGAGGACGCCCCCGCCAAATGGGTCTACGCTGTTATAACGGCCTTTCTGGCGGCGTGCACAGCGCTCACGTACCTGATTCTGGTGTTTGCGATGAAGGCGCGACCGCTGCCGATGAGGCAGGGGGCGCATCTGCCGCTGTTTGCGTGGGAGGTCGTGCTTTGTATACTGTGGCTGGTTGTGTTTGGGGTGTTTGGGGAGATGTTCATTGGGGTGAGGTATGGTGGGGATGAGGATTCGGAGAGGGCGAAGAAGTTGGAGAGGATGAGGAGGGCGGTTTGGGTGGATTTGGTGAATTTTGGGTTCTGGGTGGTGTCTGCTGCGTGGAGGGGGGTTAGGTGGTGGAGGGGGAGGGTGAGGGGGGGTGATGCGCAGAGTGTGTTGGAGGTTGGGGGTGGGGATGGGGTTGAGAAAGAGGTGGAGCGGGTTTGATTGTTTAGCTGGGTTGGGTCTTGGGGAGATGGTTGTTAGGTTGGGGGCTCGTCTCTTTTTTCTTTTTGTTTTGTTTTTGTTTTTACTTTGTCTTTTACTTGGTTTTTTCTGTTGTATTTATGCATTGGTAACTCATCTGGGATGGGAATCAGGGTTATGAGCGACAAGGCATACTGAAGGAATGAGTGCATCATGATTCATTGTATTTAGTCCGTATCTCATCGCCAATCTCGTGCAGTCATAATATCCTCATCCTACCTATCACGCCCTCCCATGGCCTCCTCAAGGCGACTCTTCTCCAGCAAGAAACTCAGCTGGCTGCGTCCCTTCGATGACGGCGTTACTATGGACATTCCATCCGACGTCCGCCGTCCACTCGGCGAGAACATGGACCCATTCTGACTAGGCGTCCTGATCGGAATACCCGAACTGGTAGCCATCGACGTCCCCTGCGAGGTCGGCGAGATGGACTCCATGCTTTCGCCTCCGGACGCGTTGATCGGCATCGAGGCATCTCCCGTGGTCAGCGACGACGCGATCAGCTCTTCCTCCTGCCGCTTGCGCTCTGTAAACCGTGTCCGGAAGTCCTTGTCCACCAAGGACGCAGATGACGGCTGCTCATAGTTCTCCGACTTGAAGAACCGCGCGTCATAGTGCGTATAGTCGTCGATCCGAGAGATGAATCCGTATTTTGGGGGAGACGATTTGGCACTCTGAGACGGCGACTTCTTCTGGAGGATGTCTTTCAGGTCGACAAGGAACGAATCCGGCAGCTGGACGGGTTTCTCGAGATCGGCTGGGTCCACAGGAGCCACAGTAGGGGCCACTTTTTCTTTGACATCGGTCAGCATAAGATCAACCGAGTCTGTCGACTCCGTACCTGGAGCGTCGACTTCGGGCTCGCCGTCTTCCAGCTCCATGAATTGGTCGGATGCTCCGACTGTCAGCGGAGTCGGAGCCCTGCTGGGACTGTGGTTGCGCGTGTTGGTCCCGGACGAGGCCTGGGATGACTTGCGCCGCATGATAACGGGCCGCCTCTTACTGGACTTGGCCTTGGCTTTGGTCGAGGCGACATACGTCTTTTTACCTCTCGTAGTCTCCGGCTGGGCCTGAAGCACAGGGGTTGGCGCGTTAGAAGATGGCTTGCGGGTGACGCTTGAGCCGCCTTCCCCTGTAAGGAGCAGACGGGTGGTCTTGGGCGACTCGCTGCGGGTGTGGGTGAGGCTGGGTTTCTTCAAGATGGGCTGGAGTGGTGTTTGAGATGCATTATCAGACAGCTTCCGCGAGGGCTCCGGCTTCTGTGGACGGTGTTCTTTCTGGGGGCACAGGTTAATAAGAGCAAATGACCAAAGGGGCTCACTCTTACCTTCGTGCTTGGCGTTAGCGAGGCCGATGGGGTGTGCTCCGCGATGCGCATAAAGAGTCTAGCCAGGGATGTACCGTTGAGGGAACATCGGATCCTTTCGTTGCCCCATATTCTCCAGAAGAAATGAGCCAGTCGATGTCCCACATCGCCTTCGTGCACTGCCGGATTGGTACTGTACACTGCCCAACATCAGTCGAGATCTCCACCAGCCAACAAGCGACGTACCTTTCCAGAGTTTCACAATATCGTCCACATCGATGGGGGCCGTGTCATCCAGACCGGACGGCAGCTGCGTCGAGGTCGACACCAAGCCTTGCGGGAGGTTCTCCATTTTAAGAGCCAGCGATCCACAGTGACGTGATTTAGTGAGGTTCCAGAGACTACATGATTTGGGGGAAGTCGATCGATGATTTGACGACGCCGAGACGCTTAGAAGGGAGAGAGGGAGGCGGAACAAAGAAAGAAGACGGGAGAGAGAGGTCAGCCGGAAAGTGAATCAACTGGGGAATGATGCGTCTGGCGGTGAGTTAAATTGTGTGGCCAAAGAAGCAAAGACCAGGTTGCGTTGACAAACGCAGGGAGGCAGGAGAAGGAATCCGGGGAAGGAGGCGGGTCTGTGTCTGTGACCAGTCCCGAGTGATCTGGGGAACAAACAAAGTCGCAAGGACCGATACTATTCGCAATGGTTGATCTGCAGCGGTGTAACAATCGAGCCCGATCAGGCAAGAAATGTGGTCTCTCCCTTACTGCAGAGTCGCCGCCGTAATATTGACCATCTCCGCCTTCAGCCGCTGACCAGGGAGGCGGGGGGGGGGAGTGGGGTGAATAACAGGATAAGGACTAGTGCGTGTGTGTTTTGCGATGATGGACAAAGAAGTGAGTCAACAGAGCGTCATCCAGACCGGCCGAGGGCCTTGAGATTAATCTATCTGCAGAGGTGAGTGAGCCATCATCTATGGCATGATGTGTATGGTAAGGATGATAGGTGAACAGAGGAGAATGAAATCGCCTAAAAAAGGAAGAGACAAGAGAAGGTTTGACCAAGGAAGGACCAAGGAAGAACCGGGGAAGAGCAGAAGACGAAAAAGAAAAAGAAGACACAGTAGAAGGAAAGAAGCGACGACCACGGGGCCTGAAAAGTGTCATTATCATTGGAGAGAATCACTAGGAGTGTCAAGCTAGTCCCATTTGGTGCCAAGAGAAGTATCAATCCAGCCTGGAATATCAGGCCTGTCGGGTTGCCTGAAAAGCGAGGTATTATAAGCCAGACTAACGCGAGGCACCCAGGCACATCAAGTAGACACGGATCTATCATTCAATCGCCGAACCTAATCTTCCCTCTTACCTTACTCTACAGCCGACTAGATACTACAGGAATGCGCCAATATTCCTTCGAGCTAAGAAGGAAATGAGGAAAAAGAAATATGGGCAGATCACTCAACGGCGGTTACGTCGGCTGCTCCGATTTTAATTTATTTATTGATCACAAGTCCCTCTCAAATGACTGACTGAGCTGGTCGGTCTTCCCAATGTGGAGACGGGCGAGTGCTCATCGATCCATTTTAGGGAGTTGATCTACGGTGGACCAAGAGCTCTGAAGAAGTGGAAAGCGGGCGCTAAAACCGTGGCCACATTCAAGGGCATGAATCGGTGGGTCGGGAGATGTATAGACATCTGGTCTGAAAACAAGGTACTCGGTTGCCCTGTCTTCTGTGTGTACGGCACAGATCTCGAGACAATTGCCGAAGGTACTGGGTTTCGTGACCAGGCAGAGCCACAGTGTACCCCTTAGCTGTGGCTGGCCAGTTCCGACTACTCCCTGTAATTATGATGTCATGTTAGATCGGCCAATGCACCCGCATGTTCCAGTAGATCTAGCCACACACTATGAAAAATAATATTAATGCAATGAGCTCTAGTAAAAGCAAATCAACAGGATGGGGAAAGCAAAAAATCCAACGCTATTCAAAGCCCATACATCATGACCACGACTAATCAATGATAAGCAATGCCTTATCCCCAATTTTTCAATACGGGTGTATCCTTCCTGTACATCTTACGGTCTAAGTCAGGGTGTAGCCACCGTCGACACGGAGGTCAGCACCGGTGACATATCGAGAGGCGTCACTTAGAAGGAAGGTCACGGCGCCCATCAGGTCCTCCGGCGTGCCCATCTTGCCGGTGGGGATCAGCGAGATCCACTTGTCGCGGAGCTCCGGGTTCTCATCCAGAATCTTGCGCGTCCTGGAGGCCCGTCAGGAGTTACTCAATGAACTGGAATTTAGTGGAGGGACTTACAGCGCGGTCAACATGTATCCTGGACTGATACAGTTGACTCGGATCCCGTGGCCCGCCCACTCGACGGCGAGCGACGCTGCCAGATGGCGAACGGCAGCCTTGGCGGCATTGTACGGCGCCTGTGGCTGCGGCACATTCACAACAGCCCCAGACATGCTACCGATCATGACAATGCTGCCAGAGACCTTGCGCTCCATGAGGTGTCGGGCGACACCGGTCGCGAACAGGTAAGTGCCGTCCACATTGACGCCCCAGAGCTTCTGGATGCGATCGTAAGGGTACGAAATGGCGTCGAAATTCTCAGTGAACCCGGCCGAGGTAACCAGTTTGTCAATTCTGCCATGCTTCTCGAAAATCTCAGCTAGTACTGTGTTCACAGAGTCTGGATCGGCCACGTCTGAGTAATGGGCGGTAACCCTCGGCATTCTATGGAGTAATTCAGTATCTGACGTCACGCATGCCGTCCAATGGATTCACATACTCCGCATCCTGCACGCCCGGGTTCTCCTTGCGGAACTGCTCTACCAGTTTCTCTGCCTGTTCCTCGGCTTCCGTCTCTGTATATGTATCCCGTCAGCAATTGTTCTTCTATCCCCACAAAGGCCCGTTACACTGAATCAACCTACTATTCAAATCAACAATCGCAAGATGTGACCCCGACGCCACCAGCGCCTGAGCCATGACAAGACCCAAACCACGCGCACCACCCGTCACCACGCTGACCTTATTCTCGAGGGAAAATGCGGCCAGCGTCCGTTTGAAGTGCATACCCCCACGGCCTTGAACGACCGGAGAGCGAGGCATATCCTCATCTGGGGGGTATTCGATCTGCAGGCTCTCATCAACACGGGCATTGCGGCCCTCTTTGTCACCCAATGTGCCCTGGCGTGCTCTGTCGGTTGCGGTCAACAGGGGATCTTTTGAGGCTTGATCTTCTTCCTCTTCTTCGCTGGCCCGGGGGGGGGGTGGATGAGAGGGGACGACGGAGAATTTTGACGCTGGATGATCGGGTGAATAATGAAGCCGGGCGGGCTGTGGTGTGATTGAGAGACTTGATGGCTTGACGAGCGACTGCAATTCTAAGCATGTTGGCGTGTGGGCGAACAAACGGTAGATGAAGAAGGAAGTAAATGAGACGATCGATGCCCGAAGGAAAGAAAAATACAACTGTAGAATTGAGATTAGACGCCAGCACAAAAAGGTTGCTTACAATGTAGAAAGAAAAAAATGAGACAAATCCACCTACCTAATAACACGAAACAGACAATGCACAAATAAATATAATACTGACAATGGGAGACGGTGGTGCGTCCTCTGTGGGGTGGGGCTGTTGTAAAGAGGACGAACAGGGTGACAGACTACCTCCTATAGAATCTTGGACTCAATTTCTCTCTTGTCCATCCCGGTCAAGGACATTCTGAAAGAGTGATGTCAGATACAGAAAGATCCCTGAAAGGACTGCAATTATTTGCCTTCCGCGTGACTCCGGCCTGTCTATTCAGGCCGACCAGAATCTAGACCATCACTGCTGGGCTGCATGTATTTTCTTCTTATCTGCGGGGAATATTGGAGAGCTTCATTTCTTGACCGAAGAGATTTCCAGTATACAGACAGATCCATACTTGGAGGGTAAATTCGAGACAATGTTCAGTTTGAAATGTGTCATCCATGTTTCATTATTTAAGCAACGCTGAATGATCCTCTGTATGTTCCATGTTCCCCATAGAAATAGATCCACTGATTGAGCCGTGGGCGTGATCGTCTCCGCTTCAAGACCCACTTCCCCAGTTCTCGGCACGCCCGCCTTCCTATTCCTGATTTGACCGATGGTAACCGTTTACTTGGGTTGTATACTGTTCACGCATATATTTCGATATTCGCTTTTGTGCCTACCCCGAAGACTCGGTGTCTACCTCGGTGAACTCGACAAGTGGTGTGCCGCTTTTGCATTGATCCTGCAAGACAGTGCGTGTTAGTGATGGCTCGTACTTTTGATAGGTAGATAATCAAAATGAAGGGAAGGGGGAAAGAAGGATGAGGAGGACAAAGTAACGACAATCCATCGACCCAAACATCCATAGATATCAGGGTGGTAACGGGTTAATGGGGAGGAAGAATCGCGACATACTCCTTGTTTATGCACCACTTTGGCGATCGTCCCCTTCTGTGGGCTGCGAATCACCGTCTCCATCTTCATGCTCTCAATCACCACCAACGGCTGGTCCTTTTCCACCACGTCTCCTGCTTGAACTTCAACGCGCAGCACCTTGCACGGCATCGGTGCCAGGACGCTGTTGGTCACATCCTTCATACCCAATGCCTTCTCCATCCACTTCGCCCGCGGGATTGACAGGCGATAGTGCGCTCCGCGTTGGAACACAGAGACGGTATCCTCGTCCCTGACCACCGTGGTGTCGAGGCGGGTATGAGGGAAAAAGGAGGTGACTACCGGCGAGCCCGGGCTGCGATGGCTCACTACCTGCTTGAAGTGGTGCGCGCCAACGTCGACATCAAACGTATGATCGCCCGTTTGTTGGACGCGAACATCGAAGGTGGAGTCCTTTTTGGCCCCAACGGTGGGGTCCGCAAAGCTGATCTGCCGTGACTGGTACCCAGGCCCAAATCCGACCGATGCTCCCTCGAAGCTAGCCTGTTTCCGAGACAGTGGTTCGGCGTCATGGTGTAAACATGCTAGTGCTGCTTGTACCAGCACCTCGGGATCGATCGCCTCTCGGGTAAACAACTCCTCGCGATGTTTCTCAATATACCCGGTCTCGACATTGCCGGCGATGAAATCTGGACTCCGGCAGATCGTTTTGAGGAATTCGATGTTGGTAATGGGACCCGCCACTTCGTACTCTTCCAGCGCGGCAGCGAGCTTGCGGATTGCTTCAGGTCGCGTACTGCCCCGTACGATGAGTTTCGCAATCATCGGGTCGTAGTGGGCGGAAACCTCGTCTCCCTGAACAAAGCCGGCATCGATTCGAACATCTTCGCTAGCTTGGGGTGTGCGGACGTGGAGGAGGGTACCCGAATCCGGGACGAACCCTTGATCCGGATTCTCCGCATAGATTCGTGCCTCGATTGCATGACCGCTGCTAGCCATGTAATTCTCAACATCCTCTTGCGTTAACGGCAGCTTGGCGCCCTCGGCTACCATCAGCTGCCAGTGGACCAGATCCTGTCCGGTGACCATCTCCGTGACGGGATGTTCCACCTGGAGTCTGGTGTTCATCTCCATGAAGAAGAACTCGCCCGTTTCGTTGTCAAAGATGAATTCGACGGTCCCCGCCCCCTCATAGCCTACGGCCACTGCAGCAGACCGTGCTTTGGCCCAGATGTCTTTCCTGGTGGCATCAGGCAGATGCGGAGCGGGAGACTCCTCGAGGATTTTCTGGTGTCGACGTTGAATACTGCAGTCTCGCTCTCCGAGAGCTACAGAGTTACCATGCTTATCAGCGAACACCTGCACTTCGATATGGCGTGGTGTCGTGATGTACTTCTCCACTAGAACGTGGTCGTCACCGAACGAGTTCATGGCTTCCGACTTGGCCGATTGCAATTGGGCCTGGAAGTCCGACTTTGTCTGGGCGATGCGCATTCCCTTGCCGCCACCCCCTTTGATGGCCTTGATGAGCACTGGATATTTGATCTTGTCTGCCTCGGCTTCTAGGAATTCGGGGTCTTGGTTCTGGCCGTGATACCCGGGCACACACGGTACCCCCGCATCGGTCATGATCTTTTTCGACTGGCTAGAGACAGTTAGCGAGACCCTAGAATACCGAAGAGAACCCAAGCCTACCTCTTGTCCCCCATATCTTCGATGGCCTTCCACGGAGGCCCGATAAAGACCAGCCCAGCTTCAGTACATTTCCGCGCAAAAGCGGAGTTCTCACTCAACTACGACGGGCAGAACAATCAGCACTTTGCCATACCACGACACAGGAGATAACACTTACAAACCCATAACCCGGGTGTATCCCTTGACATCCCTCTTGTTTTGCAATCTCGATAATCCTATCCCCATCTAGATACGCCGACACAGAGCCAAGGTTGAACGCAAACGGCGAGCTTAGAGCGTGCTGTGATCGACTATCGGGGTCTGTGTATAGCGTTGTCACCCGGATCCCATGCTGGGCCGCGGTCCTCCCTACCCGTCTTCCCCATCACGGTCAATACTTGTAACGCCCATTACAGACAGGATGTGTAGAACCAACATACAAAGCAATTTCTCCTCGATTGGCAATGAGAATCGAATCCAGCGATTTGGAGCCACTCGCGGTCGCCGTTGAAGCCGCCCGCCGGGACCTCTGAGCTGCCGTCAGGGCCAGGCGGGAGGACGAAATGCGGAGAAGTGACGAGAGCGGCATTGGGCCACTCAGTGGTTGGTAATACTGATAGCGGAAATATTCAGCACCAGCGAGAAGGTACCAGTGTAAGGTCAAATATGAAGCATCGCCTTATTCAGTATGATGATAGACCGCCGATTAATAGGGATGTGAAGGGCGGCGACTTCTTGTACTCGCCGAGCAAAGCTTCCGCCCCAAGCTCCCCCTTGAGCCGACGCAAAGCGAGCCTGCGGGGAAATGCGGGCATAGTATGCACGTGACTATTAATGGGGCTAGACCTTATTTGGACTAGTGTACTTTCTCAATCTGATGGCCATGTGATCTGCAGTCACATGCCCAGATCTATGGTCACGGGCCATCTATCTGGTCCATGCAGACTACAAATTGAAGATCCAGGACATGATCCTTTCTTTCCCTGACCAAGATTCATATTGTTTTGAATTGATGTGAATATGGTTAACTTCTTGATATTCCGTTATCATGATCGAAGTATCTACTGCTTCTCCTTCCAAGCCGCACGCTTATGGTAGACACCATGACGGAAGGTCTGCTTCAAAGTCTCCATCAACGCATAGTCAAGCGGCAGCGCGGCCTGCACGGCTCCAACACCACACAAACCGTTCTTGGGATCAATGAACCAGGTGAGCGTCAGGCCACCGCCCCAAGTCAATGTCCGCTCCCCATACCAACCATCGATATCTTCCAGCGTCAGCAAGCCGCCCAGACCATATCCCAACTTTGCTCCAGTATTGACACCGACGTTGAAGTGGGGCCCAATGGGACCATCCAGCTTCGCCTGGTGTCCCGCAGCTGCCAGAGGACTCAGATGGTTGCTGAACATGTCGTCAACGGTTTTGGGCTGAAGTAGCTTGCCGTCATTGCTCAGCAGAGAATGTAAGACCTTGACGAAACTGGCCCCTGACATGAAAAGACCGTGGCCGCCAAAGTCGCCACGACCGCGTCTGTTCATCTCCCCGCCACCGCCTAGCACAGCGCGGCCGATCGGCTCCGGATCATCGGGATTGAGATCGACGAGACGCGCACGCAGGTCCTCCCGCGTGACGGGGTAGAATTGAGCGTCGTTGATGGCTAGGGGGTCGAACATTCGCTCTTGCATCCGCTCTCCCAGGGTGCGACCCGTTACCCGCTCCACGATGCGGCCCGCCCAGTCAAGCCCCGGGCTGTACATCCAATCAGTTCCGGGTTGAAACCCCAAGGGGTAGTTGAAGGACTCTTCGACTGGTCGACGCTCATTTGGTTCTTGCGCGGGAGGGGCAAATTTTGCACGCCACTTGCTGAGATCTGGATCCAAGAAGTCGTACATAAGGCCGGAGCTATGCGTGAGCAACATCTCGAGGGTGATGGGGTGGGCCTGTGGTTCGAGTAGAGGATTCTCGGCATCGTCGAAGCCAGTGAGAACCTGTTTGGCCGCGAGCTCGGGGGCGATGGACGAGAGGTCGCCCGTCAGGGTGAGGAGACCATCTTCGACACATTGAAGGGCAGCGATGGAGGCCATCAGCTTGGTGGCCGAGGCGAGGTACAGCACATCGTCGAGTTGCTGCGGGCGCTTCTCGCCGGAGAGCAGGGTGCGTTCTCCCAGGGCCCGGTTGTAAACGAAGTGACCTTGGATGTCGGTGGTGCAAATCACAGCCCCACGTATCTTCCCCGCATCAATAGCGGCTTGAAAACGGGCTTCGAGATCCTCGGCCATTTTGAGGTGTCAATACGACGTCCGTTGATTGCCAAAATAAATGAAAACTGGTGATTTACGAGGAAGTAGCAGGAAAGAGAAGCACTACAGCGGGGAGAGGCCGATAGTTATATCAAGCAGTACTCAACGTATCTCAGACCTAAAAATAAAACGAGCTTCTATAGATGAGTCAAAGTAATACGGGCACCCAAACAGGAAACGTTCGTATAAGACGGACGTACTCCGTAGTCAAAGTATAATTGTACATGATCTTTATGCTGATGATTAGTCAGAACGCTGCCCTGACCCGGCCCTGGGGGTAATCCCTCAATCCGGAAGGCGGTCAAGCAATGGGTCTTCGCCGGTTTCCTAATCAATAATGAATTTCTCTGCGTTCGTTTGCTTTTCACATTCCACCCCCAGCACCAGCAGCAACGACAGCCTGCAGCTCGACGTCACCGCCTGTGCATTGGGAATCTGCTAGGACTGTCTTTCATTTGGACAGATCGGACGACCAACCCGCGGATGAATGCGACTGTTGGTGCATTCCACCTCATACCCTTTTTGATATCCGCGTCGCATGGTTCATCGCCCTTACCTATCCTCTCTTGCCCGCTTCCCCACAGTCTGCGATAGACCGTCTTTCAGTTGTTACCCTGCCAAGATAGCACCACCACTGTTTCGTCATATATAAGTTCTATTTTATATTCCGGGAACCGCCCACCATGTCCGACGACGAGTACTACGACGAGTTCGACGACGACATCTTCTGGATCGAGGAACCCGAACCAGACGCTGCGGTAAGCCAACCCACACCCATCACCATCACCGGTTCAACAACCAAAAACCAGCAGGACTGACATAGGATGAGCAGGACGATCTCGCCGCAACAGCCCACTATGACGCTCTCTACATCGACGACCCCGTCCTCGAGGCCGAAGACTACTTCAGCGACTGGGAAGACCTTTCGGACGACTTCTACGACGAAGACCCGACCGCCATCCGCCGCCTACGCGCAATGGGCCAGTGGCCGAACAAGACCAAGGAACAACAAAAACAAGAGCAGGCACAACATCTGTCAAAGAAATCGCAACCCCTGCAGCGGAATCCGGCCCTCCAGCCAGACCTCAAGTCCTTCCAAAACGTCATCTGGAAGTCCCCCGCAGACGAGAACAAGGTTGTCCTCTACCAGCCCGGTACGGGCGAACAGGTTGCTTTATTGAAGAACTGGCGTGAAGTGTTTCGGAACTCGCATCCCGCGCTGGAGAGATCCCGCGCTGGTAGACCGCGTGGGGCGGTGACTAATGGTGTCGCTCCTGCGGTGCAGTCGGGGAAGCAAAGAGGGCGTCGGACACGAGGATCGCCCGTGCCAGCGGTGGAGAGTGTCCTGGATGACGCTGATGACGAGAAGACGGTCGAGAAAGGTTCGTCACCGGCGGTGGTGCGCACCACCCGCGTCGTCAGACCGCCTTCCACCATCCCTGTCGACTCGAAGACATCGCAGGAGAATTCCGTCGAAGTGAACGGGTCGCTCGATGCAATGCAGACTCAGCCGGATCAGATAAATGGCACCTCTGCGGCGGGCGAAGGCTACGAGGAGGTGACGAAACCGCCGACTACCCCGCGGTCCACCAGAGGGAGGAAACGCAAGGCGTCTGTTTCGCAGGCACATCCCGTATCAGGCGAAAATAATGACGACGGCCGACGGTCAAAACGAGTCACTTCGAAGAAGGTCGGGGACACGACGGAGCAGCCACCGCCAACAGAAACGACTCCAGTTCGCAGATCCGCGCGACGCAAGAAATAGACCCAGCAGAATAAAAACACAACACCTCAAGACGGAATGGCTTTTTTTATTCATGAGTAAACCCTGCTACATGTAAATACTATATAAATAGATGAATACGATCGATAAACAAATGGACATGCAATATGAACATCAATCACCACACCCAAAGAGATAAAAACCACTACGCAAACTCCCTATTAAACACCCTCCCAATAACCATCCTCCGAATCTCGCTCGTCCCAGCCCCAATCTCATAAAGCTTCGCATCCCGCAGTAACCGACCCGCCGGAATCTCATTAATATACCCATTCCCACCCATCAGTTGGATCGCATCCAGCGCACACTCCGTCGCCCGCTCCGCAGCGTACAGGATGGCGCCGGCGCAGTCCTGCGTGCGGATATTCACCCCCGTCGCGGCGGAGTTGTCGATCTCCCGTGCTGTGGTGTAAGTGTAGGCCCGCGAGGCCGCCAGCTTGGTGTACATGTCTGCTAGCTTGCCCTGGATGAGCTGGTTATGCGCGATGGGAGTGTTGAATTGTTTGCGGACGTGCGTGTAGGGGAGGACGAGGTCGAGGGCGGATTGCATGATTCTATCATCACTTTTAGCTTTTGTTCTTCTTCTTCTTCCTTCCTTCTGTCTTTCCGATTGGAGCTTGGGATTGGAATTGGAATTGGGGGAGGAGGCTTACCCTAACGGACCGGCGCTGAGAACCAGTCGCTCCAGATCCAGACCTTCCATCAGGACGCGCACGCCCTTGTTGATCTCGCCGAGGACGTTAGCGTGCGGCACGAAAACGTTATCGAAGATGAGTTCGCCGGTGTTGGAGCCGCGCATGCCGAGCTTGTCGAGCTTGCGGGCGCACGAGAACCCCTTGAAGGAATTTTCTACGATGAATGCCGTGATGCCCTTGGAGGCCATCTCGGGCTCGGTTTTGGCGTACACTACGATGTAGTCTGCGTCGGGGCCCTATTTGAGATTTGTCAGTATGGAAGGAGACGTCAGGGTGTTAGTGGAGGGACGAACGTTGGTGATCCACATCTTTGTTCCGTTCAACAGATATCCCCCGTCCACTGCCTTGGCTGTGGTCTTCATGCTGACGACGTCTGACCCGGCGGAGTGTTCTGACATTGCCAGAGCACCGATCTTCTCGCCGGACAGTAAACCAGGGAGATAGCGCTCTTTTTGGTCGGCGGACGCGTTCAGGGAGAGCTGGTTGACGCAGAGCTGGGAGTGTGCTGCGTAGGAGAGGGCGATGCTTCCTGCATGAACACTCTATTAACGACCACTCTTCCCCCTTTCAATGGTAGGTCGAGAGCAATACCTGATGCGCGGCTCATCTCCTCCATGACGATGCAATGCGCCTGATAGCCCATTCCCAGACCCCCGTATTCTTCATTCGCGGTGACACCGAGGAGCCTGCGACACGTCAGATGTGTTTACGCCAGATGAGAGTAAAGGACATCTACCCGGCATCGCCCAGTTTCTTCCACATGTCCGCGGGAAATTCATTCTGGGCGTCTGTACGCGCGGCTACTTCTTCGGGAATTTCACGACCTGTGGACTATATGTTAGCATCATGTCAGTCAAATACAGATAGATATAGAAAACTAACGAGTAAACTCCTGGACCCGCTCCCGTAGCTCATGAAGATCGTCATCGGTGGGCGGCGTGAAGCCCTGGGGATGCTTGGTGGCCAGTGTCCGCAATGCGGGGGACTGCGTGAGGGGGCTTCGTCCCAGCCGACACAAGGGGCGGCTGGAGGTGCGCAGGAGAAAGGGCAGTCGACAGACGGAAGCCATGGTTAATTGAGAGTATCAGGAATGATTGATGAGGAGATTCGGATGGAGTTCAAGGGAGAAAGATGGAGAAGAAGAAGGGCAAGATGTTCCGCCGATGCCAACCGCGGATAGACGCGGCCATCCCCGGCGTCAACTCCGCATTCTCGTGATCTCGCGCCTTACTTACTTTTGTTCCTCTGCTCCATCAACACTTGTCTCAATCATACTTCTTCGTATCTCCGTCTATATTATTTAAAAACCATGTGCTCGTCCTTCCTGAATTGATTCTGACGCTCTTGATTCTGTTTGATCTGACTTGATCGATCTCTCCACGATCATCCCCGCAATGCGTGCCCCGTCTCCACTTCTCCGGAGTTTCGCCTCCAGATCCTCCTCCTACCTCCCGTCATCGCGACGGCTCCTCGCTCAACGAACTCCCCATTATATCCGGCCAACTCCTCGCTGCACACAGTCTTCGAGATCCATCGCCAACTACTCACACCCGCATCATGCCTCCGCCCTGTCTGTGCTCCCCACAACGGTGGACCCGGCCTCCACCGAGTTCCAGGAAAACAGCCGCCAGATGGACGAGCTCGTCGACCAGATGACCAATCTACACAGCACAATCGCACAGGGAGGACCGCAGAAGGCACGAGACAAACATATCGCCCGTGGCAAGATGCTACCCCGAGACCGGGTCACGGCGTTGATCGACCCCGGCACGTCCTTCCTGGAGCTCTCCCCGCTAGCGGGCCACGACGTCTACGGGGAAGAAGTCCCGTCAGGCGGCATAATCACCGGCATTGGCACGGTGGAGGGCGTGAGCTGTATGATCGTGGCCAACGACAGCACCGTCAAAGGCGGCACATACTACCCCATCACGGTGAAAAAGCACCTCCGCGCGCAGGCGATCGCCCAGGAAAATAAGCTGCCGTGCATCTACCTGGTCGACTCGGGCGGTGCAAACCTCCCCCACCAGGCCGATGTCTTCCCGGACAAGGAGCACTTCGGTCGCATCTTCTTCAACCAAGCGCGCATGAGCTCCCAGGGTATCCCACAGATCTCCGTCGTCATGGGTCCCTGCACCGCGGGCGGTGCCTACGTCCCCGCCATGAGCGACGAGTCCATCATCGTCGAAAACCAAGGCACGATCTTCCTGGCTGGCCCACCGCTCGTCAAGGCGGCCACGGGTGAGGAAGTCTCCGCGGAAGACCTCGGCGGTGGCCAGCTCCACAGCTCCATCTCGGGAGTTACGGACTACCTCGCCGTGGACGACGCGCACGCTCTCATCCTCGCCCGCCGGTCAATCTCCAACCTCAACTACCCCACAACTAGCACACCCCTCCAACTTCCCGACGGCGAAGCCATCAAAGAACCGCTCTACGACCCAGCCGAATTAAACGGCATAGTTGGCACCAACCTCCGGCGCCAGATCCCAGCGCACGAAGTCATCGCGCGCATCGTCGACGGCAGTGAATTCTCCGAGTTCAAGCGCGACTACGGCACCACGCTTGTGACAGGCTTCGCGCGCATCTTCGGCCACCGCGTCGGCATCGTCGCCAACAACGGCATCCTCTTCTCGGAGTCGTCGCTCAAAGGCGCGCACTTCATCGAGCTGTGCGCCCAGCGCCAGATTCCGCTCCTCTTCCTGCAGAACATCTCGGGCTTCATGGTCGGCGCCGATGCCGAGAAAGGCGGCATTGCTAAGAATGGCGCGAAGCTGGTCACGGCTGTTGCTTGCGCTGATGTGCCCAAGTTTACGGTCGTGTTTGGCTCGAGCGCTGGTGCTGGAAACTACGGGATGTGGTATGTCCCTCTCGTCTCCTCTCCCTTCCCCCTTCTCTAACTTCACATGGCTAATACGAACAGCGGCCGCGCCTACTCCCCCCGCCTCCTCTTCATGTGGCCGAACGCCAAGATCGGCGTGATGGGATCGGAGCAACTCTCATCCGTGATGGAAGCCGTAGGCCGCACGGCAGACCCGGAGCTGAAAGCGCGGATCGACCGCGAGTCGGAAGCGGTGTTCTCGTCTGCGCGGCTGTGGGACGACGGGGTGATTCCGCCGGCGCAGACGAGACGGGTGTTGGGGTTGAGCTTGGCGGCTGCGTTGGGCGGGAGGGCCGAGGAGGTGAAGACGAAGTTTGGGGTGTTTAGGATGTAGTTTCTGTTTATCCTGGTTTAATGCATACGTAGTAGCTTGTGTTGAGATCGGTTGATATACTCGGTAGCGGACTCGTATTGAAGATAGCTTTTGGTCAACCCTGAATTCATACTATATGATGTAGCAGTAGAAATCTCACTGCTACTGGAAGACCATCATTGTACTGAAAGACTGGAAGTACCAAGCGTATTTGTATACAGTATATAGTATAGTATCTACGAGAAGCGCCCTCAAAAACATGTACATACATACATACATCCAAACAGCACAGCTATCCAACAATATATACAATCCTTTCCATCTTTTCTTCCTTTTCCTTTTTTCAAAGAGACAGAGAGAAATAGAGAGAGATCAAACAACCTCCCCAAACCGCCCCAACGCCCCATCCAACCTCCCAAACACGCCCCCAAACCACCCCTTCACCTCCTCCCACTCATCACGGGGCAACATCCCCCCAAACATCCTCAACCACCCCCCGACCACAAAATCCGCATAACACGCCTCCTCCCCTCTGACAAACGGCCCCCCACCATTCCCCTCCCACAACCCAGCCAACCCCTCCAACGCGCCCCTCAACGAATCAATCACCGCCCGCCTCGCCTCCCCCTTCACCCCAAGCGCCTCCCAGTCGTCCATCCCCGCGCGCCGCAAAAACTCCGCCTTCGTTTCCTCCGCGGTGGCCGGGTCAAGCGGCATACCGTGGACAGCGAGCTGAACATGCGCGCTGAACGCAGCGTCGACGGAGGTGTTAAACCGCGCGTACGCAGCCAGCACGGGATCCGACTCGCTGCGCTTGCTGAGCGGCGCGAAGACTTGCGGTCCCACGGTGTAGGTGTAGTTGAGCGGGGTGTCCGCCGGGAACAGATTGTTGTGGGCGGTGTTATCGCTGGGCCCGGCGTCCGGATAATGCGTCTGCAGGTGGATGGCGATGTCAAAGGAGTCGCCGATGGGCGGGCAATCCTTGATGGAGGCGTCCGTGAGAACAGGCAGGGTGTGGAAGTCCTTCCCGTCTGCGAAGCTGCGCGAGGCGGGGACGTTGAGCGAGCGCCGGACGGTGGCGATTTGGGGGAGCGGCACCCAGACGGTTTTGTAGGGGATGGATTTGAAGTTGAGCGCGTAGCGGGATTTCCAGGGGTTGGGGGCGCAGGTTGTGCTTTCTACGGGGGGTTTGAAGGCGATGTCGTAGAATGTTAGGTTTGGGGTTGTGGTGGTTGGCATTTTGGTGGTAGACCTAACTTGGGGTCGGTGGGTGTTTGGGCGGTTGAGGATTTGGGTGTATGTAGAATTGAGGTAGGTGAGGTTGGTGGGATGGTTTGGTGGAGGTTGTGTGTACAGCGTACTTATCGAAATTGATCTTTTAAGGCGGGGTATGTCTTACTTGGTCCGTTGTTAGATGTGCCTGAATAATCATCTTACTTCTATCGGTTTCCCGCCACTTACTCTGGAATCACCCGAGCATACCTAATATCCAAGTATCTACCGGACCTCCCTACATGTATGCAAGGCTCTACATTGACGTCGGAGAGTTCGTTTGGGGTGATTAGACAACATATTCTTAAGGGGAAGTACATCAGCGGTCGTGAGACCCTCGTCTAGTCAACATTCTCAACAACAACCTCTCACAAACCCGGATATATCAGCATTTGCCGGGACCAATAGGCCAGCAGTTCGAGGCTGAAACAAACCAACGAATGGGAAAGGAGACAGAAGATAGAGAAGATAGAACAGGATACATGATGATAATAACAGGCAGAGAAGTAGAATTTTCCATTTTCAGTGTGGTGGTTCATTCCAAAACGTGGGATGACGGAACTCCGCATCCAAAAAAAGCGATAGCCCAAAAGTATAGTTGAACATATATCTATTATCGTTGGCAGCGTACGGAAACATGGCGTGACATACAGTGCGACATTAAGCAGGTTTCGAAGCAGGATGGGTATGTGCAATAGAAACGTTTCTACTGGTGAAGAAAACGAAGGTCGGAACTCATACGGGGAGGGGAGGGGAGTGGTCGATGGTCCACTCGCGGGGCGGACCGTCTATTATAAGATCACGCAAGGCCCCTTGCGTCGTCGTCGATTGCTTTTCCGATCGTTTCGGTCCGAGCCGTCCCGCTTGCGAGAGTCGCCCTTGGAGCTGCCCTGGAGATCCTTGCGGATGATCTGTCGGCAGAGGTCCGTGAAGACCTCGTTGACATTGGCGCGTCGACGCGCCGAGGTCTCGTAGTACGGCGCATTGCCCCAGCTCTGGGACAGGCCAAACGCCCGCGCACGGGGCACGGCGCGGTCTTCCTCAAGATCGGATTTGTTGCCCACGATGACGATCGGGACCTTTTCGTCGTCCTTGATACGGATGATCTGTTCTCGGAGCTCCGAGAGCTCGTTTAGCGAGGACATGCTGGTAATCGAAAAAACGAGCAGAAACCCCTGGCCCTGCTTCATGTATAACTCTCTGGAAGGAAGCGTCAGCATTGAGTGGGGTCGTGGTGCCCGTTGGCCGAGGACGGGCCAACCAAACGGGCGATGGGTCAGGACATGAATACCTCATGGCCGCTGCGAGACGTGTCAGTGGGACTTCTTGGCGGAGATGTACAAGCGGCAGACTTACTGAATTGTTCCGTTCCAGCGGTGTCGAGGCTGTAGAAAGTCGAGGGTCAGTGTGACTGTTGTGAACTTCTATGAAGGAGTCATCAAGAGCGGTCACGTTGCGCAATACGTGCCAGTGTCAACGCACATTTCCAAGATGCATTGTCGTCCCTGTGACCGTAAGTAACTGGGCCGACGGAGATTGATCGACGCGACTTACATCAACCTCAATCTGCTTCCGGTATGAATCCTCGATAGTGGGGTCATAGCTCTCGATCCAGACATTCTGGACGAATTGAGCTGCGGTGATGATCAGCAATTGTGACCACGATCCAGCGCTGTGCGGGGGAAGCAACAGGATCTCAACCCCAGGGAATTGATTGGGCAAGATGTGTCATACCCGTCAAACAGCTTTTCCCCACACCTCCTACAGCGCACGCAAGTTATCAGCACCAGTCAAACCACCTCCAGAGACCCCGGCGGTGTACAATGGGTGCCTACCAGCGCCTAGCACGACGATATGATACTCCCGTCTAGGACGAAAAGGCCAATTAGCACCACGCGATCAGGCCATATCCAATACCAGGACAAGACTTACTGGGGCCGCATTGCGAAGACAGCAGTGCACGGATTCAAACCACGAAATCGTAAAGGTGCGAGTAAAAGGACACACGGCCTGCTGGTGCCACGGGGAAAGACTAAAAAGCGGAGGGGGCAGCTTCGGGCAAAGGCAGAGCGGACACCGCTGTGTTATCTCCTGATCCTTCGGCGGTGGGTCGTGGGGGAAAGAGAGGGGGCGAGAGGGAGAGAGAGTGGGCGGTCGGATCAATCCAATTCAATCCAATCCAATCCAGACAGACGAACGTCAAGGCCCAGCAGGTTGAGTGTTTTCTCTCTGGTCTGCCGAGTTCCGTCCAATAGAAAAATAAATCAATCGAAAATAAAATCGAATAAAAATCCACCCAAGTTGTTTGTGTTCACACTTTTTGTTTGTTTCTGCAGGCGATCCCTCACAATTGAATGGGTTCGAATTGAATTGGATTTCCCCCCCCGTGAGAGGAAGGATGAGGAGGTGGATGAAGGCGGGGTGCGATGGTACGAGCGAGGTACGGTGGTAGCGACAAGGCGATCGGTTTACATCGGACGGAATCGGTTCTCGACCAGTGGCAGTTGGAGGGTGACGACGGACGGCTGGAGTGAATTGACCTGTTTAGAAACTCCAGGAAGTATGAGGCGGGGGGGTGAGTGGGTGGGGAGGTAAAAGGAGGGAGGAAGGAAGAGAGAGGAGGACAGGGCGGGAGATCGGGGGCGGATGTCTAGACTGTGGAAACTAACGGGGTTGAGGTTGAACCTAGGTTAATTTCGTTGGACCCCGTTTCCCAGATGGTCCGATGGAGGGGGAGGATGAGGTTTGCAGTTCCGAAAACCTACCTACCCCATGCACTCCGACCCCAGCTGAGAAATGATTGCGATAGAACAACTTGTATCTCCAAGAGATCGAGGAGTACCCAGTATTGAAGAAATACAGTATTGTACTTGGTGGAGGAAGCAAGGCGGCGGCGGTGAGCAGAATCCACTGTGTGGGGATCAGTATGGTTATATCTTCGACCTAAAAGTCAGAAAAGGAAGAATCCATAGGTTTCTAGGGTCCTTATATAAGGATAGAAGAGACCCTGTATATCCCTGATTATTCCTAGACTTGCTAATTTCCGACACCAGAGCCTCTTCCAGGATTCCAGTAGATCCGAAAAGTCCCTACCTAGTTACTATACTATCCTGAAGACGGAGATAAAAATAGATCCTCTTAGCTGCCCCTTTAAACACATGATATTGAACAAAATATAGAGAAAATTATAGAAACAACGTCACAATCAGAGAAAGAAAAGAACAATTCACTGGGATCCAATTCCACGGAAGGAATACCCATGTCCCAAGGCATAAGCTGTACCAGTCGGGCGCACTCCAACATCAAGAGACCTATAAGATATCTTGATAGACGGTTTAATTGTTGGTGAAAATCCAATCCAATCCAATCCAATCCTACAAGAAACAATTTCAATAAATGCTGGACTGATCCAGGAAAACCAATAATAAAAACAGAACAAGTCTCCCAAAGCAGGAAAACTCCAGGAATATCAGTCCATCACCTCCAGAAAGGGAAACCAACCGATCTATCAATCTAGGCACCTAGTTCGTTATACTAAGGAACTGGGTGAACCTTGGACTTTGATAGACGGAGCATATCTCCGTATCAGTTCCATTATGAGGGATATTCGGAGCCCATACCTACTACCATCGTCTTCCTCTTCCTCCTCCTCCATCCTAGCCCTCTAGGGTCCTGCCTACTCCCTGAACCAGGCACCTGGACAAGGAAGGATACGAATCAAATAGATCGATCTCAACGCCCCGATGAAGATCCGTTCGGCAATTACATCGGGACTTGGCCCGTCTTTCCGGGTCGATCTACCTTTTATTGTGATTGATTTTTTATATCTTTCCTGGGGGGGTTCCTACCTGCCATGCAAAGTCTAATCCCCACTAACTACGGAGTACGGAGCACTAATGCTACATTAATATTTTTCAAACAAGGCAAAACGGCCGATTGACCCATAGTTACTGTCTGATCCTTTGGAATGGAGTTCCATTCGGATCTTCATAGATCGATCCTCATCCCGTCCTATGGAGGTAGTAGTACGCATGTGACATTGTCTGTCTGTCTGACAGCGATTTGAGTCGAGACTCAGGGGTACCCTCCATCTGGTTTATATTTTGTGGCTGAGATGATCAACCTACTACCCATCTAGGTATCTATCTATCAATAACCCTGTACCGGATAATGCGACTGCGGCAGTGCAGGGCTCTACATACCCCCTTGGGAAATAGGGAATAGCGGCTCCGTGCCTTGTCGTTATTTTGGAGCGGACTGCCGATCACGGTGGTAGTCGGGGGCTGAGTGGTCTACATTTGAAAAACGGTTTTGAGAGGGAAACGGATTGGTTGGTCTATTGTAGCAAATATGGGAGGACACAGCAAAGCATGACTGAGGTCTATACATGGTGGGATATATACATGAGGTCCGCAAGCCCGAATCAATCAGAGCCACTGCCATCATGGTGGGAAAAGGATGGGATATATAGGAGTTAGGAAAGAAAATAGAAAATAAATGAGATAAATCAATTGAATGACTGCACGACTCCCAAGAGGAACCGCAGGAGAGCCTGTGATTAATGGTCCGTCGTGCCGTTCACCCGATCCACCTTCTTCTCAGACAGTGGCTGATTTTCGCCGCCATACCGCTCGAGCGCCTCGAACACATGGCCAAACACCTGCCGGTCCACGTCGTGAGCCCAGAGGAAATCGAGATGTTCGTAGTTGGCGATCTTCGTGGTGACCGTCGTGCGCGGCAGCTCCTTCAGCATGACGTTGATGTCCACCAGGCTGTCCTCGCCGCCATACAGCAGCACGATAGGCGTCTTGATGTTCTTGGTCGGATACTTAACCGGCTTGTAGAAGCGCTCGCTGACGGCCACGCTAAACGGCGCGTGGATCTCGTCGTCGTAGAACTGGAAGTTCTGGTGCCGGATGATCTGGAACCAGTGCACGACGGACTTGGTGCTCGTGAAGGAGAACAGGTGCATGTAAGCCGCCATCTTCTGCCACCGGCTGATGTTGCGGCACTTCCAGTTAAAGAGGACTGACAGCGCGCTGTCGATGACGCGCACGAAGATGGGCGGGTACACCACGCTCTGCCACATTGTCGTTGAGCTGAGGATGCTCCGCCGCCCGAAGAGCAGGAACAGGAAGTTGGGCGACGCTTTCATGAGCGAGTCGACAATGCGGTTCGGCAGACCTGTCGGCGCCATTGCCGGCGCCAGCGCCACAAAGACGTCGATCTTCTCGTTCAGCAGCGGATGGATGGAGAAGGTTGCGAACGCTTGCGCCGTTCCCTGCGAGAACCCGATATACGACAGGGACGGCTGCGCCGTCACGTCCAGGATGTACTGGATGCTGTCCGGGATGTCGTGGAAGGCGAAGTTGTCGATGGAGAAGTCCCAGAACTCGGTCGACAGCGGGGAATACTTGACGGATTTTTTCGAGTACTTGTTGCCGCGGTTGTTGCCCAGCCACACGTCGTAGCCCTGCTCCACCAATTGGAACGGGAGACATCGCTCCTCCGACGACAAACACACCCAGACTTCGCTGCACATCAGCAGTCCGTGGTGGAGGTAGACGGCCTTCTTGCGCACGCTGTCCTTCCCCTGGTTGACGCGCAAGCCCTGCTTCTCCTCCCCTTTGCGGTAGGGCAAGCGGTGCAAACCCAGCAGGTAGCCATCGCGGGTCTGGACGATGTGTTCCTCGGCTTCGTAGCCGAACAGGGCGCAGATATCCGCGAAATCCGACGCCTGTGCCACCGACGCCGCTGTCCGCTCCTCCCGGCTGCGCTGGCCCGGGTCGTCCGGTGAGGTAGCGAAAATATTAAAGATGGTCTTGGACCGGTCGTAACAGAAGTTGATAACGGGGTCCGCTATTCAAGTCAGTATCAGTCTTGCCCCTTATCCGGTCTCAAGGGATTCAGCAGATGGGCGTATGGAAAGGGAACCTACGTAGACAGAACGTAATGATATGGATCACCCATTCCAGCAGTACCAGGATGAACGAAGCAAGAAGGGCAAGGTATTCAAACCAAAACAGCCTGCCAATCACGGGCACACGCGCCATGATGCGAGAAGCGGTCGAACAAAATACCGCTGTACTCCGTACTCAGTAGAAGATTAGAAGAGTATTGTCACACAAAAGCCTCGATAGCAAAATCTGGTCATTCTGTTAACCGACAGCAATAGTAGTAGTAACAAGTAATACCCCAGACAACGAAGGGGGGAGGGACAAATCCAGAAACAATCACTGAAGCGATCGGCCGTCACAGCCGACGTCATTGTAAACCCTCTCCATTTATCCATTTTTGTGCTGCCTTCATGTGATGGTTTACTTAAGCCGGAATGACCCGCCCAGCAAATCAGCACCCAAGGATTATACCCGGCATCGTTCCGGCTGTTCGATTGGATGAACGGCCCAAATTCTGCCGTGAGAACCTCAGGTGTCCAGTAGTTGGAATTAACGATTGTTCCTCCACCTCTCCACACCTCACCTGTTGGCGATTGGAGTTGCATCTCCTGTATAACAAGATGCCTAGCTCCTGCATTGACATCCGTGAGTATTCATATGCATGAACCAGCACAATCCCTCTTCCCCCCCCAGTTCCTCCTTCTACCCCGGATTGAAATCCACCGCAAGACTAGACAGCCAGATAGATAGAAGATAGATAGCTAACCTACTCCCCTCATCAGGAAACGCCCTCGCGCAATGCCTCCAAGAATCAGACTGCATTATGGTCCAGCGCCACAGCCCGCGCGACTGTCTCCGCGAACCGCTCGTCGACGAACTGCCCACGAAATGCCAACAACTCCGTAAAGGATTCAGCGAGTGCAAGTGAGTAGATGAACCACCTAGCCAGATCACCTGGGGATTCTCGGCATCCGGATACCGGCTCAAATTGATTGATCGCCATTCTCTGACTTGTTTCCCACACAGACGCGGAATGGTCGACATGCGCAAGCGATTTCGCGGAAACCAGCCCATCGCTGTCTCCAAGGAGCTGGAGGGCGGGAGCTCCCAGTCTGGGGGACAGCTGTATGGTGGTAAGCCGGCGTTTGAGACGGTTAAGGAGGTGAATGGGACTGAGGTTGAGATGGATCCTGAGAAGACGAGGGGTTTGTAAGTGATATTGTACGGTGCGAAGAATTGAAGGGTGGGGGTAAAAGAAGAAAAGAAAAGAAAAAGAAAAAAAGGTCGCATGGGTATCGCTAGGCTTGGGAGTTGTGATTTTGTCTTTTTTATTGGTTTATTCAGCATGGGAAGGAGTTGTTGATGTATGTATATTAGATTAGGGTCGTCATGCTATAGGCCTTGTACAGTTTAGATATGTCTATCCCTCTTCTTTTGGGTCCGTGTGGTTTCAATCCTAACAACTACTCTTTTACGAGTGCCCGGCTCTAAATCGACGGAACATCGTACACGAAATAAGACAGGATTCATTCAGTAATTATGTGCTAATATATCAACTACTGCGTCTTCTTCGAGTCGACAGTCGCCTTCGGCGCAGAGTACAGCCACACGACAACAAAGGCCAAGAACCCACCGATCACCGACCACAGGCCGGCGATCCAGACCCATCCGCCAGTGATCTTCCAGCTGCGGGGAAACTCGTCGTGGGCGAAGTGGCGGACCGTCACCTCTTCCTTTTCTTCGATGTTGCTGAAGAAAGGACGCTTGTAGTTGACGCGGAACGAGAAAATGCCATGCTGGTCGGGAACGGTGAAGCGCGTGCTGTAGATGGTGCTGTTGGCGGTGCGGCCTGAGGGCTCGAGGTCGAGACGGTGGAAGGGCGAGAGCATGGTGAACTCGAGCTGCAGCGCATCATTGGCGGGGACTTCGAAGGGGACGAAGTGATCCTGATCGTACTCGGACAGTTCGATGCTGTAGACCTGTTCAGAAATGCATGTCAGCTGCTGATCCATCGTATCCTCTCACACTTCTCTCATGTAGGCGTTGACATACGATCTCATTCTTAACCCGGTACATCGCAGGGTTCGGCTCCTTCAACTCAACGTCCGTAGCCAGGCTGTGCTCAACCTTTCCAACCTTGAGCACACCGGTCTCCTTGAAGGTCCAGGCCGTCAATTGCTGGGCGAATTCCCGGTTGGCGGTCTGCGTCTTCTTTCCACTCGGGGTCTTGACAGTCGCGGAGAACCAGTGGTCCTGGAGACTCTCCACGGAGCCGAGCAGAGTGAATCGAGCCGAGTTGCGACCCTGCATGGCAGACACAATATCCAGTTGGGAGCCCGTAGCCGCCACTTCCTCCACAGATCCCGAACTCTCCTTGGGGTTGTAGCTGTAGGCGGTCGCAGGGGCGCGCACGATGGGCGCAACGAGGTTATTATCGTCGCCGAGGGTGTGGGGAGAGGCAGTCGGGAAAGCCAGGACGCCTTCGCCGCCGAAAAAGTCCTTCGTGTCCGGTCGGAGCTGGCCCGGTCGCGGGACAATCAGGACATCGTGCTTCTCGGGCGCAGAGATGGTGTCGTAGTTGAAGTGATCGACGACGACGGAGGAGCGGTCCGATGACATGTGGAAGTCAAGCTCGATGAGTAGCGAGCTGATTGCGCTCGGTGTGGTCGACTTGCCGGAGAGACCGAGCAGGACGTTGCCGTCGTTGTTTACGAAGTCGACGATGTTCTTAGGACTCAAAGCCGGGCCCAACCCTGTCGGACGGAGTCAATTCAGCTGCACAAGACACAGAACCCTTAGGGGACGCTAGACGGATGCCCACCTTTCGACCGAGGGGGAAGAATCAGGAGATGGTCGTAGGCCTTCTCCCCGTACTTGAACAAGGACAGGTCAGAGCTCTTGGGCGATTGGAAGTCGAGGTCATATCCGCGCGCTGTAGAAAGAGAGGTGTAAGTGTCTCGCCCATCAGCGCGCATCCAAAATACAAGATCATACCTTCTAAATCACCCCAAAACGTAGAGTAAAGGCCCTTGTCGTCCGCATCCTCCAACACCACCAGCAGGCGGTTCCCCGAGCTACTCAACGCATGTGCCACAGCCAAGAAGCTGAAAAGAAGAATAGAAAGGCACCACCGCATTTTGAGCGAGTCCGCACAGCGGAACTGAAAACAATGACGGAAGAAAAAAATCTGACGGAGTGTGTCGACAATTGAAACCCAGCAAGAAGAGTGTCGTCAGTTGAAGTGGTGTCACCAACATCCTACTATAAACGGGCGACGTGTTTGGACCGAGCGCCAAGACCTCCAAACCTCCATAGTCCGTTCCGTCCGCCTTTCCCGTCGTCACAACCTCATGCCGAACCTCTCCCCCTCCTCCTCTCTATCTCGACCCGTCTAGCCACCCCTCCTCAGCGCACGCCCCGTCGTCTTCGTGCGCTACCAGAGTCGAAGCGCAAGTAACCTCCGCAACCTGTCTATCTCAATTGACCTGACATTATTCCCCCCAGGTTCAGTCCCACCCGTCGACTCCCGACCTCACCCAAAAAGTTTCTTCCATCGCTCCACCGCAACCATGTCCACCCCTCAGTTCTGGTCCACCCCCCTCCGCTACCTGCGCTGGGCCTCCATCGAGAAGCCCGCCATCTTCTACTCCCTGATTATCGGCTCCACGGGCCCCGTCATGCTGTTCGCCGCGCCGCCAATCCGCCGCGCCTTTGGCGACATTGAGCCCGAACCCATCCCCTTGACATATCCCAGTACGGACTCCCTTTTCTTTTCCCAGTCCACAGTCGCCTCTCTCTCTCTTCCCCCGTGGCTACCTGTCCCCTGCAGTCGGTAGTTTTGCAAGCCATTGACTAACAATCTTTGTACAACAGTCCCCGAGGGCCCCCGGAATCCCCCGAAAGGGTTCGAAGACGCATAAACTTGCCCTCCCAATCAATCGCTAGGAACCGGCAGTGTAGTGCAGTGGTGTGTTTGTTTCATGGATGGAGTTGAACTTTGTCGCTTGATTTTTTCTCCCTTTGGTGTATTTAGCATGGAAAATATATGACCCTTGACACCGATCAGTCAGTACCTGCTTGGTAGAGAAAAAGACGTCTACCGGGTTGTTCTGGTAGCGCATCACAACTGCTGACTGGGGTCATGTTCTGCGCACAGAAAGCAGGGGAGCATTCGCATAGAATGCCGCAGGCAGACAAGACAGCTAGAGCGGAGAAACATATCCGATCCATCACTCATCAATATCTTAATATTGAGCAATGCTAGCATCAAGCTTCAAGACGGTCAATTGTCAAAGATAAAAAAAACAAATTATTGCTAATTTCTGTTCTTCATTTGTTTCTTTATTCCCTCTTTTCCAGAACTATACTACAAAAACAAACTATAGTAGGCAGATCACACCCTGAACGAACCACATGAGATTGTCTCCCCTCATGCAATGCAATGCATAAAACACCAGGAAGTATTCCACTATTCCACCCTTCCATGGACTAGACAAACGCTAAAAAACTATTGTGAATCAACGATGTGGCTCCTGAGTTGTGCAGCTCTGTTGGAATAGAGGTTCCAATCATAGATATAGATATCTCAAATCCATAGTTGAAGATGATTTTCTAAGCGAGAGGGTGGGTCTCAGCCCATGGTTTCTAATACAACTTACCCGTTGAATAGGTCCTCCAATAGGGGTCTGGTGATTATTGTAGTGAATGTGGAGATCCATCGACGAGGCTACGGGGTATACTGTAAGAGTCCCATAGTTGGCTAAGTCGCTGTATCCAGGGAATAATGGGATACGTCCATGCTCAATACATGAATAACGTCTACACGGCAGTCGGTAGATACAATGAAGTCTTGCGTCGAGCAATGAAAGTATAATTAGATAAATCATCTCTGGGACGCATCCCCGAAGAGAAAAACAACGAACGCCATATATGCTCATATCTACATATAGCTCGTGAACAGCATCACTGTATATCAATCATCAAACCTCCTAGCTGACGTCTTGCAAGATCAGTTGGATGCTCCCATCAGACTCCACATGTAAGAAAGCAAATCGAGAAATGAAAGGGTAAACAACATAGCCCTTTTTCGATGCAAAGAAAAAACACAGGCTGACAAGCAAATCAGAGTATCACACGTTTAGAACGAAGATAAGCAGAAACAAAAAGACGAATAAAAAGGATTCCGAAGGCGAGACCCAAAGGAAACGGAACAACCAGGTCCGGTGTTACATCAAAGTCAAAAAGCCGCCAATTCACCATGTACCCAACGCGCAAAAACTCTCAACCTGGACCATCTTTTACATAGATGATGCAAAAGTGGCCCGCTCGAAGATCATGATACCATTATCAGTTCAAGTTAGGCATCCACCCACGTCGGGAAGACGTTCCTTAAGTCTCAAGCGAGTTAACGATAATCTCCTGGGACATCCAGGACTCTAGAAAGGAAAAATATCCGGGTTTCCTGGAAATTCGGCTCCGCAAGATTGCAATCTAGTCCCCGGTCTGATGCTCCAGTAGGCTAGACGTGAAGAGAAATTTCCAAGCAAGAAAAAAGGCAAGAAAAAAAGAGGGCGCAGTCCATAGGCAAGTGTAGAAGCATGGACGGAGTGAGTTCGCAGACGCTCTGCGGCATGATTCATCATTACATTGTGGCGAGGTCATTCCAGAATGCTGATTGAAAGATGGAGAAGGCAGCGCAAGTGAGATGTTTTGACGGGGGTTGGCGAGAAGAATGAATACATTCTGTCGCCTACCGGGTTCGCCGAGAGTCCCCGGCTGCCCGTGGCCTATTACGGTCCCCATATTCCGGAGTGGTATTATATCCTATCCGCGGATCTGGGACCGAAGTGGGAGGATAAGCAATTCCGGAAGACACGGGGGAGTAGTCTGGATCCGCTTCATAGCCCGGGCCAGGGTATCTAGGAGCAGCATTACCTCTCCCATTTTCGTAACCACTATAAGGGTTGGGCGCGTAGGTGTAGCTCTGGTGGACATCCGCGGACACGGGAGGTTGGCTAACAGCTGTATAGGGAATATGCTGGCCAGGATAAGGGTTCTGGTTGGATCCTCCGAAAGACGAGTGAGAGGGAGGGTAGGTAGAAGTAGCAGGGTAGGTGGAAGTAGCAGGGTAGGACGGGCTCTGAGATTGTGGGTATGGCGGTTGGGGCGGATATGGCTCGATGTATTGAGCGGGCGGAGCCGAGTAGGCAGGCGGAGGGGAGGGTCCTGGCTGCGGGCGGGGTTCTGGCACGGATCCTCCATAGCTTGCTGTGGCCCTGTTAGGCGCCTGCGGTAAACTGAAGTCATGAATATAAGTACCTCGAGGATGGCCCTGGTCAGCACGTCGGGCAACATCGGCCTCCCACCGAGCGGAATCAGCCTTCAGGTCTGCAATCATTTCCTGTGGGGGAATTCGTGGTCAGATGATGCTTTCATTTTCCAGTCCTCACCACTACAGGTTTGTATCCAAACCATGGCGCAAGGGAGTCTCTCCAAAACTTACAGTAGTGAGATTCCGGTAGGCACGGATGAAATAACCCTGACGGCCCTGTTCGCATCAAGTCAGTAACGGGAGCAGACACGGCAAACAAGACATAATGTTTGCTGGGCGGCTTCGTTGGGAGTATTCGCGGGGAGGGATAAGACCAAAATAAAATAGAGAAAATATAGAAGAAAAAGAAGAAAGAAAGAAAATTCGGGATACGGACATTGTGGTTTCCAGGTCTTACGAGGGCATCATTTCCAAGATAACGGCATATGTCTGCTTGGATGACCTCCCGGCTGATACCATCGCCGGGGATGAAATATTCGTTCTGACGCTGAGGAGCGTCGTATCCATGACGGCCAGTCATTGTCCAGTGGGAGAAATCAAAGTCCAAGATTAAGGTAGTATTAAGTCAACGGATCCAAATGGCCTAAACGAAGTCCGGGAGAGTTGACGGGTCCTTGGGAAGATGATGATGATGGCCGGTGAAATCCTTTTCTTTCCTAGGGGTCTTTGGAATCAAGCAAGACCGCAAGTATGGTTTAATTCAACGGCGTCCAGGGAAATCCAAGGCTGAGCAATTAAGGGAACCCGACTTTCTTTTTTTTTTGGTTAAAAGACAGGCAACGCAGAGCAAGTAGGCGACACGATGTTGGTCCCAAATTAATAAACACACTGATAGATATTATTCGGTTGTCCAAGAGGCTGCGAAGATCAATGAAGGAAATCCTGGATGGGCGTTCCGGTCCACGGTAAGGCTGTAATGCAAAGGATTGGTCTTTGTTCCTTTGTTTTTCTCAGGATCCTGAAATGGTCTGATCCGAGAGATACCAGGGTTCGGACTGAGAATGGAGTAGAGAGAAAAGGCGAGAGAGAAGTGAGGGTGAGGAAAGTGAAGCGACAAGGAACGGTCTCTCAAGTGTCAAGCGGTAGAGGGGGATGGGGGGGGTATTTAGGGGGAAATGGGTGACGATCTTGGGCGGGGACCGTCTCTGCCTGTTGGGTTGATTGTGGTGGTGTATGGGTGGGTTGTTTTCTCTGGCTTCCTTCCCTTTCAGTTTGTAGGAGTCCCGACAAGGTATATGTCTTCCTTTTCCACTGGCAGGATAGGCCAGATGGTTTTTTTAGGAGAGAGAGAGAGGAAGGAAAGGAAGAGGAAGAAAATAGGAAGAGGAGGAGGGGGGATGGAAGAAAAGGTGGGTAAGCAGACGCAATGAGGACAGAAGATAAGGGGAAAACCCAGGTGCGGCGGCTAGAGAAAAAGAAAACCCAGACAACTGACTGGATGGAAGGGGAAGAGGGGCGAAAGAGGCAAGGAAGAAAAAATTGTGATTATTCCCTGAATTATTGAATTATCAAATCAATTCAAAAAGAAAGAAGGAAGGCTGTGTGGGTTGTTTGGGAGGATTGATTGATGACTGCTTGGGCGGTTGGGCTGGCTTGGGCTGCCTGGCGCCTGTCTGGTGCCACGACCGACTCTCGTCTTCTCCACCTCCAGAACGATCATTAGACCTTTTGTCCACTCGACCATCCATCCGAAAAGCATGCATGGACTAATAGGGCTTAGATGCCCTGCCGACTTGCAGGAGATTTTCCTGTCCCTAGCCGTCTGCTTCTTCGTGATCCTGGCGGTATAATCGACGCTACTATTATCTATGACTACTTTGTAGAAAGTCATTGGGTGCCTCTTTTATTCTTTTTTTGTTTCTTTCTTTTCATAAAGTCTGTTTTTTTTTTTTTTCCTTGATTCCTTCGGTTCCTTTTCTTCATACTCCAACCGGAGGATTTGTAGTCGAGTCATACTCGAGTGACGACGAAAAGGATTTGTAGGAACAACAGCATGGGAATCATCATCAGCTGTCATGGGTCGGTAGATTCAGCACCTACCTAGGTACCTACCAAACGGGCAATATTGTTGGACTTGATTGACTGCGTAATCGGTAGACAAGTCTGTCATTGGCTTGATGGGGTTATGGAGATTATTTCCTCGCCCGGGTTTTATTTGTTTTTCTGGATGCCAGTTTCTCCCTTCTGGTTCTTGAATTTTTTTCAGTTCGTTTCTCGTCGCCTCGAAAATATCGGACCCATTTGAAGGATTTGCTCGTAAAAGTCCAGATTGGTCTGGCTTTGCTATGAGAGATAGCCTCACTCATTCTCTGGCTCTTTTTCTGTCTCTCTCCCTCTCCACTCGGCGGGGAACAGTGCCGAGGTGGTCGAGTGGGCCATCTGTCGTCCTTTCACATCCTTTGATCGCGCCCAATACTGTCCTTCAAATTGTATCAAGCATCCAATAAACCGTTCAAAATCGTGCCGATGGTGATGGGTGATGGGTCGATCGGGAGTCACGATGGTGGTATTCCGCATCATTCAGCTCACAGAGTCATCCCCATCCGGATGAAGGACATGTCCCCCTAATAATATGTAACAACTTACGCCAGGGGTGAGTCACACAGCACCGTCAGAGTCTGCATATCTGCACCCATTGCAACATTGCATCGAAGAATTGCATCTCATCTCTTTTTTTTGGGCTGGGAGGGCAACCGAGTGCAGGTACCTAGGTACCTAGATTAGGTACCCAGGAGCTACCAGATGCGTGGGTACAGGATACATGGAACTGAGGTACGGGGGCAGACAGACTCACTGGCCCACCAATGAGGGATCATTCAGCGGTGCCAGTTGGGCACAAATGCGTGGCGGGCTTTGGGCACTCACGGGCCTCGCCCCCAACCTAGCCCGCCCGGGCCGCTTCCCTAGAACCATGGTTCTGACCGTTCCAACGTCATCCATTGGGTTTGGGAGGGGGTTCTTCTTCCGAACAGTAACATGATCAATCTGTCCATCCATGTTATGATTCAAAGTATGAGGCATGTTTCATGGCTAACTACGGGATATTCAAGGAGCAGACACAAAAAGATCACCCCGTCAAGTCTGCTGACTACTGCAGAGTCGACAACTAACTAAGTAACTTACGTACGAGGTGACGGATCGGCTATCCTTTCCCTGCAAGCTTCACCTGTTAGCGAACCAGTGAACTGTCCGCGTCTTCCATTCAACCTGTAGGTACCTAGAATCAGTGGCGTCCTGGGTACTTGTTACACACAGCTAGACTTGACAACGAAAGTACCAACAATTCAAGTGGACGAGACAGGTTGAAACCTCTGCAAGGCGACGAAGCAGGGAACCTCTCAGAACAGACGTACCAGCCTCACCCTCGAGTCTGGGGACGAGAAGCCCTCTGTCGCCTTTTCCCAAAGAATGAACCGGTCTGTCTCGCACTAGCCAACCACAATGGAGTGACCCGTCAATTGACGCGCCCCCATCACTAGCGAACAAACTCTGATCCCAGGGCGATGGATAGTTTCGAAATCTGCACAGCGGTGAGCGAATCACTCTTGTGGGCCGGCTGACTCTCTGCTCGAATAGCATTGATCCAGGTGTCGTCGTGTCTGCATCGATCCCATCAGGGACGACGACTCCTCTGCTCTGAGACGTATTGCGGCGGATCAATCAACCCACAGCCCACACAGCATTCCACCAGCATGACCTAATTGTCATGTCTGATTTTCGTGTTTTCGTACCACCCACCGGAATAGCCGTTTCAGGGACCCTCAACGTCTCCGGATCACGCTACACCGGGAGATCACCGATCGAGGTACTGTACTCCATACATAAGCACATGTACGGGGACTGCACGGTACATAATGTGTATGCGCAAGCCCAACAAGCGGATTGAGAATGTGCCTTGGCTTTGCAGAGTGACTGGCCCATAACTGCAGCGCAGCCCTTGCACACCACCAGACTTCCTCAAGGAAGAATCAATCTAAAGCAAAGCCAATCGTACAGCCTGCAGACTCAGAGACTCACATGGCTGCCCGAGCCCTCCCGCCTCGCAAACTCTAAGCTTGGCCGCTCACCACTGTCATCATGATCCGGTCATCCCTGTCCCTGTCTATTGACGACGACGACTCGAGCGCGCGCTCTCCCACCGGGTGATGATGGGCTGACGGCGCCCAACTGACGTGACCGATGTGTCTCTTCCTTCCGAGATCTATTTGGGCTTGGTGGGCCGGGCTTGAGCACTATTGGTGCTGGGAAGGGCCTTGTTGGACTTCTTCGCGTTAACTGATCCTTCGTGCCCGTTTCTCAGTCAGCTACATGTGCATAGCAGTGCGGTTGGTTGTGCCCAGCGTGGCTGGTTCTAAATATCTATGAGATTTCAACGCCGAATATGTGATCGTACAGAGCTAGTGTGCAGGGTGCGTTTTGTCGGACGATGATGACATAGGCCTGACATGTGTTGAGGGAAACTATTAGACAGTTGTCCTTACCGTCTAGGTATACGTGCCACCGAGGTCAGGTGTAGTCTGGGAAATCAACCAAATCGGTAAGAGATAGGGATCATCCAAAAGAGAGTCCTCTCTCGTAAGATACCTAACTACCTGATACTTTGGTAGTCAGCTAACAGACTGGATCTCTTGGATTTATGACATTCTCTATCCCCATCTTGCATCAAATCACAGTGTGCTATATATATACCTGGTTTGTGCTATCCGATATATATCTCAACCAATGACTGAAAATAGTACATAAGACAATCCACTAGCCAAGTGTATAACAAAATCTGTCAGCGACCAAGGTTAAAATTCAGTAACTAGTCTCAAAACAACTTTCAAAAGCCCTTCAACTCTATTCGTGTACTGGATCCCAGTCTTTGCAGTATGAACAGTCCATAGGTAGCAATGCTGGTTGCGGAGTAGACTGGCAAAATCCTCTATATCGAGTTTACCGCCAACCAATCTGGGCCTCACGCGCAGATCCGGTCATGTCTGCGCTCAACTTGTCGTCCTCGACGTCCACTTCTCAAATGGGAGGGTGAATTTGTTATAACCATTGCTCGGGAGTGGAAAGAGAGAATTCAAATATCAGCTTCAGCTTAGTTCCGTTTTGTGTTCAAACTTCCAAGAAAAGAAACCGAAATAGAGAGAAAGAAACCGCCATGACTGGAGCACCCTCATCCTCGACATGTCGCTCTCCCCAGACCCTCTCATCGCCCCCAGCGGTTCCCTGAACCACCACTCTCGCTACACGCACCGCCACCTACAGCTCCTAAGGCACTGCTCACCCTCGTCGCCGCTGCGCGTCATCGCGCACGTCGACCTAGACGCTTTCTACGCGCAATGCGAGATGGTGCGTCTTCAGACGCCGCGCGAGGCGCCCCTCGCCGTGCGACAGTGGGACTCCCTAATCGCCATTAACTATCCTGCACGGGAGTTTGGGATTACCAGGCTGATCGCCGCGAGGGAAGCCCAGAAGCTGTGTCCGCAGATTACCCTCCAGCATGTCGCGACGTTCCGGGAGGGCGAGGGCGGGAAGTGGGCGTATCGTGATGATGCGTTCAAGCGGGTGGCTACGGATAAGGTGTGTTTGGATCCGTATCGTGCGGAGTCGAGGAAGATTTTGAAGGTCATGAAGGAGGAGCTGTCAAGGTGGCATGAGAGTGTGGTGGGGGGTGGTGATGGACCTCATGTACCGGAGGCTGGGCTGGAGAAGGCTAGCGTTGATGAGGTGTTTATGGACTTGTCGTCGCTGGTCTATGGCGTGCTTTTGCAGAGGAATCCTGAGCTAAGGATGGAATCGCATCAGGATGAGAGAGTGGCGGCGTTGCCGCGTCCGCCTACGACGGCTGTGGAGTGGAACCAGGCTGATTGCCTTGTGGACTTGGATGAGGCTGAGACGGAGCTGGAAGACCCTGACTGGGATGATATTGCCATGGTGATTGGGGCGGAGATTGTGCGATCAGTTCGAGCAGCCGTATGGGACAGGCTGCAGTATACCTGCTCTGCGGGCGTCGCCCGGAACAAGATGATGGCTAAATTGGGGAGCTCCACCAACAAGCCGGACAAACAAACTATCGTGCGGAACCGCGCCGTGCAGAACTTCCTTGGCGGGTTCAAGTTCACCAAGATCAGAATGCTCGGAGGCAAGCTTGGGGAGGAAGTAGCCGCGCATTTCGGGACAGAGCAAGTCAGCGAGTTGCTGCAGGTCCCCCTGGAACAGTTTCGGGCGAAATTAGACGACGGCACGGCCTCCTGGATATACAACATTATCCGCGGAGAGGACAAGAGCGAAGTCAATTCCAGGACGCAGATCAAATCGATGTCGTCTGTCAAGGCATTCCGCCCGAGTATCAATTCTGTCGATCAAGCTGAGAAGTGGCTGCGGATTTTTGCGGCTGACATTTATGGTCGTCTTGTCGAGGATGGGATCCTGGAACATCGTCGACGCCCGCGGACCGTTACTATACATCACAGGCAAGGATCTCAGGCCCGCTCGCGTCAGCTGGCTATCCCCAGTGCGGCACCGATTGACGACGACCTGCTCTTTGAGCTTGGCAAGACCTTACTACGACAGGTTGCGGGCGATGGGAACCTTTGGCCGTGCGGAAACCTGTCCTTGAGTGTTGGTGGGTTCGAAGAAGGCGTTGCGAAAAACAAAGCAATTGATGCATTTCTCCTCCGAGGCAGCCAGGCTAGAGATGTCAGTATCCCCGCAAGAAACAGCGAGCAGAGCGATGCACCAGAGTCACAACAGCGCAACGAGAAGCGCAGGAAAATCGAAGACGACGGTATCAAACGCTTCTTTAACAAACCCGTCGGCGACGAGCCGAAGCCCCATCCCAGCGACTTCGAGCCAGAAAAAACTGAAAGCGCGCATCTCCTCGAGAATGATCGCTTAGATACCACCTCGATCGGGGTTTCCCCCGATCCTTTCACCTGCGATCGATGCGGTAAGTCGCTACCGGACTATGAAAAGGATGAGCACGACGACTGGCATTTTGCGAAAGACCTGGAGAGCGAAGAGAGGCAGGCAGCAAGGGCATCGCAACATGTGTCCAGTCCCGCCAACAGTCCCGGTCCGTCCAATCCTCGTGGTAGAGGAGGCCGTCGTGGTCACGGTAAGCCTGAGAAAGGGCAGAAACGACTTGCGTTTGGATAGTTGCGTGGCTGCACATATACCGGGGTTGAATGGGACATGGCTGTCTAAAAATGGATCTTGCGAATATGTGAGCCCTCTTGACCAGCCAAGAATGACAGGCATGGTCTATATACACTTTTTTTTATGACCAGGGCATACCCCAGTAACTGCCCAGTTGCCCGGTCAGCTGTTCCATGGTTCCGATTCGATCTACCCATGGTCATAATTTCCTCTAAATCTATATATATATACAAACCAAACAAATACAACAGAAACTCCAACCATGAAATGGATATGCATGAGCGTACATACCTCTCTAGTTGGAGGGATCTTACAAAAGTCAAGCGCCGTGCTGCATGACATCAGCAGGCCCAGCCAGCCGCGGGGTTGAAAGTGCGGACAACGCGCCAACTCTGTCAAGCTCTCGACAGGTCGACGTCCGAACAGCACAAGTGGCTAGGCATGACGATCTTGCTGCTTTATAAATCTCCTTCATACGCCATTTCATAGAGTATATATCGTTTGTGTGGTCGAATTCTTCGATGGGGTCTCTAATTGCCCCTCCACACAACGACAGCGCATCATCGCAGCCTGCCTAGCCTCAGCTTCTATGACTGCACCCACCGACCAAGAAAGAAACGCAACAGAAAACCAAAACCCCCAATTCAAAAACCCGCATCCCCTACCCGGGATAAAGCCCTGACACCAACATGCCGCGACGTCCACGCCCCCGCGAATATGACGAGATCTACGGCAACGACCCCAGCCAGTACTACCGCCGGCCAGCTCGCGAGCAGCCACCGCCGCCACCGCCTCCACCGCTCCCTATCGACGATGACCCGCCTATTCCCTACCGGGCGCCGAGCCCGCCAATGATCGACAAGTTCGAGCGCATGCGGATGCGCGAGCATCCACGACGGGAGCGCGAAGAGATCGATCTGTCGCCGCGATCGGTGGAGCCCGAGCCGATTTATAGACGGCGGGGACGGGGCAAGCCCAAGCCCCCCATGTTCGACAGCGATCACGAGAGCATCACCGAGTATGAGGCGGACAAGAAGTATCCGGGCCAGTTTCCCGAGAGCGAAGTTGAGGGAGACCTCGTTCCTGTTGGGAGGAGGCGCTCTTTGCCTCCAAGGGAGTTGCTGCGCGATCATGCTAAAAGTCATGAGTTTATACGCCGGAGTAAGAGCCAGAAGAAGGGGGAGAAGATGAAGAGGCTGGAGTTTGAGCGTGGTGAGCGGCGTCCGTCGTCTAGTGGTGGGAGGCGAGAAGAGTATAGGAGGGAGAGGAGTAGTCGTCATCCGCTTCCGCCTTCACGGCTGAGGCCTGCGTCTGGGTATCAGACGGAGATGGAAGATGACGAGGATGATGAAATCATGATCCCTGGGAAGGGGGGTAGAGGGAGTTCCGAGAGAGATGAGATTGAGGAGCTTAGTATACATGGTGATGAGTCTTCGCCTGAATCCGAGGATTCTGCCACGCTGGCTCGGGCGCCTCCTAGGCCTCGAGACCCTGGTATGCGTCAGAGGCATGGGCGACGGGGTAAGATCTATCTACATACAGCAACCTGGATGAAGACTTATAGGTTCAGGTTACGAAATGCCGCGCCCTCCCCGTGTGCCCAGCCCGGAGGTCAGCTTCGAAGAACAGAGGCTTCATCGACGGTATGTCAGACTCTTCACGTCGGCTCCGGCTTTACTATGATTACTGAGGCATGGCAGCGAAATGAGAGGAATGCCCCCGCGCGAAGAGACCATTCCAGAAGAAAGGATGAAGAACGGCCCCCCAATGCCAGTCCCAATCCCCATGCATCGCGTCCCCCCCGAGCACCTAGGCCCACGAAAGGGAGAGTTTCCCGTAGTCGACCATCGGCTCCTGGAGGCTACAAAGGCCATCCCAAGCGACGCGAGCGAAGACGAGAGCGATAGTGACGACGAAAACGGAATGATCAAAAGCTTTTACCAACACCACGACCCGGAGCCTTCTCGGCCCATCAGCCCACGGAAGGACGCCACCGACGGCTGGGCAATTGTCAACGCTGGCCCTAAGCCAATGCACACTTTGCGGGAGCCGGACCCATTCCCGGGGCCTCGATTTCCTAAAGACTCGAAACAAAAGGTCGCTTTAGAAGACAAGAACGCGCCCGGCACAGAGGTAGACGGAGGCCGGGGCAAGATCGGTCGACGGTATGTTGGACTCAAGGATAAGCGGGACAATCTCTGGACGGAGATTACGAAGGATTTGGTTGTGAAAGAGGCGATTGAGCGCATTGGGTACGAGTACGAAGAGACCGCATCGTCGTACTATGTTTTTTCATACCTGCAATATGTAAGTTGGATGCGGTCCTTCTCACGTTTTCCCCTTTTTCCATTTCACATCAATCCCGGTTTTACATCCTTCCCGTTTTCACATCCATCCCATGTGTGTTTTTCTGTGTCTTTCTCTTGTTTTATTCCGGTTGATTTTCTTTGTCTCAACTAACACCGCCACACAGGATGACGTTTCAGCCCTGGTGGAAATGTCAGAGGACATTCGCCAGGCTCGCCGTCGGCGAATCCAGGAGATCCACCAGGAACGAGCCTCGATGGCGGAGAAGCCTAGCCAGCCGATGCTCGACAAGCCACCGTCACCGGCTCCTCGTTTCCGGCCTCGAGAGGAAAGGAGGGCGAGGGAGCGGATTGATGAGGGTCGGAGACCGGGTCGGTCGGGGAGAAAATAGATGTTTTTTTTTATTCTATTTTATTTTATTTTTTTCCTTCTTCTTTCTTTTTCATGTTTGGCACGGGTTATTTTTTTTTGACATGGTTGATGTTCTCTTTCCACTGATCGGGGGTTTGATGAGTTATGATTGATTATGTACTACGTAGTAGGTACTCGCCTGTACGAGTACCTTTTGAATGACAGGATCTGTATGCCACTGCAGAGTTTAGAGATACAATGGAGATCCAGATCCAATTGACCGATTGGCATATAGATGAGCATAACATGGCATGGCATGGCATGACATGACATGACATGATATTTACTCTCGTACCTGGTAGCAAGGCAGGCAGGCACCTAGTATTTCGTCACACAAAAGCCACTGACCACCCAGAATCTATCCCTCCACAATCAACCCAGGTCAAGCCCCGTCCCACTGATGAATGAATCTCAAGCATTTCCAAGCCATGCACATCACACCGCATGTGTTATCCGTCCGTACTACGGATACAGGCAGGTTAGGTCATCCCTCTGCACAACATGATCAAACCATTGCCATACCATACTCCGACGCATAAAAGTACTGAGACACAGCCACTGACGACGGTTAGAATATTGGGTTGGTTTTTCTAGATTTAGGTACTCGGGTGGAATTGGTGCTACGCGGTTGTCTAAACTTAGTAGGTGGGTTGACTAGGTAGGTAGAGTGATGGTATGACCCCACACGGCTGGAACAGGTGAGACACATGGCCAATTAGGTGGGAAGTCGAGCAGGACTGCGCTTGGTTGAGTAGGTAGATACCGTGGACGGAGATGAAAGCTAGGGAGCTTTCTCCGTGGATTCGGGCTGTCTTTGCTGGTTTTGGATGGGTTGGCTGTATCTGGGTATCTACCTACCTACCTACTATAGATGTTTACCTTGGCAGTAAGATAGGTAGATATCAACAATCTCAACTTCCCTTCTATCCCTGGAGAGAAGACAAGATAAGGAACGAGAAATAAGAAAAGGAAAGAAAAAAGGAATCCTCATCCAGCTGTAGAACAAACGGACGAACCCTCCACCTACCTCACCTCCAGCTGAGGTCTACTTATTGACTCGACATGAGATGTCTCACGTCGGGATCCCGCTGATTGGTTGTTATTCTCCCTCAGGTGAGTCTTCGGGGTTGTATTTCAGGGGGACTCAGGTGTTCACGGGGTCAATAAATGTTTTGATGATCGAATGATGATGATGGGTGTGGTGAGGAAAGAATTGATGGGCAGCATGGCAATCAAGAGGGGCTTGGTTATACGGGTAGAATTCCGGGATACACTTTAGTATCTGTCTGTCTGTCTGTCTACCTTGGATGACGGAGTGATGGGTCAGGGATACCTACCTGGTAGGTACCTGGTAGTACCTAGGAGAAGGATGATGAGGAAGATGATATTGAACTATTTGCTATTATTTAGAAGGTGTGATAGGTCGGGTTGATATGATATGATATGATATGATATGATATATGATATGGATGGATCTTAACCTGTTCATGGATATTACCTGTTTATTGGCGTCCATTCCAAAGACTGATCTAGTCTATCCCGTTAGCATACATATTAAGAGTAGGTAATTGTACTCCTCAGTCAAGAATCCTCCTGTACATGAGAACATCCATCCGTCAGTATCGATGATAAAACAGTGAAAAGAACATGGCAGAAATTACAGGACAATGACATCCAGAAACGCCACAGTCGCAGGTTCAGCCCCCACCGGGGTGGGTCCGTGACACAGCATATTGTTTCTTCCCTTCCTTCCTTCCTTCCTCCCTTCCTCCTTGTGCTGAAATGAGGATTTCATATTAAGTGCTCTGCTGTGGCTGGGGGGGAGTGGATGCATGGGCTTTATAATATATTAATCCTGGAGGTATGAGCTGTCTGTCTATATTTAGTCTGTTATACTCCGGGTTTGGGTTGGTATGTATGTATGTATTGTATAGTTGGTGTAATGTATGGTGTAATTAATGCACATGGCAATAACCAAAGTTGGGTTTCGTTGGTTGGCTTTGAAGTTGGCGGGCCAGCCATTTACCTCGTGGATTCTGATATACTGGCTATACTGTGTACTGTATTGGAGGCAGTACGGCGAGACATTCCTCGGCACTGGCAGCGCCGACAGGAATGTCTAATACGGTGAGGTATGTATCCTTCAACCCCTCCATTCTCTCATTAAATGCAAGTGAGGACATTCTCACCTGTAATCCAGTGTCTCTACGAGGTAGATAGGAGTGTGCGCCCAGACCTCCGACCAATCGACATCTACCATGACGGTCGCCGATTAACTTTCCGAAACAGTGGCCCTTGGATGGGAGAAGACAATCTTGTTGGTTGCCCGCCTCGAGGCCGTATGGAGGGAAAGCCACTAAAAGGCGGGGTTGGCTTTCTTATCAAGTCGAATGTCAATGGATGATCATCCCCGCGTCGTACAGACAATGGTCGCTAGCGTCGACACCGTCTCCTTGTTAGCTCGACTCGACTCGACAATTGCCGTTGGTGGGACTTTCGCTTCACGCGTCCCGGGGAGGGAATCGAAGCGAGCGACCGGGACTGGAAGAGCGATCGATTCGACCGAGTTGTTTAAGTACTTTGGATCAAAGTTCAACCAATGCAGTACCCCTCCGGCAGGGTCCGAGAATGACATGCCATGCGACCGTTGGGTTGCGTTATCTGGCGTGGTGGTACAGAAATCCGTCATCTGGACGTTATTTATTATGAGGTACTCCATCAGACGCCATGGAAACGGGGTAAAGACCGATTGATTGGATGGTGTTGAACTTCGACGGGGATCTGGAGACGGAGTGAACCGACAGGATAGTAACAACTACTGAGATACCAGCCACGATGATGTTTGCTGCCGACGGATCGCATCACCCGGAGAGTGTGCTAGTTAGTGCCGATCATGGAATCACCTCTCTAGCCGGAGGTGATACTCGGACATCTTGCTGTTCGTGTGGATTGTTGCCTGCGACCTGGCTTCTGTATCGCTCATTCGATTAAGGCCTAGAGTCGACCACGACAATTGATCGGAGCGACTCCTGTCCAGTATTGGACAGTATTGTCCATGACGACACCAATATGAGTTTGACATGACGTCAAGTTGGTTGCCAGCGTGTTGAAGTGACACTCACCAGGGAAAAGCGAACAGGACATATATCAAAAGGAAAGGAAATCCAGGGAAGAAACAGAAAGGAAAACAGGATGATGGCCAGGATTTGATTGGGTTTATCGTACCATGGAAGCTGTCGAGGGACCGACCCAAATGATTTGTCGTGGACACCTTTCCGTGCCGTTAGTTAACCTTGGATACGTGGGCGGATGAGGCGGGCTGAAACCAGGCTCACCGATCTATCTCCGGTCGGAAAGAACAACAATAATCAAAAGAAGAAGAATAATACCCACCAGAGTACCAGGAAAAACATGGCTAGATAATCAATCTCACACACATCCAGGCATCTGGACCGCTCCTTGCTGTGCCGAGCCGAGTCTCAATCTCCACCCGGGTCAGTTTTGCCCTGTGCGGTGGCGAGTGTCTTCTTTGGTAAGAGGTCTAGTCGTCGGTACCTATGGTAAGGGAGGTAATGGAAGAATTATTACCAGGTAAGACAAGGATCATTCAATGTATTGATCCTCTAGGGTATGACCAATCATCGAAAATCGATCTCTGTTTTGGAGTTGCTCGGGTATCTCTGCCGTTCCCGAGTGGTTATGTCGATCTATGGTAAATAATATAATATAATAATAGGATGCGCTACGTGTGTCTCTGTCAGACCAAGTGACGCGGTCAATCGGGTGTGATGTGTGTGAACAGGGATGAGTTGTTTCTTGAGGATATTACCTGGTACTCCAAGAGAAATATCTTGATAGGGACTTGTATATACCGAGTGAAGATGGATTCTTGTATAGCATATCAAAGGTGAGTCCAAATTATCTTCTGGGGCTATTGATTTTGATTTATTTTTATCTGGATATCTAGATATTCTGATTGATATTTATCTATATATATCCATTTTAATAATCATAATTCTTTTTATATACTTCTTGATGTATTCTGTTATAAATTTAATATATTATATATATATATTTATATTTGAATGAAAATCCTACTTTAATTCGGATTAGAGTATCGACTCGATCTGGTTCTCGACCAGGGATCCGAAGATACCAGTACCCGACAGAAGACGGAGTACTCCGGACAGATCATCTCGAATCACCCATCAAAGATGGAATTCCAGCCGCAATCCAGATGAATGGTGGCTGATTTGTCAGGGATTCCAGTGTCCACCTTTATCCTTCCACTTTCTAACGATCGTGTTTTATCCCTTGAAGGGATCTTTTCTTGCCTCGTCCGTAGTAAGGTGGTGGTTGTCTGGTTTAGGTATGGATAGTCATACCCAGCCAAGACGGTGGGAAGTCATGGATCCAACTCTCCACCCTGCAGCGGGGAGTGTCTGTTCTGTTTGGGGTCTCCTGTTCGGTCTCTTCATTTCCATTTCCTTGAGCTGATTGATTTCCAGACATTCTGGAGACTGAACTCCTCTTTGGTACTAGTCGGAGAAGATATCCATCCATCCGTACATACGGCGTACATACAGCGTGCATACATACTACATCTGTACATGTACATATTAGTAGGTAACCAAGGTAATAATATAATCCACACTGAAGTACGACGGATTATTCCAGTGTGAGACAAGAGATGATTCCCATCGTGAACGATAATTATTATGAAGATAATCAGAAATCGGTCGAGTCCTTTAGAGATACGGAGTAGGTATACAAATGAGTAGGTGTAAAATATTATACTAGGAGTAAATATATCGGATACAGACTAAGCCCGAGCAGGTTTAAGCCAAATCCTTCCACATCTTAGCCTTCTTTATTGTGATCATTCTTAATTCTGATCCTCTCTCTCATTCTTGTGTCGGATTACCGAACGTATCGAAATTATAATAATAATAATAATATTCATTTCTCATTTTTTATTATTTTTTCCCCTCTAGTCCCCAGCATTCTCCATCTTCACACGCTTCCTGATCCCTCGTCTCTTTCCTCTCTTCCTCCTCCCTTGGTATCTCTATCTATCTACAATTCTATCCTCCTCCCTGGTCGCCATTTCTCCGTCCTCCTCATCGGCCCCAACTCCTGATATTGGCTTATCAGGCCCGAGGTCACCGATTCACTCAACTCTCCCACCCAACCAATGATTCTTGAGGATGCTGATATCCCTCTGATCGTTGCTCTGCCTCGGCCTTGTGCTTCCTTCCGCACTCTGTAACCCCAGCTCGCTCTGTGCATCCATCCGCAATAGACCGTATCATTTGGTCGATTTTCCTTTCCTCGCTTGATCGTTTTCGTTTTTTTCCCCACCCCTCCGGTTTACTTTACATCAGGACTGGAAATCAGGACTGGGAAACCTTCACTCGGCCTACATATTTCACCGGTACGTCAAGTTCCTACACCCCCCGGTCCTCCGACTGGTGTTGTTGGGTCATCGCTGATCGGCACCAGCCAGTGACTCCCATCCCTCAAAATTTGGAAAGATCTTCCGTGGGACGCCCGTGGCCGACTATCAACTGTCGTCATAGTTTGGGCCGGATCTAGGGTGAATGGTCTCATAGATGGTTGTGACCCAGGTTGAATTTGTCCTGGCCATCTGCAACTATCCCATTTACTGATCCCGTTCGGGCCGACCGTATATCTGGGTCGGAGTCGGTCAATTCTGGTGCACCCGGAGATTCTCGAGATCGAGGGTGGAGACGAGTGGTAGCCAAATCGATCTAAGCTGGAGAGGGTAGAGATGGAGCGCAAGACGGCACCCAGCACTCGCCGGAGAGGAACGGCCGCCGTACCGTATGTCATGCAGCTGGGTCTGATTTTCTCGGTGCTGGCGTTGTTCACCGGCCCTGCCTCGGCGTCTTGCGCGAACGTCAACACGGGTGCCGACAACAAACCAAGTATGCCCCTTCTCCCTTCCGCGATCGACCCGCGCGACCTTGGCTGACTCCTTCGCTGCCAGATTTCAGCACGTTCCAGTCACTGGGAAACTGTCAAAAGCACTGCGAGGATGATTTCGCTTTTGGCATTTTGCAGGGCAAAAAGTGCTGGTGCTCGAATATTGCTCCCAACAAGGCGACAGAAACCGATGACAAAGATTGCGCGGTTTCATGCCCCGGGTTCCCGGATGACGACTGCGGAGATGCGTCCAAGGGGCTCTTTGCCTACATCGAATTATCAAACCATGCGCCCTCGGGCACCGCCACGGCCCCGTCGTCGGCCACGTCAACCGAATCGTCGGTGCGTACCGAACCTTCTCTTCCATCAGACCTTTCATGAGACTGACCCTCCTCTAGTCCTCGTCCGAGACAACATCCGACACGAAAACTACCGCTGGTACGTCTGTGGAAACCATTTCCGGAGAGCCGACAACCATCACCGTCGGGCCCACCGGGACGTCGAGCGCCGATGCCAATGAGGTGTCCGAAAAGAAAGATAGCGGGTCCGGCCTCAGTGGTGGCGCGATCGCTGGAGTGGTCATCGGTGCGATCGGTGGATTAGCGGTCATCGGTGCCCTCATCATCATGCTCTGCTGGAGACGCCGTCAACGCTCCGCCAGCCCTGATCCGAGCGTGCAGAATGTCCTGCTCGACGGACGCAACAGCAAGGGCTCGCAGATGAGCATGATGAAGGGCATGTTCTCGGACGGACACAGCCATACCCTGTCAGGCGCTTCGTCGACCAACCCCCAGCGGACGTTCACCGACAACCGCATGAAGACGGACACGGTGATCTGGCCCGCTGGTCGCCGAAATAGCAGCGTCTCCCTCCAGGATAACGAGGACTACACTCGACCAGTGTTACGGGTAAGCTTGTGTCCTCCCCCGCCAAGTTAACGTTTGGGTTTCAATTCTGACCTGCTATATCTAGCTCACGAATCCTGATTAACCGTCGAACACAATTTTACTGTTTATTTATCTCTTTTCGTGCCTTGCAGCTCTCCTATGTCGTCTCGATTTTACGCATTTCAGCGATAACAGCGGTGTTATGATACCCCAATTTCACATAATCCTTATTCCACTACTTCGCGCCATTTGATCGGTGGTAGAATGGGTCCGGGGTCCGGGGTCAGGGATCCTCGAGGCATTCAATGAAGTTGTCACGCAATGCATTCCGGGGTATTACACAGAAGACCAGGAACCACCACCCACCAGAAGACCACAGAAGAAGACAGAAATCATTACAACAAGAAGAGAAACAAGAAGAGAAACAAGCAGAGAACAAGAAGAAAAAAAAAAGAAAAACAGAAGAAAAAAAGGGAAACCAGGGAAAAGGGAAGAAGAACTAGAAAATGACACAAACCCGACCTTTCCCACGGGTGTGGTAGCTCTACTACATTACATCCCTAGGCTACTTTGACATCAACATTCATCGGCTTCACGAGGCGTTCCGTCTACATTTCTTTCTATTTGCTCTTGGGTCAATCTTATTGTGTACATCAATCACCATGTGGAGTCTTATACTTATTACAAGCTGAAGTACATACATATTGCGCAGCAACTAATTGATACCTACTCGCCCGACTAACTCGTCAGCAGCCTTCTTTCCCTATACATAATGAAATGTAGCAATGTCCTGGTTATAGATTGACAGCGCCAGGATAGAGGATTCCTGTCTATCAGTGGGTTATAATGTCGTCTAGTGTCCAGCACATGACGTTCTTATCGAGTCGCAGGACAGTTTTGCCTTTTTCGGAAGTGCGGAGATGTCGACTCTATACCGTTTCAGTCAACCAGTCCCCTCGCTGCATTATCACGTCTCGGGTCAATACTATCTATCTATCTGTCTATCTAATCATCTATCATTATCCATATCGATCGATCGACGCAGTGGCAAGACAAGCCTTCACTTCCCAGTCCCCACAGCTCGCGGAACTACCACACCCAAAGACAGCTGTGGTTAGGGGTAGCCAACATCGTCCAAAACAGCCTTGTGAGACATAAGGAGAGGGAACAGCGCCGCATACGTACGTGTTTGTCCTTGCTCCCCACCACCCTGTCTGTGTCTGTCTGCCTCACGTCGCGCAAAACCTTGCATCGCCTCCCGATAAGACCCAAACATAGGCTACCGACAAATTAACAATCTGTATGGCTGTTTTGGGTGCTGTCATCAGTGCGCTTGCTTAACTGGGCTAGTTATGAGAGTCTGCGGGGTGTTGGAGTCACTGTATGATTGAGCGAATGAAGTCGCATTGATGGCTGCTACCCCGGGGGAGGCCTCTTATCGTCGATCTGCGTCTCCGCACCGGTTTGGGTGAGTTGATCCTGGCTTGGGTGTATATGTAGGGTTTGGGAGCCGTTTTACTTGCCGTGGGGTGTGCTCTTTGATAATTGATGCGAGGGTAAATCGATCTCTTCTCTGGTTTGATTTGGTTCTTCTATCACGCTTTTTTCTTTTCATTCTTGACTCTAGTCATTCTACCGTCTTGTTGAGTTGCGTTCTCTTGATGAAATCAGGTTGAATGTGCCCACGTTGTGTGCATGGATTCAGACCATCATGGATGAGTTTCCTGGATTGGACAACCTGCGCGTGCTGGGTCTCGTCCTGGTCTCACTGGTAGGGGTATGGCTTGTCTTGGGACATCCCACGAGGAAGCATTTCGCACCGTGGTTCAAACTACACCATCGTAGACTCTCATTCAGCGAGACACCGTCCAGAGACAAAACCCCATCTACTAGTCCTGCCTCGTCCACCAGCTATACAACCGCTCTTCCTCCTCAACGTCGAGAAGTCCTCGCCACCCTGCCAAAGACGGCCCCAATTTACAAGAAAGTCAACGAGGAAGACGTTCAGCGCCGTCTGATCCCAATGGACGCGGACTACCGCTCCTGTGCCGACGATCGATTCACCCCGACGGGCTTCTCCGTCGGCGAGATCAAGGCACTGGGCGATTTCCCGGACTATGCACAGCTCAGCGGGGTGCCCCTTCCGCAGGCATACGATGGGTTCGATATTGAAAAGGCCCTTCCGAGGCCGTATCGCCCGTTTCGATGGTCTTATCATCAGACGATGTGTAAGTCCCAGCGCCTGGCTTCTTACCTGGCCCCCCCTACAATATAATTGCTCAGCATTGATTGACCCTGCCCTACCCACAGCCCTAACAAAGCTCGAAACCGACTGGTGGATCGAGCTCGAAAACACCTACAAGTCGCGCATCGCACAGCGCAACGACCTCTACGCCAAATACGGCACCGCCGTCGTGGGCTACCTCCCTGGCTCGGAACTAGCCTGTAAAGAGCTGATGGAGATGGTACTGCAATTTGTGTGCGCGCGGTATCCGAAGTACTTCTCTCTGGGAGACAATCGGATCTTTCATAACCGTATTCTCGGCACGGAAGTGGATGTCAGATCCAAGAATCCCCTTGAGATCTTGATCCAGAATATCCCTGAGGATTTCGCCATCATGATGCGCGATGAAAAAACGGGCTTTTACTTCCTCCGAGCGGGTGTCATTTGCTCCGCGCTGGGGTGGAATATTGGGACTAAGATTGGGTTGCAGTTGCATGAGATTCATGCCCCTATTCCGGATTATAGGGAGAAGATGCAGTTTTCTATGGATCGGTATGTTCTATCACCATCACTATCACCATCATCGCCATCATCACAAAAACAACCCTTAGCTTGGAAAGATAACCCCAAATTAACGCATCACATCATAGATTCTTCACCAAAATGCCCACCGAAAAGCCCATCCAGCGCGGCTCCTGGGGCCTCGAAATCAACCAACCCCTCTACATGCCCCCCGGCGACCCGCACGAAGCCATCCGCCACACGCAGGACCCAAACCTCCGCCTTGGAGACTGCCATCTACGTGTCGATTGGCAGACGCTCCGCCGGCTGCCGCTCTCAGCGGGCATCGTGTTCAACTTCAAGGCGGTCTTCACCCCTGTGTCCGAGTTCCGCGACGAACCGGGTGTGCCGGCGCTTTTGTCGACGGTTCTGAAGGAGGGGAAGAGGGATCTGATGGTTTATAAGAGTACGTGGCATGTGGAGCATGTGGTTTTGCCGGCTTTGGAGAAGTGGGCGGCGGAGCAGGTGGGGGACGGGGTGGTGGATGGGGGGTGGAGGGTTGCTACTTTGGATGAGAGTCCTTGGTTTAGGGGGTGGGTGGAGAAGTGGAGGGGGAAGCAGGGGTTTTGATCTTTCTCTTTATCTGTATTTTCAACTTGCTGGGTGGGATGTTGTCTTTACAGATTGTTCTTCAGCGGTATTTCTTATATTGTTCATGATATGGTGATTGACTTATATGGGCGCATGGCCCATCGATTGATGTTCAACAGTAGCCTGATATATTGAACCCCTCCTGCGAATAGCCTGTTGTTCCACTTGACGGAGATTGTTCCAACTCACAACCTGCCAGGTTCATTCGACATGGTCAAAGCCGTGCCAAGTGAGTCAAAAACCGGCGCTGGTATTGCCAGTCGGCGGTATAAGCTTTGACACGGCGTGTCCTCGCGTAGAGCGCGACGAAATACCCGTTGTGGGAATTGGTCCGGAGAGTCGGTGTTGGCAATAGATGGCGACAGTATACAGCACGGTATACAGCCACTGGTTCATTCAACGAACCACAACCGCAAATGCCTCAGTCATGACCATCAGACCGCGTCTCACCCTCCTCGCTCTCACCCTCACCCTCCCCCTCCTCGCTCTCCCTATCCATCTCCTCCAACTCCTCCGCCAACGGGCTCACCCTCTCATCCAACAAATCCAAATCCTCCAACTGCTGCCTCGACGGCAACTTCCACAAACTCGTACCACACATGCGGTCCTTCGTAAGCAAGTCATCCACAAACTGATCCATATAAGTGAGCACCACCGAGTCGCGCACCCTCCGCTTCAACTTCCGATAATCCAGCAGCAGCGGCTCCAGCGTCCGATACACATCCACCGCGTCGAACGTCAGCCGCACGTAGAACGCCGCCAGCGCCCGCAGGTACTTGAAGTCGCCGCGCGCCTGCTGCACCGCTGCGCTATCCGCCTCCGTGGGGTCCTCGTTGTCGCTGCCCGGGTCGCTGAAGTTGAGGTATTCCAGGATGATGTCCCGCGTCGGGTTTAGTTGTAGGAGCTTGAAGGCGAGGCAGAGGAAGGGCGTCGGCTTCTCGGATACCCCGTATGTGCCGCCCACTGCGGTGAGCTCCACTGCGCGGTCGCAGAGTGTGGCGGCGTTAAGCCCGAAACATTGTTCTTTCCAGTAGTAGGATTCGGTGATGCGGTCGCGGACGGCTTTTTCGAAGAGCGTGGCTGGGTTGACGCCGCGGACGAGGGGGCCTGAGTAGCCGCGGTTGTCGAGGAAGGTGCTGGCGTCGGCGCGGTGAGTTGTCATTCTTATTAATCTTTTTGTTGCTTCTGTTGATCTGTTTCCCTCCTCTTCTTGACTTTCTTCTTCTTGGGGGTTCTGGTTGGGGTCGTTGGTTGAGGGTGAGGAGTGGAGTTGTCGTGAAGGTGTGGAGGTGGAAAAGAAAGATTGCTGGTGCGATGCCAAGCCAGCCTTATCGATAATCGCACTGACAACCGCGGGGATAAACATCCGATCTTCCTTTCAATCTTCTGGATTGGTGGATCTGCATCCACATCACATCTTCGCATCTCCATCGCAGATAAGGCGCATTCCACGTCAATTGACCCTGGTGATCCATATACGTGTTTGACAGTACATTCCTCAGAGACAAATGGTGGAATCGTGACCATGGTCCTCCTCACCTCCTCCACCGTCTCAGTCATCCTCTCCACGGGGATCATCTGCACATTCACTATCCTCCTCTTTCTCTCCGGGTACATACTTCAACAGCAGTCGGTTCGCAGCATCCAGCATGCGCTGCGTCCGCCCGACCCTCTATCCGAACACGGGTCGCCGAGATCACCCTTCAAGCGATCATCACCGCTCCTCGAGCGAGGCGTCGTCCTCCCAGGAACACCCTCCGACCAACAAGACGAGTATCAACAAGACAACACACCTCCCTCCACAGGCAACTACGCCTACCTTCAGCTCCTCTCTACCCCCGACCCCTCCGACATCTGCTCCGCCATCCTCTTCTTCAAAACCCTCTCCACAAACAACACCGCCATCCAAGACCGCCTCTTCATGTACCCCCAAGAATGGGAAGACCAAGCCCACCAGCAGTCCAAACCCGTCTCCACGGCCCTCTCCATGCTCCGCTCCGCCAGCCTCACATACGGCATCTGGCTCCTCCCCATCGACATGACAGCAGCTACCTCAAAAGGCTACTCCTCCACCGACACGATACTCATGCGGCTCGGCCAGATCCAGTTCATGAACTACGATAGCGTGCTCTACCTGCAAACACCAGGGCTAGTCCTCGATACTGCAAAGCTAGACGCCGTCCTCCTCGACCGCCCCCTCCCCCTCCGCCATGACAAATCTCGCCCGGACTCCTACAACAACGAGGCCTGGATCCCTATGCCCCTCCGTGCAGACCGCGACGCCACCCTCCCTCCCGTCTACCTTGTGACGGTCAACAATATAGCAGCCGGTAACGTCGAAGCCCGCGGCCACGTTCCCAACGTTGCACTCCCGGGTTTCGGCTCCCTCGTTGCGGGCCCTTGGGCCGCCGCGGCCGCTGACCCTGCTACCCAGCCTGGGTATGTGTATTTTGAGCGTGATGATGATGGGCACGTCCGCTGGGCGGATAATCCGCTGTTTGGCCTGTGGAGGGCGCAACAGGCTGAGGTATGTGAGGGGTTGGATTTGGATGGGGCTTATCGTGATGATGATGATGATGATGATTATGATTTATAGTTTGGTTGATCGACTTCTTTGATTTCGTGGCGTGATGCATATATGGAGTTATTGGTTTGGGAGATGATGATGACTATCATGATGTTATATATATAAATGTGGATGAAAATAGGTGATGCCATTTTACTGTATTAGGATTTGAGCTTTGTTCTTCTAAACTAGTATTTGCCTTGGAGACTCAAGATAAGGAGGTTGGTAGATAGATATGTAGGTATGTAATTCGTTAACCGTCCGTCTAGATACCTTAGCTAGGGTGGTATTGGCCAACAAAGAGCAGAAGCAGCGCAGTGGCGGCATGGGGGGAGAATGGGGGCAGAGGGAAATTTTAAGGATATAACGCTACTGCCAACCATGATGAAGATTAGAATGACTGCACTGGAATGCTCAATCCCCCGTGAACACACGCAGCCATCATTTTTTTATTGTTTGATTGATGAGTATATGAGAAGAGTAAGCCGGCCAGAGACAGAATGTCCAGTCCGCAAAGGTGGGAGTGGTGTCGCTTCATCCTAGCATAGTGTGTACGAGACGCTGCTACGACCGCGGCACACCAATCTCATATCCCAGGAGAACTTCAGTCGTGCTACCCTCCCAGCCGCGATTACCGCTCGTGGAGAGCATGAACCGGCATGCGGGGTCGAGGTATAGCTGGGAGACGGTGCCTGTGCGGTGGCCCGGGATGATGAGGAAGGGGACGGTCGAGTGCCGAGTAACTTGATCGTGTTTGAGATCGTAGAGGCGGAGGATGTCGTGGGATGCGCTGGTTTGTGTTAGCAATCAATCATCATTATGGTGTGTAGAATCGGATAAGTGAATTTGGGTGTAGAGGGAGGGACCTACCAAACAATGTGTCGCCCGTTGGGCATCGCTCTGAGTGCCGTCACTGGGCCACTCCCCTGAGGAAACTTGAAGATGCGCTCCGGATCACGCAGGCCCTTGTGGAGACTGAATTCCTCGACTGTGCCTGTGCGCCGGCCGACGTAGATGTTGTTGCCGTCTGGCGACCAGCACGCGTTCATGCACCATGGGGGCGAATTGCGCGATATGATCCGAGCGACGGGGTCTTGCAGTCGTCGGTCCCAGACCCGGACTGTACCGTCGATGGAGGCCGCGAGGAAAATGTTGTCGGGACCGATGTTGGCCTCCGACTGTGTTGGTAGGGGGAAGTCCTGGCCTTGTGAGGATGGTTCGAGTTCTTCCGCGTGGGGAAGTCCGTTAACTGCCGGCTGGGAGGACCCGTCTGGAAGATCTGAGCCCTGTGGCTGTTGCGATGTTGTGTTGGGGGCGTTTGCTTCGGGGTTTATTGTGTCGTTTGCAGGTGCAGCAGGCTGGGGTTGTGCAATGCCGTTTTGTTGTTGTTCTCCCATCGGTTCGTCCGGCTCACCCTGGGCGTCAGCGTCTGGGAGGGCATCGTTGGCGAGAGCTTTCCCAATTTCGTCATCCTCGTCTATGCCGAATGCATTGGTCGATGCTCCTGCACCTTCGCCGCCGTTTCCATCCCCATCGCCAAATAATGAATCGGCTCCCCCGAATAGCGAGTCTGCTGGCGAGCCCGCCTGCGGGTTTGCGTCGCCCATTTCGCCCTGGTCGTTGGAGGTGTCCATGAAACTGAAACTGTCGGCGCCGCCACTGGCTTGGTTGTTGGAAGAAAAGGTGCCGTTGGTCTGAGGGAGGTCGGTCGTGTCTCTGGGGACCGGGAGACTGGACTCTGGCCGGATTTCAAGGGCGGATATTTGCCCCGCGCTGGCCCCGAACGTGCGCCTCGTCTGCCCCGTGTTCAGGTCCCAATCGAAGACCCGTTTATCCCAGCTTCCGGAGAGGACTGACTTTTCGTCGGATGTCAGATTCAACACCGACACAGCCGACTTGTGCTTTTGCAGAAGAGCGATCTCCCTTCCCTCCTCGTGGCGAACCGATTGTAGTCGAATGGTCCCGGACTCCAAGCCCGACAAGAGCCACAGTCCTTCGCTATGGCTGGCCAATGAGTAGACGGGGGATATATGGTTGCTATCCATGCTCTCCCAGTATGTCATTAGGGATCCGGCTTTGACAACACTATCCACGAACGGGTGCCGTTGCGCTACCGTCAACATCAATTTGCCATTGATCGAATCCACCCAGTTGAATTTCCGCACGTATCCATCCGAGCCTCCGCTGAACACCCATCTCATATCCGCCGTCGCGGTTATAGCATTGATTGAAGTACTGTGAGGCGCAGCCGTCGTTGGAACGATATCGTAGGTAGAGGCGGTGAGACACTCGGGGCGCACGCTGGGATGGAAGGCGGATATAGGAGTGGGTGCCGTCGCGGCCCCAGGGGGGGTCATCCTCACGTCGGGGTTGGGCTGAGGAGCATTGTCAGAGGCATGGCTCGCATTCGACTGACTGTCTGCATCCTGGTCTCCATCCGCGTCAACATCGGGCTCATTATCGTTCACCCCGTCGTCAGCGTCTCGAAGCGCGTCGTCCATTTCATTATCCGAGCTTCCATCTTGCGAGCCTAGGAATTGAGTCTTAGCATCACGTTGTGCGGAATCGAAACATACAGGATGACTCACCAGCAAGATCGCGATCGTCATCCTCTTCCATTCTGTTGACAATTGATTGATCTGTTTCAATTGATGTAGGGTATATATGCGCGACGGTTTTCGAATTTATCGATAGCGACAGCTTATGGCGACTCGGACGCCGTCCGATGCGCGATCGCCCCTCTCAGTGATGATGGAGGAAAGATGGGAGATTCAGTGGTACATGCTTAGGGAGATCCATGCAGCGACTCGACCCAGAATGACACAAAGAGAGAAGAAAGTGGGGATTAGGGAGAAGGGGATCGAAAGAAGCATGGAGGAGAATCATCCATCTTGACTTCCGCCCGCATGTTCAATGCCCGCGATGGCCGTGAGTGGGCCTGTTTGCTTGGTTTGATTGGTTTGATTGGGCCGGTCACGTTCCTTTATGCCTGAGGCACCATGGACCATCCGAAAGGGGTTAGATCGTGGTCACTGAAGTATATAGATTCATTCCTCAGCATCATTCACTCACTGGTCATGGATGGAATGATTGTATATCACTATATTCCTTGTAAAAAGTGTATGGCTTAATGGCTCAGAATACTCGGTGTTACTGACAGGCTTTTGTCTGCTAGCAATGTAGCAATCTCAACAAACGAACAGGACGGGTTGTCGCAGGTCAGGGACATCAATGAGTGATAGATATACTGTTTTTTTTGATTGTTGAAAGAGAAGATGTCAAACTTACAATGACAGTTGGATTGAATGAAATATATGCATGGCTTGAGAGTATAAGATGAGATGGAATGTTGAGCTTTTACCATTTACCTGACTGATCTCTAGAGCAAAACCACAGAAACTGATCATCTGATTTGCTTGTTGTACTTCACTGAGACCTGATAAATCGTAAGGTATTTTCTGAGTGATACTCAGGCAGACATCCATTCTGCTCCTTTGTTCCTCTCTCCTTCGCAGTCTCTCTTACCTTTTACCTCTCCTTTTTCTCCCTCTGCTAAATTTCATCGTGAGCCCACGAGTACTACATGAGGCACTACTCACTCAGTATCCAGTGCCATCATGGACCAGGAAAATAAACCCCAGCTGCACTACTCCCAGACCATTGAGGGGCATATGGAAATACTCAAGCTCACATCTTCTGTACCGGTCAACCAAGATGTGAGAGCATACTTCAACCAGACTGTCCCCGATGGCGCCGAACCGTGGCTATCCAAGCCAGAAGTTCCATCTCCAGAGGAAGTCATGGCCAACAATACCGATGAGGATGATGTGATGTTGGGACCAAATAAGATCATCGGCCCATGGGAGTCTAAAGAGGCATACCTGAAAGCCCACTACGAGCTTTTGAGGGAAGACTCTGTGGCGCCACTCAGAGATGCAGTGGCATATTTCAGAGAGGACCCCCGCATGATGGACTCCCCCGTCGTGGCGATCTACGAAAAGGTTGTCACCGTCCTCATGCCGACCAGGCGCTGTTCTTTCTTGCTAACCACAAATGCTTATGACAGGTCCACATTATTGGAATCACACTCGCAAAGAGGGGCCTCGCAGCTAGAGTTCAGTTCTCCGCAGGCCGATCTGGCAAGAAAATTATCTGGGAGTATTCGAAACGGCTCATTACCGGATCAATCGTTGCGCTGTCTCCTGCAAAAGACTCTTTTCGCAATGAATGTATTATCGCCGTGGTCGCAGCCAGACCTTTGGAAGGGGTGAAGCAAGAGCCTCCACAGATTGATATTTTTTTCGCCCGCCCCCAAGACACGGTGTTTGATCCCCAGGCAGAGTGGGTTATGGTCGAGGCTAAGACGGGGTACTACGAGTCTGCGAGACACACCATGACGGCCCTTCAAAAACTGAGCCAGTCAAAGTCAGTTCATTTCTCTGCTACCCGTGTTCCTTAAGACTGATCATTGCCCTATAACAGGTTTCCCCTAGCAGAGCATATCTGTTTCTTGGACCCGGATATCGACACCCCTGAGCATATAAAGAACGAAAGAACGGTTAATGACCGCCTCGCCACTGAAACAACTGGTGATGGAACAATTGGTGGCGAACAAAAAGACCAGATCCTGGACTGGTTCCCTGCGCTGCCCATAGAAGATTTGGACCTTACGCAAAGGAAGGCTTTGGAGCAAATTCTCACCAAAAGTCTGGCAATCATTCATGGCCCTCCAGGGACTGGGAAGACATACATATCAGTTGTCGCGCTGAAATTATTGCTCTCTAATATGAATCCCGGCGATCCTCCCATAATCCTCTCTTCTCAGACCAACCATGCGTTGGACCAGCTCCTGAGGCACATATCATCATTTGAAAAGGATTTCATCCGCTTGGGCGGCAGAAGCGGCGATCCGGAAATCAAGAAGCGCACTCTGTTCAATGTCAAAAAAAGCAAACCGGAAACGACAATTCGAGGAAGTGTCCTTGGGTCGGCCTCAATGACGCATAAGAACCTGAGTCGACTGATCCGAGAGCATTTGCAGGATTTCAATCTTGGTAGCCTTGACAATCCGTTTCCAGCGTCTTTTTTCCTCAGGCATGGTTTATTGACGCAGGAACAATGCGATAAGCTGGCGAAAGGCGCCAAGGGTTGGGTACGCGCCGAAGACGACGAGGACACTGATCCCTTGATCACCTGGCTAGGTGAGAAGGCCGCCAGATTCAAAGTAAATTATACCGCGGAAAACTTCGGTTTTGCGGAGGACGAGATAGATCTCGAATACGAGCAACTCAAAGAATTGGAGGCGGAGCAGGGGCTCGAAGACGATGACTATGAGACCTTACGAGGTGACTATATACCCCTTCGAGAAGGGGTGTACGGTCAAGATACCTCCTCTATCTCCAATACTACGCTATTGGAGTTCATGAAAAACCCGGATTTGTGGAGTATCCCTGCCAAAGCGCGTGGCTCCGTTTACAATGTGATGCGGAATTTGGCAAAACGCAAGATACTATACGAACTTCGCAGAATGGCGTCCCTCTACCATGCAAATTGCAGAAAACTTCAAATCGGCAAGTGGGAGTGGGACAACAACACGCTCCGACATGCGAAGATCATTGGGATGACCGCCACCGGACTGAGCAAATACAGAGGTCTCGTATCGAGCTTGAATCCTCGGGTCGTCCTGATCGAAGAGGCCGCTGAAGTCATCGAGGCTCCAATCGTGTCTGCCTGTTTTGATTCGCTCCAGCATCTGATCCTGGTTGGTGACCATCAGCAACTGAAAGGGCATTGTTCGGTAGACGAGCTTGCCAAAGAGCCCTTTTTCCTTGACACATCGATGTTTGAACGGCTGGTTACTAATGGCATCGACTATGTCACGCTCCGTCAGCAAAGGCGAATGGCACCAGAGATCCGTCGACTGCTGCATCCCATTTACGGCACATTGGAGGACCACCAGTCGGCGCAGCTGCGTCCAAAGGTCCCCGGAATGGGGGATTGCCGGTCATTCTTATTCTCGCACAACTGGCCAGAGTATAGTGACAGCTTTTCATCCAAATATAACGAAAAGGAAGCGGAGATGATTGTAGGCTTCTTCGTCTACCTTGTATTCAATGGGGTCCAGGTGAATAGAATCACCGTCTTAACCTTTTACAATGGACAGAGGAAAAAACTGCTGAGGCTCTTGAGAAGTCACTCCTATCTCCAAGGCGAGTATGTGAATGTCGTGACAGTCGATTCGTACCAAGGAGAGGAGAACGATATTGTGATCCTCTCGTTGGTCCGAAGCGGGACGAAGATTGGCTTCTTGTCCGTCGAGAACCGAGTCTGCGTGGCACTTTCTCGAGCCCGATGTGGTTTTTACATCTTTGGAAACGCAAAAAAGCTGAGCGCGGCGAGTCCTTTATGGGAACAAGTTATCTCCATTTTGAGGAACGAAAGCCCAGAAGGGCGTTTGGGGGATCATCTGCCCCTGCGATGTATCAAGCACGGAAACCCGGTATTGATAAGAGGTCCGTTCCTTGCGCACCTTTTCATGGCTATGCTAACATATTACACACGAAGACCCGTCTCAGTGGACCAAAAATAATGGTGGTTGTGAGCTTCCGTGCGATGAGACATTGGACTGTAAACATAAGTGCACCTTACTCTGTCACAGGTGAGCGCTATTCTGGATAAAGATTCCAATCATATCATACGGTGTCGAAGCTGATTTCGATCCCGCAGCTTTCCCCACCATATGGTGTCATGTATGGAGACGTGCAATCGACAGATGCAGTGCGGGCATCGTTGCGAGGAACCCTGTGCCCGAGTCCATGATTGTGCCTGTGACTGTCCGCAGAGTTCTGCCATTGTACCCATCCAGGACTACGCAAGCCCAGAGGACAGTTTCGGGTGGTCAGCTCATGCCCTCCAACGGGCAGCGGTCGACGGGAATCGGGCCTTTGCGAATGGTGGGGCCAAGGAACATGATGCCTTGCCATCAAGAATGGCGACACACCCGCTGCCTTCGTCATTTTCATCTAGATCGCAAGTACTGGCCGGTGGCTGCGATGTTCTAGAAGATTCGAGAAATTTGGCTAGCCGTGGCCGCCATGGTTGGATTCCAGATGGCAACTCGGCAGACATGGAAGCCCCACGGGTACAGCCAAACTTGCTTGATGATCATTAGGGGGTTAGTGTCAGGTCCTCCGTCTTGTGTTCTTCTTTTCTGATCCTTGGGCATACTATTTTCCCCTGTCAATCATTGCGACTACTGGAGGTAGGTAGGTACCTTAAGGTTGCAGACTGGAGAGGGAACCAATGATATCGTGGGGACCAAGGGATGTTATTTCCGAATGTATTGTGTAGCTATTTCCCAAACGTATCTTCCCTGACTCACCGAGTCGAGTGTGATTTGTTCTAAGTCTGCGAAAGTCCATTGAGGAGTGGGCAGGGTCCTGCCAGAGTGACCCACTCGACCCTTTTCTTGCGAGAGTTTGGGACTTGGTGGATGGCATCTCATCCCGCCAATCACGGGTCGCTCTTCTTTGTGTGACTTAGAGGGCTGCCAGGGCATCACTGGAATCTATACCTTTAGTCTATTTTATCCATCTACCTACTTCTCTTTTTACATACGTTACCATTTGATGTTATCCATTGTCGAGCGGACGGCTCAGCCAGTCTGATCGGACTTACCTCTCACCAACTGTCGCTCCCACACACCGAACCTCGCTCCCACGCAAACGCCAACACACACCCATCCTCCTCCCACGCAACAAGATGGAATTCTTCCGGACAGAAATCCTAGGCACGACGTTTGAGTCTACCAGCAGGTACCACTACCGATTCTCTTGAGGACACACCTCGTAGCCTTCCAAAGACAGAAGACTTAAACACAGGAACCATGGGTAACCTCCAGCCAGGTATGCGAACTTGCAGCCAGTTGGTCTGGGTGGCTTTGGTATCGTCTGGTATGTCCCGCCCCATTCATCGTGTCGAGAGAGCGAAGGGAAGATGGTGGTGAGCTGATGGGCTTGTCTTTAGTTCCGCCTACGACCTAATCTCCCAACAGCCGGTTGCGATCAAGAAGATGGTGAAGCCATTCGACAGCTCGGCTATTGCAAAACGCGCGTATCGAGAGGTCAAGCTTCTGAAACAAATCCGGCATGAGAATGTTCGTAGCTCACTTTGATGAAGCGAGAGGAGGTTTGATGGTTGGACGGATTGTGACGTGCTAACCCTAGGTCCTAGCTCATCGGCATTACCGACGTCTTCGTTTCACCGTTAGACGACATGTATGGATAACCGATCACATAAAGGCCAGCCGCACGGTACTAACCTTTGGATGCCTAGTTACCTGGTAACGGAACTTCTGGGCACCGATCTTGGTCGACTATTGCAAGCCAGACCCCTTGATGGCAAGTTTACACAGTACTTCATGTACCAGATCTTCGTACGGTTCTCCGTCTTGTCGAGCGGAGTGGCAGGAAAAGTGGGAAACAGACAAAGAAAGGATTGGTTCTAACTAGTGACAACAGCGCGGACTGAAATATCTCCATTCGGCGGGCGTCGTGCACCGTGACTTGAAACCCGGCAATCTTCTCATCAACGAGAACTGCGACCTGAAGATTTGCGACTTCGGCCTGGCGCGCATCGGCGAACCCCAGATGACCGGCTACGTCGCCACGCGATACTACCGAGCGCCGGAGATCATGTTGACGTGGCAGCGATATGGAATGCAGGTGGATATCTGGAGCGCTGGGTGTATCTTTGCGGAGATGCTCCGTGGGGTGCCACTGTTTCCAGGAAAAGATCATATCGACCAGTTTCATCTGATCACCGATGTCCTTGGAAACCCGCCCCCTGAGGTCATCGAAAGAATACCCAGTGGAAACGTGAGTGTGATAGACGCTTGTTTCAGCGGTCTCAGTGTTGCTTACTTGGAAATTCCTAGACACGGCGACTCGTGAGCATGATGGAGCGTAAAGAGCCAAGATCATTGAAGGACCTGTTTCCTGAGGCAGAGGATTATGGTAAGCAGTGCCCAGAGAGAAAGAGAGAGAAGCTACCACTTGCAAAACAAAAGGCGGGCAAGTGAATACTGATCGGCGTCTTATATTTCAACAGCGATTGACTTCCTCAACAAGACCCTCACGATCGACCCGGATCGAAGAATCACTGCAGCAGACAGCTTGAACCACCCATACATGGAACCGTACCACGATCCAACGGACGAACCAACCGCACCCCAAAAGTTCGACTGGTCATTCAACGATCAGGACCTCCCCAAAGACACTTGGAGGATCATGATGTATGCATACTTGGTCATCTTGCCATCCAAAACCGAATCACGGATGCTAACTGAGTCGCTCTAGCTACTCGGAAGTGCTGGACTTTCACAACTCCGATCTCAACCAAGGACTGGTACTTCCAAATGAAGCGGAGAACAATACTGCTGATTTCTTCAACTCGGAATTCCTCGACAATGGACCATGATTGGGTAAGCGCGGTGACGGCATTGTTCATCCACAAGTCTACAAGTCCGTCGTGCGGGGAAAGACGGGGTTCGTCGAATGGTTTCTCTTGGGAGCCCTCGCGTTGACATCACGGTACATGAACCGCCCACTCCCGTCAGGAAATCAGCATTGTGGTGGGCAGTATCGTTAGGTATCTGGGTACAGTGTATCCGTACATGTCTCTGTCCCGTTCCCCTTGGTCCCTTGCCTACCATGGCCTCCTATGTATTCCGAGACACTTTCTTAACCCGTAGCGAAATTCAGATGTTTTTAGCTGATCAACTCCGAGAAGTACATATATTTGACCTTCTACGGAGTACAGTAGTACTGCGTTTCTTATAACTCTCGGAGACTTTACAGACTGAACCCACCGTGAACTCGGGATCCAACCTTAGACCTTTCTTCCTTACATCCAAGTCCCTCAACAACCTAAAGAACCAACTATACACCAAACAACCTCTCAGCCCAAGAGAACCCCCATTTCCATCCAACCTACCCAACCCAAAATGAAACCCGCCATCTCAACCACCCTCCTCCTCTCATTCCTCCTCACAACCAACCCCCCAACAGCCCACGCCATCCCCACCCAAATCCAACCCCAAACTTCCCAAATAGCAGACAAACACACCTCATCAGCGTGGCAGCTCTCCCTGTACCAGAACACCCACTGCACCGGCGAAACAACCTTCTACTCCGGTAACGGGACACACCCTTGCGCCTCATCTATCCTCAACGGTGGTGCCCTGGCTTACATCTCTACTGTGAGGAGCGCCTCTAAATGCAAGGTGACGCTCTTTGGTGATGAGGGCTGCTCCCGTGCCGAGACTGTGGGGGTTATCGTGGCTGGTGGGGAGGGGGGTAAGGAGGGGGAGTGTGAGGTGCTTGACGCGGTGGGGGGTGGGACGGAGATTAGGAGTTTGAGGGTTGTTTGTTGAGTACTATTTCTTGTTGTTGATCTATATGATATCCTACCCTTTTTTCCTTCCGGTTCAGTGTGTCTGGCTGGATGGCTTGGGTTGAAATGAAGGGCTCTTAGGCTCTTCCAGGTTTGGGTCTACTCTACTGGGTTCCTGGGGAATGGAGCCTTAGTAGTGGTGGAAGGATAGGGATATGCCAATGGATAAGAGGGTGGATTGTTGATATGCATGTTGTGGTGATGATGATGATGATTGTTATGCCGTGCTATTCTATGTTATTCTATGCTATTCTATGATATGTTATGATATGTTATGATATGTTATGATATGTTATGATATGTTATGATATGCTATTATATGTTATGATATGCTACGATATGTTATGATATGCTATGATATGCCAGATGACGCCATGATTGTTGATATCAGGCCTGTTCTTATTTTGTACATGAGAGATATGACTCCACTGTCCTGTATCCTCTGCTATACGCCCCTCTTCCTTTCGCCTTTGCCTAGTTGGTACTTGTAAATATTAAATTGTAATGGTGATCATGACTACTATTTTAAATTTGATTGAGATTTTTCTCCTTCTTCTTCCTCTGAACATTTTGATTAAGAGAAACCCAAGTGATGCACATACGAGTTCGGTAGGACAACTTGCTCATCAAGCAAGGGGCTAGCAATTTTATGACGCCCATGCGCAGCGCATTGCATAATTAGGGATAAGACTCATGGTGTGTTACTCCTTACTACAAACTACCTACCTGCTAGGTAAGATACCCATACATGTGTCTGGAAGTCGCTAGTATATGCAACAGAGTACATGAATAATTGCTTTTGAACCACACACCGAGTCAAGAATATCACGTATATACATATTTACACAGTGAATATCTATATACAGACTAAACAGAGCCGCTATTATCTGCGCAGGAAAACACCTTATCGATGCGTCCGCTGTCATAAGCGCCCAATATCTGCACAATCACCCCGTAGGTACCGCCGACCATCATGAACAGGCCCAGCAGGACCTGCACCACATGTAATCCCCAAATGACAGTTTGGCGGACGCCCCAGCCGCGGCGGTAGTGGCCGTGACTCCACAGCCACAACCACCCTGGCAAGCTGATCGACAGCGGGGCGAAGCAAAGACTGCCGACAAGGGCGAGCACGTACGTGAAGATGGGGATAGCGCAGGCGAGGACAAACGCTATCGCTGACATGCTGATTGTGCAGCCTAGCCAGGTCCCCCAGTGCGTGGGTGTGTTTGCCTGCAGGTGTCGCGAGTTGCGCAGCATCCGCACGAAGAGGTACTTGGCGGCGACGTGGACATATAGCGAGCCGCTGATGATTAGGCCTGGGAGAGCTATGCCGTAGGACACGCGCTTGACTGTATCGCCGGCGCTGCCGAGGGCTGGCGAGGCGATCCATTTTCCGCACCAGCGGTAGATGACCAGACTGAAGGCGAGGTAGGAGGCTGCTACGAAGCCCATGCTTGCGTAGACGGCTTTTGGGTAGTCTTTTGGTTTACGCATTTCCGAGATCACGGGAATGAATGCGGAGGATGCTGAGCTGGATACGAAGATCGTCGCTGCTGCTGTGATGCCTGCTGCGAATGTTGGGTTGCCGATGGCGTGGTATCCCAGGTCGTAGTCTCCTGTTGGTGGTGCGGCTGCTGGACGATCTAGGGTTGTGACTCCAATGCTGTGAATGTGGTTAGTAGGTGGAGATTCATTTACAGAGAGAAGGGAAGGGGGGAAAGGGGGGGGAGGGGAACAAAGGAAGAAAAAAGAGAGAGAAGGGAGGAAGAGACATACACTATAATGAATATAGCAATCAAGATGCTAGCAAAACCGACCCATGTCAACCACCCGACGTGCGAGAACTTGCGCACGCTGGCAAATATGGCAATGATGACGGTCGCAATCAGTGAGAAGTACACCGTACACATCGAATGCAAAGACAGGGCGTTGAAGGCAGCAGAGACCCCAATGATGCCGGACGCCGCGGTGATTACGTAGGTGACGATGAACATGAAGCCTACGATCTCTCGAAAGATCGGGCCCCCGGTCACCAGGGCCATGTCAGCCACAGAGTGACACTGGGGGTGTTCGTTGCGAAATTTCCCCAGTATGAGGGCCCCGTAGGCGTTAATGGCACTCCAACCCACTAGATTGACCGCCCCGGGGAAAGCCCCCAGGTCGTACATGACCGAGGGAATGGACAAGATGCCAGTGGCGAATAGCACTACCGTGAGGAGAGGCTCGGGTTAGCCAGGACTTCCTTGGGGCGTCAAGCGGGGACGCTGCTTACGCTTGGTGAAAATGGCAGACGCGCGAATCCAGCTCACGGTGCGAAAATCCACCTGTCCCTCCCCAATCTTGAAGATCTCGTAGTCATTTTCCCCGCCCTTGATTGGATCGGCATGCCCAACGGCGACATCTTCGCTGGCGCCGCTGGCCGGTGTTATTTTGAGATCTTTCTCGTGAGGGAAAGACATCGTGGATGGGTAATGTTTAGCCTGGGGTGTGCAAACCAGAGCAATTGACTTTCCTGGGGTGCATGCTGCCTATCTATTTTAAATCTCAGATCATGTGCTCCTGCAGCCAACAGCCGCTCAAGGATCGAATGATAAGGTTCAATGCATAGTAGGGTCGCTCCCTTGATAACAGACCCGGGCCTGAGAGTCCTCGCGATAGGTAAGTTGTCAGCAGGGTACAGATAACGGCGCGATGGACTAATTAGAATTAGAGCCTGGTCTCGCCCGTGTCATCCCAAGCGCAAAACAGTGGAGTGTGTCAAGCCATGGACTAGCTGCAGCCCAAAACCCAGAGATAGGATTAGATAGGAGTGGAGAAGCGGGTTCTGATTTGCGGCGAGTGTGGGGTCCCATCCCCCCATTTACTCCAATTTCCGCGATAAGAGCGTCTCTTGGCAGTTGGAGAATGGCCGTCGATCGTTCCCCTCTGCGTCCTGGCTGATAGTGGCTGGGATTATTCATTATTCGGTACTCCATACAGGGTTGTGCATCCCCCGTCCGGGGAAAGGTGGTTTTTGAACCCTTTGTACATTCAATAATTCCACCCCAGCCGCGCCACCGCGGGGAATCGAGATACCGTGTTGTGGTTGGTGCTGTTTCTGATCCAGTGCAGCGGTAGAGTATAAAATCTGATCCATTGTGTCCGATCCAATCTGTCACGCGGTTCAATTGATAATATATCCCCCATCCACAACGAGAGCGTGCCCTTGAACAAAAGAGGCAAAGGTGGAGCAAAGGAACAGTACGGTGTCAGCCACCTCTTCCGGCTTCCCCATTCTCCTCATCGGCGCGATCTCCACCGCGGGCTGTAGTCGTTCGCGGACCTCTTCTGTACATGTAGTCATGGGGGTCTCGATGACACCGGGACAGACACAATTCACGCGGATCCCGTCCCGGGAGTAATCGATCGCATCGGAACGAGTCATGGCGATGATGGCGGCCTTGGAGCTGCAGTATGCCGCTACAAGCAGACAATAATCGTAATCATTAGCCCAACAATCGTCCGAGAACAATTCTCGAGGTAACTTACGCGCGCTGGGGCGTCCCACAATTCCCAACTGACTGGCAATGTTCACCACCGCCCCCCGTTGAGGCGATCGGCCCGGGTCATGACTGGGTAAAGGATCCTGCCCGAGCATCTGTTTGATCTGCGCTCGCGAGGACATCCAACAGCCCCGATAATTGACCCCGTTGATGTGATCAAATGTATCCGTGGTGGTTTCGGTGGAGCGTCGTCCCTCCCCGAGGATCCCAGCACAGTTCACGCCATAGTCCAGCCGCCCAAACTTCCTGACCACCTCGGACATGAACGACTCCACAAATGATTCATCGGCAATATCGCCGGCTGTCATGAGGATCTGGACCTGGGGGGAGGCAGCAAGAATGGACTGTCGGGTCTGTTCCAGCGAGGCATGGTTGAGATCCGTGATGGCAATGCTTTGGCACCCTGCGACGGCGAACGCTTTGGCCGTAGCAGCACCGATACCTGACACGACCGGTCAATCATTCTCACCAGAGACAACAACAAAAATGTGGTGGTCACTGTGATACTATACCTGTACCGCCGGCGCCCGTGATGACTGCCACTCCGGGGAAAGAAAATTCTCGCGTCATGGTGTGTGTGGGGAGGGTAGAAAGACAGAGGATGGTGGGCGATTGATGTCCGGAGTGCCCCCTCAGTGAAAATCAAGCGACCGAACGATGGTGGGGAGTGGATGATTTATCTATCAGTTCAAACCCCCCGGTGAAATGAGGGAGAGAGTGGGGAAGCATAATATCCTTCCCGCTTGGGTCTAGTGGAGGTTGGAGTCGCTCTTGTCTTTTCCCACCATTTCCTTTCTCACCATCAACTCACGAACTAATCCAGTTCGACTTGCGTAAACACACCTTTCTTTCTCGCCTCTTCTTCTTCTCTCTCTCATTTCTTCGATCTCTCTCTTTCTATCTCTATCTCTATTTCGATCTCACTCATCTGACAGTGTCCACCCCCGTCTCCAAAACTGTGGAGTGCTTCTCTTGGCTTGAACTATTGACCAGCTTTATCCCCCATTAATTCCTCTTATCGCGACTAGTCCATCCTGATTCTCCCTCCAATGTCTTAATGTTGTCCCAATCGTCTCCCATCCCCAGAGGCAATCGTCGCTCGAGTGTTGGAGCCAAATCCCGCGTCTGCGTGCATTGCGGCCGCAGTTTTCGGAGAACAGAACACCTCGAGCGCCATGTTCGCACTCGTACGTGATCTGATTTCAATTAAAGAAAGACATTGATGATCATCTGTCAATTCTTCTACCTGTTGTATCGCGATGTTGATGGCATCGATCATGCTAACGGGTCGCGTCCAGATACCAAGGAGAAGCCGTATGCATGTTTCTGCGGGGCGGCCTTTACGCGGCGGGACCTGCTGAAGAGACACACCCGCATTTCCCACCAAAACAATGGCCTTATCTCGCCCAACTCCCAGCCAGAACCGGATAGTCCCGAACATGCGGGTGGTCTCCGCGCCTCAGAGCAGTCGACGGTCCACCAGCAACAGCCGCAGCAAAATCCACCACCGAAATCTCAAGCACAGTCCCAATACACCGTCCCCTTGGCGGTCCGGTCGGATGTCCCCATCCCGGTGTCGACGACCACGGAACACTGGTCAGGTCCCCAGCACCGATCCTATCTGGCGCCTGATCAGTCGATGTTGAGCACGGAGGGCGTGGGTGTCAGTACAGGCATGGTTGCGCAGCCTCCCATCACCCACGACGCAGACATCCTACAGGCGGCCCAGCTTCTCCTCCCAGGGAACTTTCGAGATGCGCAGCCTCCAGGTACGATGAAAACGACCGTCGTCCGCTCTCAACTTGTCCACTCCCCCCTTGACTGACGTTTTTCTAGCCCAACCACTACCGTACCTGCCCGAAGAGCTGAATCACTTTCAAGAATTCACCCATTTCTTGGACTCCATCGGGTTGCCGTCCGAATGGGTGCCGACCATGGGGGATGCCCCCCAGGTCCATCATCCTGTCCCGGGAGATGTCCCCGACTCCGGCATGAAGGTCAAAGAGCCCCATGTCGTTTCCCGTCGGGCACATGGAGAACGTGCTCGCGCGGACTCCCCCTTTCGATCCTGGCTGCCATCAGTTCCGCCCGGAGACCAGAGCTTGGGAACCGTCTCGGATTATGGTATGGAACTTGAAATCGGCTTGTACCATTGATCGCTAATCGTAGACAAACCATTGCCGTGTAGAACCTCCCCAGACATCTACAAAGTCCTCGCCGCTCAAGGTCAGCGAAGAGCAAAGGCTGGATCTGGTGGCGTCGTTGGAAGAATTCCGGCATCTGATCCCCGATTTTGTCCTGCCTTCTCGGCACACCCTGACCCGATATTTGACCTCCTTCTTTGACGGGTTTCACCCCCACCTGCCGTTCATCCATGTCCCCACACTGCGGATCCACGAGCGCCCACCGGAGCTGATTTTGGCGCTCTGCACCCTTGGTGCGCAATATCGTTTCGAGCATCGTAATGCCGAAAGAATGTTCCACGTCACCAAAGCCATCATCCTCCATCGACTCTCCAAGGAAGCGCCGCAAGTAGCCCCAGCCACGTGCAACACGGTGGTCCAGATCCCATTGGCTCAAATTCGCGACCCTCACTCTCAGCATTCCTCGGCTCTCCCGCCGTCCGAAAACTATCTCGGAATGGTCGCATGGAGACAATTGGAAAACATCAGGACCCTTCTGGCCCTCATGGGATACGCCACCTGGGAAAGGGCCGAATTGGTCCAAGAAGCGTTTGCGCTGCAGGGCCTGCTCGTGCGCTGCCTGCGTGAGCTGGGCATGACCGAAAACATTACCGTAGCCCCGAGACATCGGCCTCTCCATTGGCACGAGTGGGCAGAGGAGGAATCCATCCGTCGCACTCGGTTCATCTCCTTCTGCTTTGTCCATATCCACAGCATCGCTTACAACATCTACCCGGTTCTCAGAAGCAGCGAGGTTCACCTGCGCCTTCCATGCTCCACAAGGGAATGGAACGCCCCGACGGCCCACGATTGGGAGATGGTGGAGCGGGAGGTCGGCACCCAGCAATTGTTCTTTCAAGATGCATTGGCGCTTCTCTTGCAACCGTCTCGGGCGCCCATTTTACTAGATCCAATTCCAACGCCTTTGGGGAATTACATTCTTCTCCACGGCTTGTTACAACGCATCCATCTGGTGAGCGAGCTCTCCATCCCGCATGGGACCGAGTCACTCGCGCTCCCAACCGAGGAGCTCAACAAACTCGAGTAAGAAGGACCCACTACCCAGAGGTTTGACAAGACACTAATAGTCTGACATAGGAGAGCGCTCCGCTCGTGGACGTCTGTTTGGCAGCAGGCTCCTGAGTCCAGCCTTGACCCTCACAACGAGAATGGCCCTCTCCCTTTCACGTCCAGTGCTCTATTAGGCTTGGCTTACGTACGCCTGTCCCTTAATTTGGGCCCGTTCCGTCAACTCAAAACCCGCGATCCGTATCGCATTGCCTCCGCGTTGCACAGTTCTCCTCGCCCCGAAAGAAGCTATCGATTGACTCCGGCCCTCATCTATTCGGCCCACGCGTTGAGCATCCCGGTCAGACTCGGGATCGACCACGTCGCCCGCAGCCAAGCCTTCTTCTGGAGCGTTCGACATTCCATTGCCAGTCTCGAATGCGCGGTGCTCCTCAGTAAATGGCTGTTTTCTCTGGCAGAGACGGATGAGGATCAGAACCTGAGCGAGAATGAGAGTCGAATCTTGCACTGGACCCGGTGCATCGTCCAAGAAGCCTACGACTCGATGGATTTGGAAGAAGGGGAGGTCATCCCCGGTATGGACCCTGGTGGCCTTGGGGTTGCCGTGATAAAGCTGTGGGCCCGTCTCTTCCGGAAAAACACGCAGTGGCCGTTTATCAATGTCCTCGGCGATAGCCTGGAGAAATACTTATCCTTACTCCGCCCGGGCTGAGAAACATCGGTTGTCAAATTGCAGTCAATCAACCAAACATCAATCTCCTTGCGGACCGGACGGTTCAGGCACATGGGCCGGCGAAACTATCGCCCCAACGCAGCAGCATCGAACCCGATTCTTATCTCGCTGCCCACATACCATACTTGGTCTTCCCCGCTGCGTCAGAATGTCACGGACAGACCATGGGAGCTTTCTCCGCACATCCTTCCTCCCTTGTGGAAGGTTGGTAGGACATGAGAGGGACAGAACACGCTCGCGACCCAGACTCCAGCGTCCATCGAATTGGCCATACCGGGGCATATCGTCAGGAGCGGCCGAAAGCAGGATCCGCTGTCCATGCAGCATCAAGGGGCGGCCGACTCTTATCTTATCCGATGGTATGGGAGGTACATAAAGGAGGCACTCGATCATTGCGTTTCGTAATCCGCATGGGGATTTATCACATCGCCCGTTTATTCCGGCCGGGAACAGCAGAGAGATGGCAACAGCGGCTTGAGAGTAATTTCCTAGCGTTACAAATCTACGGGTCCAGGAGCTCCTCAAAATTACAAACAAGAGTCAATCCTACCAAAAAATATATCACAACTCAAGAATATCGAAATGTACAATTCCAACGTCTTATACATTATTCAGTCCATAAATCTCCCCCGACTCCGTCACATTACACTACATAACATCCCGAATTCGGGGAATGATCAATGAAATTACATTAGGAATGGTCCATTCGGGCCACGAATTTGAGACATCCCGGTCAGAACACTTGATAGATGCCTGTCTCGATGCATTGGTGGCGCGAACAAGTCCACGGCATCTTAGGAGCTGGGGCTTGGCGTAGCCGAAGGCGAACCGGAAGGTGAGGCCGACGACCCCATGCCCGCGCCCGCGCCCGCGGCGCCAGAAGGCGACGGCGTAGGCGACGAAGAAGGCAGAATGCCGGCCGACGAGGGGCCGGCGAAGGAACCGATGAGAGGTCCGACGGTGAAGTTGCCGCACGGCGAAATGGGAGCACTGACACAGCTGTGGAGGTACTGGCCAAGCTTGCCCGGCTGGCTACCCGACTGCAGGACCCAGTCGGGCGTGTAGGCGGGGATCAGAGTGGTGCTGTTGGCCTGGAAGACGGTGGCGTTCTGGTTGGTCGCGATGTAATAGGCGTGGCTGGTGTGCTCGGCGGCCAGACGGGCGAGAAGGAAAGAGACCTCGGGGGACTGGGTGTAGGCCGAGAGACCGATGAAGGCACCGGACACGCTGCTCTCCATTTGCATAGCGCTCTTCACCCAGGACTCGCCGTCCTTGGCCGTGGGGAAGGTGAAGTTGCACTTGGGGGGCTCGAAGTCGGGGATCTTGGCCCCGATTTGCTTCGTGGCGAGGAGGCCCAGGCGGCTCTGGCGCTGGATGCCTTGGAAGTTGGGAAGATAGTTGGCGTGCGAGCTGTTGTCGGCACTCTGCAGGAAAGTCTGGTTGAGCGGCTGCTGGTAGTAGAATCGCTCCAGGAGGTACTCGAGAGCCCAGCTGAATTTGACGACCTCGGTGTCGCTCGGCTTCGGGGCGCAGGTATCGGGGGACCCTTGGGCGGCAGCAGCGCCCACAAGCAGGGCACTGCTCAGGAAAGAGAAGATGCGCATTTTTGAGAATGAAAAGGGTATTATTGTCTTCTGTTTTTGTTTTTATCTGTGGTTGACCAAGGTCTCACTGTTCGGATAGGGTCTGAAGAAGCAGAGGCTCGAACTGTAGCGAAATTCAAAAATGAACTTAAACCTGAGCCCCCGACCAGCCAAGATGCCCTCTTATACCTTTCTACGGCATCAAGCGGCTTTGACTTCGCGCCCAAATTCCAAAAGAATGGATGCAACCATATGATGAAAACCACTATTGTTGGATGAGCGCGAAAACACCCAGAGCAGAGGGACACATCCCAAAAGCTTATCGGTTTCTTTTGCATCACCACATCCACGACAAACCTTATTCATGCGGCGTTCCAACCGGCCCACCACCCGCCTGCCATTGGAACAATGAACTTTCTTTTTACTCAGCGACAACTCAAAGTGCGAGTCAACCAGTCACCCGGCATGGCTGTGTCCTTACCCATTGATGGCGCGTTGCCGAACTGGTCCGGAGTCATTGAGCGCGACCCGTGATATCATGGGCCTCAAAGTTTGATCCACGGGGAGAAGTTTCCGCCAATGACCGACCGCCTGAACAAGCACTGGAACCAATGAAGCCTCTCTCCTGTTCCAACAAGTCCTCATCATCGAAAGGTCTCTCAGCAGCTCATTCCGTGATAGTCATTGTCGCTGTCGTTGTCGTTGTCGTCGTCTCCTTTTTTTCCCCACTAGGTACCGGTCGTCTCGGGAAAGACACCCAACGCAACCCCATCCATTATCTTGGATCAACAAATACATACTCGATCGACTACCCGAACTTGATGCTGTCATTCATTCCATTCCGCGGAGCCCTCGGCTGGAATTAGTCTATGTGGAGCCGTTTCAAGCCCAATAGGGCTGGTCAATGATGCCAAGAGGACTGGCTGACTCAGTACTATATCTACAATCATTCATTCAACTCACTCACTCATCCGGTCATTCATCATTATATTTTCGCACGTCTTAGTTACTGTGGAGTCCTGACTAATAGGATACACAAAGATTTGAGTTTAAAACTCCCAGGTTTAGCAAGAGTTGACTCGACCTGATTAGATCATAGGTACGGACAAGCCGGTTCCTCGCTGTGGGAGGCATTTTCCGCTGGACTCCTCTTCCCCCTCGCCCTTGCCCTTGCCCTTCCTGTTAGGAACCGTTGTTCTCCTGATGGCTTTAGAGTGTGCTCGTCAGATCCAAATTCAAGATATCCATGACATAGCCTATAGTATATAGATACACTTGTTCGCATTGCGGTATACAATGACAGGACTCGTGTTTATGTAGGTTGATTGCTTGAATTGTTTTTGAGATATTTCAACACCACATATATACTAGATACTCGATACTCGATAGATACTCTGCAATATAGCAGGACAGACGTCATGAAGCAAAGAGAGAGATTGAAGAAAGAAACAATTTTTTAATACGCCGCCTTGCAGATAATAGATATATATAGATAGTAGAAACACGATTGCCTCCCAATAGATAATAATAAGTATGACGATAATGATAGAAGGAACACATTGCTTTTGAGTCTTTGCGTCTTGTGTTAGGGCAAGGGCACGTATAGAGAGACAAGACGGAGAGAGAGAGAGAGAAAATTAAGAAAGGAAGAAAGCACGGACGAAATACAGAGGACAATACATGTACACAACAACTCCAAATGCATTTGTGAAAAATTCTGTATGTACTGTTTGTCTGTCTGTCTGTCTATGAGTCGTCCACCAGACGTTTATTTTCCCAGGCCTTCTTGGATCCATCCACGAGAGCATCCATGTTGCCGCTGTTGGCGCACATGCTTCGGAAGAGGCCGTCCGATTTATTGATCAGGGCCCAGGGGTGGTCGTATTCGATGACGCGGCCGTGGTCGAGGACCAGGACCTTGTCGTAGTCGATGATGGTCTGCAGGCGGTGGGCGATGGTGATGATCGTGCTGTCACGGAGCTCGCGGAGGGTTTCCTGGATGCGGGCGTCCGTCGAGTAGTCGATGGAGGCGGTGGCCTCGTCCATCATTAGGACCTTGGGGTTCTTGAGGAGTGCCCGCGCGAGACAGAGGAGCTGGCGCTGACCCTGGGATAAGTTGGACCCGGACTCCGAAACGGTCGTCTCTATGTTTAGGAAAATGTTCTTGTTGTCGACCACGACTACGGGGCCGCTGGGACCGTCTTCGTTGGGCGTGGCTGCTGCCAAAGGGGTCGCGGACCCAGAGGTGCCGGGTCCGATTAGGTGGACTTTGCGGAGCGCGGTGAAGATCTCCTCGTCCGTGAAGGTTCCGAACGGGTCGAGGTTGCTCTGGATGGTCCCGGTGAACAACGTGGGATCCTGCGGCACGATAGTGATCGCTTCGCGCAAGTCCCTCAGTCCAATAGCGCTAATGTCCACACCGTCGATGACGATGCGGCCCTTTTCGGCCTCGAGGCCGCGGAATAAGGCCAGCGCAAGGGAACTCTTGCCGGCGCCTGTTCGCCCAACGATGCCGACTTTCTCACCGGGTTGCACTGCAAAAGAAACGTTGCGGAGGACCGGCTCCAAATCGGCACGGTAACGTGTGGTGTAGTTGGTGAAATCAACCGCGCCGTCGGCAGGCCAGTTGGCGGGCGGTCGGGAGTCGGGGAGCACCGCGGGGGCCTCTTGCTCCACATCCAGGTACTCTTTCACACGTTCAACAGAGTTCATGTTCTGCTGGACCTCGGAATACAACCGGACCAGCCAGAGCACATTTTCGGTGAAGGTAACCGCGTATGTCAGGGACAGACCTGCAGCACCCGCATCGATCTTGCCGATGTTCGTGAGAACGAAAACGGCCGTGAAGAAGGAAACCAAAGCTCCTGTAACATCGACACGGAGCGCAAGCCAACGGTTGCTCGCCCAGAGATAGATATGAGGCCGGTTGTAGGCATTGATACGACGATGGTTGTCGACGATGAATCTCGGTCCATCCCCATACGCGCGGATTGTCACGATACCGTTCAGGGTTTCGCCGAACTGTTGATACAAGGGACTTCGCTGCACGGACTCTAAACGCTTGAGATCCCGAGAGGAATTGAGGTACACGGCTCCCAAGGCGACATAAACCATAGTTATGAAGACGCCAGCGATTAGGAATCCGGGTGTAATGACTGAAATCAACACCACAATCATAATGACAGATGCTAGGCAGTGAATCATGCCAATTGCCACGGGTGCAACGTCTTGGTCGACAGACTCGATGTCTTTGGAGAATCTGTTCATCAATTGACCGAGAGGAGTAGAGTCGAAAAACTTGAACTTGGCATGCATGACCGCCCGCAAGAGGCGACTGTGGATGATCTTGGAGGCCTGGAGAGAGCCCCAGAAGAGGACACCCTCTCTTACCAACGAGACCACAACGTACAGAATTCCCAGGAGCGCGTAGATTCCAAGATAGTACGTAACGTTGACATCGCCCGAGCCATCGGATGATTGTTGGCTATTGAGGTGAAGAGAAGTCGTGGACGTCCGTGGAACGCTACCCGTGTTGAAAGACGGATACTTGAGATCTGCCAATGCCGCATAGTTGCCTGTGTCATCTGAGCTCACTTGCTTGGTTTGGTATGAATTTGCCCACTGCTTGATCCAAATATTTGTCGATACCGACCCGATTTGTTGCAAGGAAAAGATAAATATGGCAGACACCCAATAAGTCCATGAGCCCATCGAGCGAAGATACATAGCGACGGTTGACCATTTGATGCTGCCCGTAGCTTTCGATTCTGTCAGCCCGTTGGGGCCGTCCTTTTTATCCTTTTTATCCTTCCCAGCCGATCCATTTGCCTCATCCCCGTTCGCGTGTGACGTCTCGCGTTCAGTCTCGTCGATTTCAGAGGGTGCACGAGAGGCAAGCGGGGAACTGCCTCTAGACGTGGGCCGCGATTTCAGAAGCTCCTCGCCTAGAGCACCTGAGGCTGCCACATCATCGGGACGGCCTTGGGCGGCAATTTTCCCGTTCTCGAGAACGACGACATGGTCGGCCTGAGGGACCGTGAGAGCGGTATTGTGAGTGACAAGGATACATGTGCGACTGATCATCAAGGGCCCGGTAAGAGCCTGGCGAAAGATGTGCTTTGCTGTGTGGGAGTCCACGGCACTGAGGCAGTCATCCAGTAGAAGATGTCGCGCCCTGCTGTAGACGGCACGAGCGAGGGATATGCGCTGCTTCTGCCCGCCAGAAAGACTAATTCCCTTTTCTCCCACCAGGGTCTGGTCACCCGCATCCAGAATATCTAAATCGCGTTCCAAAGCGCACGCCTTTAGAACAGCGTCGTAGCGGCGCTGGTCATAAGGGGATGCAAAAACAATATTTTCTTTAACGGTGGCATTGACGAGCCATGCCTCTTGTGCACAGTATGCGATACTGTCTATCAGACCCGTCTGAGGGTCCACTGGCAGTTCCGCTCTCGTGGCTGTGCCGCTGGGCAGGTAGACTTTTCCTTTCAGAAGTTTCATTTCGCCAAGAAGCGCCATTAGGAGAGATGTTTTCCCGGAGCCTGTAGGTCCAGTAATGACATTGAGCTTGCCAATAGGGAATGATACATTCATGTTGATCAAGCGGAAAGTGTCGGCGTCCGCGGAAGGATCATCCCGGTACTGCTGGGCCGAGCCTCCCCAGCTAAGAGTGGCATTATCCAGGGCGATCTTGGGAGGCTGCTCGGGCTCATCGCTGTTATCCAGCTGGCGGTACTTTTCGGTCTCTTCTTCATTTAGATAAGTATCCACTCGATCCAACGAGACCTTGGACTCTTGCACATGCGCCACCATGTCGGCCAACTGATCCAAAGGCAGGCGGAGCAACGAGAACATGGACAGAGCAGGGAACGCGATCGACGGAACGAGCTTCTTTTTCTCGACCACCGTGTAGAGGAAGAATGATGCGAACGTTATAAGAATAGGTGTCCCGTACCAGACCGTGGCAGCGGTAGACCAAATGATGTAGCGGAAACGCAAGGCCTTCAACTCGGCCCTCCGTTTCTCGCTAACGATCTCTTCAAAGCGCTGCTCCCAGGCAAAATATTTGATGATCCGGATGTTCTGGAGAATTTCATTGGTGGAATGAATGCGAGCGTCAGTACCTGCCAGGATCCTGTTTTGAACCTTGGTGAACTGTTTGGCGATGGTAAGGTTCACGGGCAACATCAGGACCATCAAAACAATACCAGCGAAGGAGCTGTACCCGAGAAGTCGATATAGAAGCGTGACAGCGATGATAACTTGCACGGGAACACTCGCCCAGAGAAAGTGGAGGTAGGCGCCCACCTCGCTAACCTTGAAGGAGTCAATAGCCATCAAATTGATGATCTTTCCGACGTTCGCTGTCTGAGCTTCCCCAGCTGGTTCGGATCGTGCCGTGGTGGCCTCGCTCTCGGGGTCGGTAGCTGCCTTCTTTTTCTTACGACCGCAGCATAGAATGCTTCTCTTCTTGTTGTCCTTGACCGGCTCTGCGTCCTTCTTCTGAGACAGTTCGACAGATGGACCGGCTTTCCGTCGCAGTGCTTTGGCATAGATCTCTCCGATAATGATCGCGCGAAGTTTGACGCCTAACTTACGTCCGATCCACAGAGCTTGGCCATCGGCAATGCCCTGGATCGCCCCGGAGCAGAACAACAAGATCGCATACAACCAGGCCGCATTCGGTGTACCTGACTTTGGATCTTGGACGTATTCGAGGATCGCCTTGAGGAGAAGGGTGGGAAGGTAAGTGAACATGTTCGAGAACATTGTCCACGCCCCTTGCAATAGAATAGTCCCATAGAAATGGCGGAGAAGCTTCCATACCAACGACCCTTTATATTGTTTCCGACGGAAATCCTCGAGGACGATGGCAGCCTTCTGCGACGTAGTCAGATTCCAAACATCGTCGAGCTCCAATGGTTGCCTATAGCCCTTCATGATCAGGCCATCCAGCCAGGCAAAAGAGGCCAGGGACAGCAAGCTGGCTGTCGGATGTCGCGGCGGCTCCAGACCATCCTCGTGAGGCACAAGAACGGACTTGTTGCCCCTGCGCGTCGTCAGGGCGATGAGGAAAAGGACGCTGCTCAAGGAGAATTCGACGGCGCTGAAGATCATGGCACGCTTTGACGCCGGGTGAATGACGGAAGAGCGGAACACCAAGATTGTGAAAAGCCATTGCAAGCCATACAGAGTGGCTGTATGATTCCATAATCTAAGCAACAGGTGAACATCTAGGGTGGAGAGAAGCAGCCGAACCAGTGCCAGGAACAGGATATAACCCCAAGAAACCAGCCTGGCGACGGCCGCAAGTTTACCACTTTGACCCCAGCTGTCGGTTACGAGGATGGCAATAAAGATGGCGACCTCTCCCACCAGGGCGGCGATCTCCAAAGACACCAGCGTGACTTCACCACGGGGACGATCCAGTTCCAATTGCGTCACCTCCGCCTGCGCGGCTTTCGACAACATCGGATCCGTCTCGACTCCTTGGTCTTCTTCGCCTACCCCATTGCAGTGAACATCTTCCGAGTCATTGTCCACGAGGACCTTGTAGGAAGCACGCTTTCGGGACACAAAGTACCGATATGAGATTTGGAGCGCGATGGATAGTAACGATAAGGCGCATGCCGCTAGCGGCAGGGTGATCTGTAGATAGCTGTGAATTGACCGCGGTTAGCTACCACCGCCTAAAAAGCCATCCATGGAGAGTGAAATCGGTAGAAGATAGATGCATACTTGCGCTGGAAACAACTAGAAAGGTCATCGATAGCCCAGATGGGGCCATGGCATTCCAGTGCCATTTCTGACCGACAAGGATTGAGATCGCCTATAGATAAAAGCCCGCAACAGACCATGCGTCCAGTATCCAACAGACGGGAACGTGATACAGCTATGACAGATGATCTGGGTGAAAGAAGCAATCCTTAACTTCTTCGAAGCCAGTTATATTACTGAATGCTTTGGAGCAAGGCACAGGACAAGCCCGGCATGGCAACGGCAAAAAGACAAGGTTCTAAAAGTAAAATACAGCAAAATATAAGATGCGGTAAGAATATCAAGGGAAATTGAGTGGAATCATGTCCTCATATGGACGACAGGAAGGATGAAAGGGTGGTTAAGAAAACGAGGAAGAAAGACTGACGTCCAGTGACGAAGCCGACAGAAAGTTGAAAGGCGGAAAGGTCAAGAGAGAGAGAGAGAAAAAGTGGAGACGGGATGGCGGGAGTCCGAAAGAAGTGCCCGCCCGCCGTCGCGGATCCAGACCCAAGCACCTAGCTTATCTTGAGGATACTAACAACATCAGAACCTACAAGACCGTGGCTGATGGCCGTGAATATGGATATATTGGTCTTAATGGCACTAATGCGGGAAGAACGATGCTAAACAATGAGATTGGGCAGGTTAATTCGTGTCCAATGTCATCTAGTGTCTTACCAATGAAGGATCCTGCTATTGAACCGATCGAGTCAAAGGGAGCGCAGGAATGAAGCGACTAGTTGATATCAAGGGCTATTATATGACAACATATTGGAGGAACTGTCTCAAGAGTTCGCCAACTGATTTATCGAAAGTGGAATTACGAGAATACATCTTCACATCGATCGATCTCTCTACATTCCTCCGCCTGGCACACCACCGAAAACGGCCTCCGATGGGTCCAAAAATCCAGCAGGGATCTGGAGCGCGCGAATCAATCATGGCGCGCGCGGGGAAACACCGTCCTCGATGCAAGACATGCTGGACCAGTCCGTGCTTAATGCAGGACGCCCTTTAGTCACACCGACCGGTTGTTGACTTCTTCCTCTAAAGGGGCGACCGATGTCTGCATTTGACCCTGGTCCATGTGCGGTGAACCTCGTGGTGAGTCAGAAAGAGAGATGATCAGTTGATGATCCATTTGAGCAACTCTTTTCCTTTTGTGTCATAGCATGTCTTGATTGTATACTCCGTACTCGCAATGGACCCCCCGAATGACTGATACGAGATAGCAGAGGGGAACCCCGCCTGGTAAAAGTTTTCAGAGACAGATGTAACCTCTCCAAGATAATATTGTCTCGAAATTAATGAATAACCTACCAGTCTGACTCAAATGGCCGTGTCCACCTCCACCGGATGAGAGAGTAGTATGAAAAAGGTATAAAGCGCATGATGGTAGCCGCTAAGACTATGACGGACCCAGCAAGCACTGTCAAATTTCTTGGGAGACAAGCCAAGGAGGAAAGCAAGTGATAATGGCGAGAGATATGTCCGCAGGCGGGCCCACTTGGCTGGCCTTGTCTAAGGCGTTCTTTGCCTCCCCACCGTTTGCCGCCGTCCCAAGCGACGTTATCAAACAACCAAGGTCCTCGTATAGGTAATAATACTCTAAGTATAAAGTACACTACTCCAGTCGATCGCTGGTGCCTCTCATACAAATAACATATGTCTCTCATACTAATAACATATATCTCATCCTAATCAGTTTAAGACCGACGTTCGGTATCCTGTGACTTATAAGAACGCTGCCAATGCTGTCAACGGAACAACAAAACCTCACGCCCTTTTACATATTAAAAATAAATAATTGAAATAAATGCCAAAGTCAAGATCAGACCAACAAGAACCCCAGAGGACAAAATGAAGACCATTGATTAGTGATTTGCAGAAGAATCCTCAGTTCCTGTTGACGCCACACGCCCCCCGAGTGATCCCCGTTGGAGACCGATAAGTAAGGTGGATACTGGATGGCCTGAGAAAAAGGGCGGCAATCAAACGTCTCCAGGTGATCTTCCTTTCCCCTCTCTCGGTCAGTCAGTCACTTGCTCCTACAACTCACTAGGGATTCTTTTCACTCACCGTTTTAGCCTTGCCAGCAGTTTTCTTTTGTCTGCTAGTGCATTTTCTCAGTACTTCTTTGTACTCGTCTACTATCTCCTACGACCCTTTCTGTTCTCGACTATCTTGCCGCACCCATATCCCCATTTTGAACGGCACGAACCCTCTCCCCCGCAGTCCACCATGACGGAACGCATTCTCATGAATGAATACAAGACCCTGGCCAAAGAGCCATGGGTGAACATCGAGGTAGGTTTTTTTTTTTATTTTTCTTTCCTTCTCCTTGGGTGCATTTTCACATTGGTCGAGTCGAGATATGGTTTCAAACAAAGGGGGAAAAACAGTCTAACACGCCACTGCTGCATATCTAGCTCAACGAGGAAGACATTTTCCAGTGGACGATCGGGCTCATCGTCCTGAACCCAGATTCTCTCTACTATGGGGGCTACTTCAAGGCATCCATGAAGTTCCCCAAGAACTACCCATACTCTCCTCCCGGTACGAGATCCTTTACTCCCGCCCTTCCTATCCCTGTACTGACCGTTCGTCTTCCTCGCGTTAGAATTCCGCTTCCTCCGCCCCCTCTGGCACCCAAACATCTACGCCGACGGCAAACTCTGCATTTCCATTCTCCACGCCCCAGGCGATGACGAGATGTCCGGGGAACTCGCCTCAGAAAGATGGTCCCCCGCCCAGCGCGTCGAATCCGTCCTCATCTCAATCCTATCCCTTCTAGACGACGCGGAGGTGTCATCCCCAGCGAACGTCGACGCAGGCGTCATGCTGCGCAAAGAACCAGATCAGTACAAGGCGATCGTGCGGAGCAACGTGGAGGACTCGAAAAAGGACATCCCGGCGGGATTCGTCATGCCCACGCACGAGACGACCTCGACGCCCGTGAAGCCGGTCGAGAAGGATGATTCTGATTTCTGGGCGGAGAGTGACGTGGATGACGATGTGTTTGGGGGGAGCGACTCGGATGAGGATCTCGATGTGGATGACCAGGATAGCGGTAGTGACTTTGAGGATGAGGAGGAGCGGCACCGGACGTGACTCTTTTTTCTGTTTTTTTATATTGGCTCGGGTGCAGTACTATCTTGGATTTTGGGCATAGCGCAGGCGCACTGGGGGAACTTAGCCAGAAGCATGATCATTTGTATATTCTTTTGTTCTTTCTTTCTTTATCAACCCCGCCACTGTAATCAGCATCATTATCTGCCATATGCTATGCATGGTCCTTTCAGCACGTTAGAATAGTATCTATGGACGGTCGGTCTGAGTTGGATATATTCTGGTTACATCAAGAACGGCTATCATCACATGAGACTATCACTTACTAGGTAGAAAAACACTTCAGATCCATCTATATGATAGGCGCTCCCTTAGCACCTGCAGAGTGACAACATCCCTTATAAGTGTGATAAATAGGTATAATAGTAGGTGCTATATAACATCACATCAAGATAGCATAGCATGCAAACTCTCTCTAAAAACCACTGGTCATAAACAGGCCAAACATAAATCCCAACACAAACAACCCCTCAAAGTTAAAACTGCATTAGAGGTGGTTCATACAACATCACTTCATTAAAAATAATAATAAAATCGACTCTCTTCAACCTAGGTACAAGAAACTCTATCTTGCGCCACCCCTGCCTATCTCGCTGGTAGTAATCAGACACACATTGCTCCAAAGGAGAATCATCATTCTTTCTGTCTTAAGAAGAACAGGCGTTGAAATGGTTATAATGGTTGAGTATTAAATAAATTGATCAAGGGTGTTGTAAATCAATCAATCAATCAAACATGAGCAACCATACCAAGTAAAATAACCGCAATGTTCCATTCATCTACTCATGCTGTATATAGAGGTACATGACTGACCGCCATCTAACCAGTCAATAACCACCCACAGTTAATAGTCACAGCACCATCCCAAGCCGACCCTGTGGAACATACCCATCAACAAACATATAAAGATCATGTGTTGTTCCTGGTTTTCGCAAGGCTCATACCTCTCGGCTGGAACATGAGACAAATGTGAAGAATTATGTCGTCATCTACCTCCACTGCCTAGTTTAACCTCTAGCTCAGGCTGGGTACCTGCCTACCTATACACATGCCAACCTACCTAGGCACAGACATTCCTTTCACGTGAAGCTAATACTTGGTCATCGGATGTGGTCGGTCAGGTCCAGGTGACTGACTCCTGCTTGCTTATCCGGGTGGGGATGTGGCTGTGCAACCCTGCTGTTGAGACTGGAAGAGGTGACTAGGTACCAGGTAGGTACGGAGATCCATTCCAATCGGGGCAAGATCCGGCTGACAGTGGAATCAAGCAGATTCGTCATCCAGCGGGAGAATTTGAAAGAGGAAAATCACTCGTATTGTCCAAGTCGGCAGGCAGTCTGGGTTTATAGCGCGATAGCAAGCTCTAGATCGGGTCTCAAACATTGGTTCTGAGCATGTATACTATGGTAAAAATATGAAAAAAAGAGGCGAGCAAACCAAAACCAAACATGAAAGCAAAAAACAGTGACGCATCATACAGTCGGTGCAGTCAATGCACCGTCATCCCCACAAGCCCAGACGCAGTCGAACGGCGTCGAGAAGTAGTAGGTATGCGAATCCCATTCCCTTGCAATAAACGAAGAAAAACCAGAAGAAAAATCAATTGCCAACAATCAATCCCACATCTATGCAACCACGGCATCCTGGATCTCGCTGTAGATGGCGCCGAGCTCCTGGGTGAGGAGCTTCTCGGCCTTCTCAACAAGACCATCGAAGCGGTCCTGGATGGAGGAAACCTTGTGGCCACCCTTCGAAACGATGTCGCTGTAGTTGTCGGAACCACCGCCGTTCCAGGCGAGGAGCTGTGAAGGAGTAAGCTCTTTGTTCAACCGCGCAAAGGAATGGGAGACATGACTTACGTTGGGGGTATCTTCGGGGATGTCCGTGAGGGCACCTTCGGTGGCAATGGAGATCATGTCCTTCTTCAGTTTCTCCGGGGTGAGCTCTGCAACGGCAAAGGCGGAGTCCTTGGAAGGCTGAAGGGAGACAAAGTAGGCCAGCAGACCGGCAATGTGAGGGGAAGCCATCGAGGTACCGGAGATGGTGTTGACGGCGTGCTTGCTGCCGATCCAGGTGGACAGGATGTTCAGACCGGGGGCGAAGATGTCGGTGCACTTGCCATAGTTGGAGAAGTACGCCCGCTCATCCTGGAGAGTCGAGGCACCAACCGTCACGGCGTTCTCAGCGGAGGCCGGGGAGTAGTTGCAAGCGTCGGCGTTGTCGTTGCCGGCAGCGACGGCAAAGTGCATACCAGCGTCGACAGCAGCGTTGACAGCCGCGTCGAGCGCCTGCGACTTACCGCCACCAAGACTCATGTTGGCAACGCTGCCCTTGAAACCCTTGGCCTTGCCCTTCTTCGCCTCCTCAGCCCGCTTCAGGTGAGCGTTAGCCGCCCACTCGACGCCCTGCACGACATCGGACATGGTGCCCGAGCCACTGGAGCGCAGAACCTTGACGGCGAAGATGTTGGCCTTCTTAGCGACGCCATATTTCTTACCGGCGATGGTTCCAGAGCAGTGGGTGCCGTGTCCATTTCCATCCTCGTCCTCGTCACCCGTGGGGATGGTCTTGCCCCAGGTGGCACGACCGCCAAAGTCGGCATGGTCGACGTTGATGCCAGTGTCGATGGTGTAGGCATCAACACCCTCACCGCCTTCCTCGGCATACAGGTACTTGTTGAAGGAGCCGAAGCTCAGGCTATCACGGTGGGAGATACGAGCCAGACCCCAGGGGGCACCATTTTCGACATCCAAGGTGTGGACTTCGGAATCTTTCTCGATGTAATCGACCTGGGTTGTCGAGTCAGCCACGAGGAATGTCACGGGTAGGGGACACGATGTCCCGGAAGCAAGGGAGGAGGGAGCTTTACATCAGGATGTCTCCGGACTTGTTCGATCACGTCGGCGTGGAAGTGTCCAGTGTAACCCATCAACGACCCAGCAATATCAAAGGTACTCTTCAAACCGGAGAAGAGGTCATCATCGAGACCGAAGAGCGACCTCTTCTTCAGCTCCAAGCGAGAGGTCTGCGAGTCGTGGATGTCCTGCACCCAGCTCTGGTGAGCAGAGGCCGACGTAGAGTCAACATGCTTCTTAAACACGACGATGTAGGAGTCAGGGACTTCCTTCGCGTTGGTGGAAGACAGGACGGGAGCGGCATCATTGTGAATGGAGCCAACAACCACGGGGGTTGCCGCCGTCAGCAACGGAAGAAGGGAAAGGCCTAGGAAGGCTTTCATGATAGGCAACAAGGTAGAGATCGCAGGGGCTTGTTATGGATGGAAGGAAAGGAGATGAAAGGAAAGACAGCTAGAGATAGAAAAATTGAAGAGTGAGATGGGGAAGGATGAAATAAGAATGGAAAAGAGGATGGAGGATGGAGGAAGAAGAGGAGGAGAGGAGGTGAGTTGAGGTAGGCAGGTAGGGTGTAGGCTATCCCCAGCGGTAAGGCAAGGGTCAGGGCAGAAGGCGGAGATGAATGATGCAACCGGATTACGGTATTTTACATGAGTCGGGCGGATGACACAGCTTTCTATCCATCCGGTTGTCGATCTTTCCAGATTAGCGCTGTCCACTCCGGGCCAACCTGGGGTACGCGGTCAGAGAGACCTGACCTGGACTTTGAAATGTTGATGGATGACTTGTAGCTTTTATGGAGTTATATCCTAGGTATCTTTTAAAGTCAAGAAACTGACTGAATTCTGTTGTGAAGCAAAACAAGATAAATCATCGCAACTGGTCAGTCACAATGGGCTAGATAAGGTACCTAGATAAACGAGCAACCTGAATATCCAGGCCCTGCACGGCCTCAACGATGAGGCAAAGGATGGGGCCAAGTATCTCCACATCCGATCATTAGTCCACTAACCAGATAGACAGGTGAACGCCACGCCATCCTTGTCCGTGGTGACCAGGAATCCCCTCCCTGGCCAATGTTCCGGTGGTTGACTCACCATGCAGAGAGCTCAACAGCAGAAATGAAGTCATAGGTCACTTTCTCCTCATCCACGTTTTGGAGGTACCTGGGTGTCTCCCTTCTCGGTAATATGGAGCGTAGCTGGATGAATGGATCGACCATTCCTCCCGAGGTGGAAGAATCGGTCAGTCTATCCTGTCCACAGGAATTTACCTGTCTTACAGAACTCAGACTACAGACGCATCCACGGAATAGTTCCTAGGCAACCCAAAAGTCCCGTGCCTGTTCGGCTGACTCAAAAGTGGATCATGGAGGAAGATTGGGAGAGTTATACTCCGTACTAGGATGATACTATCTATGGATGCGTTGTGACACGATACAGCGTAATACCGTACGAGATAAGACGGCTTATCGATATCTGCCAGTTGACCAATGACGCCGGAATGGATCACGGGCATCACCTGATAATCGATGATGCGGCCCACTAAACCCAGTTGGTCTACTTGGCCTGAGTGCCTGGGTGCCTTGGTAGACTCGACTGGCAGTCTGGCACTGACGGTACCTACAGTACCTAAGATACCTAGCTAGCTAGGTACAGTACTAGGTAAGATAAGTTGATACGGTGCTCTTTGCCCTCCGACCGTCCCCGCTTGAAGCAACAAACCCGCTCCAGTGACTCGGGCAGAAGACACTTCCAAGGCATCCCACACCACCCCAACCCCCATTCCTTTTTTTTTTTTTGAGACTCTCCATTCTTGAGGGTGTGGAGGCCAGGATTCTAAGTTTACCTCCCCCAGATCGGTCCAAAATCTTCATCTGCTTCTCGTTGGTCAATCCCTTCCCCATTACGGTCGTGCAATTGCTGATCCATCTTCTGACCTGCTCAGTTGCGACCGTTGCTCCCCACCTCCTCTCTCTCTCCCGTCGCCTCTTCCATTTCGGCTGTGCGATGTGTGCGGATTACGCCCGCTAATTCAGTCGTGACCTCACCGCATACCAATGCAGACCGCCTTCATTACTCCGCCGTGTGCAGGTTTATGGTTCCTGGTGGTCACCGGCCATCAGTTCGGGTCTCGGGGATAAGCTTCTGCGGCGCAATGAACCAGGCGACCCCCCCTTCCTCCCCGTCCCTGTCCTCCTCCGTGTCAAACGAGCGGCCGACCGCCGAGTTAGCTCCGCTGCTCGACGACCTCCAGTCCATTGCTGGCGGAAACGCCATCGACGCGCAGGGGGCCCTCGCGGCGACCGAATGCCTGCTCCGCCTCCGCCATACCTTCATCGATAGCGATAACCACCGCGCGGCCAAGGAGGCCTTCCGCCATTTGCATGGCTTCCAGATCTTGCTGAAGCTGCTCCGGACAGTCTCGGAGCTCTACACCCCCGATGATCCTTCGCAGGAGAACAAGAAATGTCTGCTGTCGCTGTGCAAAGATGTGTTGGCGGTGCTGGGGGAGGCTCTGAAGGAACACTCGGCGAACCAACGCTATTTCGCGACTCGGGTCGCGGGGGGAGGACAACGGGCCCTGGAGGCCGCGTTTGAGGTTCTAGTAGATAAATTGAACGGTGCGGAGAATGATACCGAGCAATTCTACGGTGCTGTCTTGGCGGGGGCCCTGTGCCAGGAAGCCGCGGCCGGCATCTTTACGGCCCTTCGGACAAAGTTCCGAGACAGCCAGGAATGGTCTCTCTCAGATATCAGAGCCGAAATCGATCGGTATTTGGGGAGCTCGGAAACGGTTGAAGTGCCCGAGTTTCTGGACCCGTTTGTGCGGGTCTGGTTGGCACAGTCCGCTCACCCGGTGTCGGAATACCCCATCCAGAGGCTCGCCGTCCCGGCGTGCCTATGCCAGTTGGCTGCGCAGTCGCGGAGGAACACGACGGCCCTGCATGCGACGGGGATTTTATCCTCCATCCTGCCACTCCTGCTGAGCGAGGGCCGCCCTCGGGACGAGAGAGATCTTTACGAAGAACTGGCACGCCTGCTGTGCGCCCAGGGACTAAGTAGTTTGGATGACGTGGTGTCGCTTTACCGCAAGGCACACGAATCGCCCGATGCTCTTCGGCTCTTGGTCGACGTTTTGAAACGGTCGAAGGAGCCGCCCGCCCTGCAGTTTGACCTGTCGCTGCATGGGTATTGCTCGCTGGAATTCTCGACCCTGGGCCGCTCTTTTCCCCCGACAACCTCCTCGGGGTATACACTTTCAGTATGGGCGCGCTTCGATCGGTTTGACACAGAGACGCATACCACAGTGTTTGGGGCGTTTGATGCGAGCCAAAGCTGCTTTTTGTTGGCATATCTTGAAAAGGACACTCGCAATTTTATCCTGCAGACCTCGATCAGAGGCTCTCGTCCAAGTGTCCGTTTCAAATCCACGGTGTTTGAGCCCAACCGATGGTACCACATATGCGTGGTGCACAAGAAGCCCAAGCCACCGTCTTATTCCCGTGCTTCCCTGTTCGTGGACGGTGAATTTGTTGAGCAACAGCGGATCGAGTATCCCGGTATCCCTGCCCCAAGCGCCACGCACCGAACACCGCGGGTCCAGGCCTTCTTTGGTACCCCACAAGACTTGGCAATGAGATTGGGAAAGGGAGTGTCTACGTCACGATGGTCTTTAGCAAACGCAATTCTGATAGAAGAGGCATTTAGCGATGATATGATCTCCGTCTTCTATAATCTCGGCCCACGATACTATGGCAACTTCCAAGACTGCCTGGGCTCGTTCCAGACCTACAAGGCGTCTGCTGCTCTAAATCTCCGTAATGAACATTTACATCCTGGAAAAGAGGAGTCGTCTGATATCGTGACCGCCATTCGTCGGAAGGCGAGTGTCCTGATCCGCGAGGGGTCGATCCTGATCAACGTGTCTCCTTTGTCGGTCCTGGATGACGATGACTCTAACGGCGTTGACGAGTCTCGCCTCATCAAGTGTCTTTCCAAGCAGGCGGCTCGGAATCTTCACCAGCTAACCAAAGCGGGAGCGAATGCAGTGGTCGTCAACGGCGCGACTCCCGCTATCAATGATGCCCTGACCCAAGCCCATGGGATTGGGGTGTTGACGGGTGATCCTGTAGTTGCAATCCCTCGCTCCCTGGACGACGCCAGCTGGTGCATCGGAGGATGCGCGGCGGTGCATTTGAGCTTGGTCCACGCCGCTCGCACACCCGAATCCACCCGTCTGGCTGTGGAAGCTTTGTATGAGGCAGTCCAAGACAACTGGCGGAATAGCGAAGCGATGGAGAAGGAGAATGCCTATGGTATCCTGGCGGCATTACTGCGTGACAAGCTCGGCTTGCCCTTGGGTAGCAACTCCGCACCCGCCAGGACGGCCAGCGTGACTTCTGACTACAATGAGCGGTCCGATTTGACGCTTGCGATCCTTCGTCTGACCCTTGGTTTCGTGGGTTACAACTTTGAGCGACCGAATCTCTCCATCATTACGAATCCGTTGGCGTACAGGGTCTTGCTAGTGGACCTGGACGTTTGGAGATATGGGAACGCCCCCCTCATCGAGTTGTACTATTCCCAGTTCTGTACCTTCTCCAATGAGAGCCAGTTCCGTCGGTTCAACGCCAAACGCCTTGCTCGCATGCGTACGTTTCTGATTGCCTGATGCTGCGTCTTACTTGTGCTGATAACATGCAGGTGTTAACAAGAAGCTCCTCGAATCCTTGAAAGACGAGGAATTCACGCTGGATTCGCTGCATCTTTTCACGTCTGCTTTTGGTTCTCTCCTGGAAGGATGCCTGTCAGCCGACTTGCTGCGGTCATTGGCGTTGTTTATCACCTATGCCATCCATAAGCACAAAGAACCCAGCAGATTGCAGAAGAAGAAGAGCATGCGTTTTATCGCTGGGTCGCGACAGACTCCGAACACGCCTGAAGGAAAGAAATATGTCTCCAGTCTTACTGTGGCTATAGAAATGCTTCGGATGCTCTGTTCTATACTGTGCACCGCCCATGATCTCCTTCCCATCAAGAAATTTGCCAGGGCTGTTACAAATAAGGTTCGTTGACTAGTGTTACTCTTAAAATGGCAGGACTGACCCTCGCGCAGTGGCTACTATATCTCATGTGTGAAGATGAGCCCGAGATCGTGGTTTTGGCTGCTAAAATAATGGCCCGGTTGCTCGTTACCCACGGCGATGGCTATGGTAAGAAGTTCTCTGAAAAGTCTGGAGGGTACGTAATCATGCGCCAATACTTGAAGAAGTGGTGGAGGATCCCGGCCATTTGGCCCATATGCTTCGCTATCTTCTTTGGCGTTGATGTTGGCAAGATAAGCGTCAAGAAGCCTTTCGACCAGGCTGGCCTGCTGGAGACGTTTTTTCTTGGCGATCAAACTTTTGTTGCCTTCCCTGAAATGCTTCCGGTCATCATGGAGATGATGCAAAGCGGCCTGAGACATGCCGTCCTGGCCGACGAGACCGCTGGTTCTGAAGGACAGGAAGACGAGCATCCTAAAGCTCAAGTACCGCAAGCTGGAACCCCCACAATGTCATCCCATGTGCCGGTTACCGCCACAGCTGAAAAACTGTCATTGTTATCAACTGTCATAGATTTCTTTGCGGGGATGCACATGCGATCGCATAGCTTTCGCGAGTTTGCGACACGGCCTGAATATATCCAGCATCTACTCTACGTGCTATTTCCTGTTGTTTCCGGCACTGATGCCGTGGGTGCTGAGGTTGAATTGAGCTGCCGTATGGGCGATCTGAGCTTCGATGACCAACACTTGGTCGCGCGCCCCCGTTCTCGAGGCGCAAGCGACTTGCAAACAACGATGGTGGAACACACTGGAGCTCGCGATGATGAGGGCGATGCCATGAGACGTGGGTCGTCGTTCATCCTGATTTCTTCCGACGGAGCGAAGTATCCACCATCATCCGCGCGTATACGCCACACATTCAGTCCCCGTCAGTTCGAAGCCAGTGGAACGACTTCCAAGGTCACCGACTGCCCACAGGTTATTGGGATTCTGGATTTGGTTCTGGCAGTTTTCACAGAGCAAGTGCTGGAGCGGAAAGAGTTTTCCGGTCTCGGCCTTTACCTCAAGGCGCCGCCTGGGTTCCCGGAAAACCAGGCATTTTTCACCTCGTGGCTGCTGAGACATCTCCTCACCACGCTTCAAGACGTGATATTCTCCAATGTTGAAGTCTTATCCGAGCCACGCGTACTCACCAACCTTGGCCGTCTCGCCACGCATCTGAGGGAGGCCGTGTACGAGGGTTGGTTTGTTGACAATGCGAATTCGACTCTCGAGTTTGCAGGAAGTATATTAGAATATCTTCAGCGGCCGGACGTCTCCCGCCTCAAAAGCATTCGGCTCTGCAGTCAAGCAATTAACACAATCCGTACGACGCTGTTTCACGTCGTCCTGCTGAGGCTGTCCGAGGCGGAGGGGCCGGATGCAATCGCTTTCTTGCATCGCCTGGCTTACTGGCAAGTCGTTCTCCTGTCCGATGGCGAGCCCCAGTCAGACAATCTGCAGCTACTATGCTATCTGCTGTATATCAAGTTGATCGACAAAAACCACGACGTGCGTCTCGCCGCGGCGGGTCTTTTCAGGATCATGCTGGTGCAAAAGCCGACGGAGATGACCCACGTTCTTAGCTTCGCGGCAATCCCGTTACAGGAGCGTCTCTCTGGAGGCTTCGAGGCTCTTGTTGGCATGGAGGATGCCGCTTTTCTACAATGGGTGGACGACCAAGAGGCTGATCTGAAAGCGCTGTTTTTCGGAATCCTATCAAAATCCTGGGACACGTTCGTCCGAGACGAAAACTCGCATATTGAGAATCTGACGCGCAGCCGGCTGTCTAAGCGCCAGGAAAAATTAAAGCAGTGGTGTCAGGTTGACTCCCTCAGCGAGGAAGTGACCCGAAGGCACGACGCCACCTTTCCGCACTGGAAATCGAATATATCGGCCTCTGAATTCCTCAAATACCAGCGGGCTATACAGGACCAACAAGATAACTACGTGTTTATGTGGACGGCCTTTTCCCATCTAGTGAGAGACTTGCAGCGCTTCGGCGGTGTCCTCGCCGAGGATGAAGAAAGGAAATGGTGTCTTGATCAGACGGAAGGGCGTAGCCGGATGCGTCTTCGCATCGTCCCTGACGACTCAGGACAGCGACAAGATTACCAGCCCAAGCGAAAAGCATCCGAGCCGCCTACTTTCAAGATTGACACGCAACTGAGCCCTTCAGGGAACGATGGCCTCCCTGTCACACCCACGGGAACGACTGCCGAAAGTTCCAACGGCCCGTCGCAGAGCATTGTTGGTCCGGATAGCAAAAGTGTCATCGAGGAGAGCTTCGAGCTGATCGATGACCCGAAAGTGGATCTCGAAGATTATGAGGATAAGAACCGGAAGGTCATGAGGACGCTACACCGCGGCGACCAAGTGGATAGCGTGTGCAATATGTCTCGAATTATCGGCTTAGAAGCCTGCGAGGGTCTCTTGATCTTGGGGAAAGAAAATATCTATATCCTGGACAACTTCTTCCAAAGATCCGACGGCGAGATCGTGAACGTCTGGCAGGCTCCTGCTGATGAACGCGACCCATATGTGCGCATGATCACGGGACGGGAGTCTAATGAGCGCAAGTCGCAGGAGCATGATACGAGAAGCTGGAAGTGGTCCGACTTGATCAGTGTCTCCAAACGGCGGTTTCTGTTCCGCGACGTGGCTCTCGAGATTTTCTTCACGGATGGCACGAGCTACCTGCTTACGCTGATCTCCTCACGAGCGCGAGACATCCTCTGCAGCCAGTTGGCGTCTAAAGCGCCTCAAACGACCGGCAGCGTGGGCCATTCACGCCCAGAGGATGTCTGGCGATTCGAGACGCTGCGCAGCCCCGAAGATGAGCCCCAGTCGCTGGGGTCGAAATTCGCCAGCGTGTTCGGTCATTCGCCCGTGCATCCGGCCACGCGCAAATGGGTCAAGGGGGAGATCTCCAACTTCCACTACCTCATGCTGATCAATACTCTCGCGGGTAGAACTTTCAACGACCTAACCCAGTACCCCGTTTTCCCCTGGGTTCTCGCCGACTATACCAGTGAAGAGCTGGACCTGACCAACCCCAAGACCTTCCGCGACCTGTCCAAGCCCATGGGCTGCCAAACGCTGGACCGGGAGTCCGACTTCAGGGAACGGTACAAGGCGTTTGCGGAGATGGGCGACGACGATGCCCCGCCGTTCCACTACGGCACGCACTACTCCTCAGCCATGATTGTCAGTTCGTACCTCATCCGCCTCCAACCGTTCGTCAAGTCCTATCTCCTGCTGCAAGGTGGCACGTTCGACCACGCGGACCGCCTTTTCTACTCCATCCGCAAAGCCTGGGAGTCGGCTTCGCACAGGAACATGTCCGATGTCCGCGAGCTGATCCCCGAGTTCTTCTACCTCCCTGAATTCCTGGTCAACTCAAACAAGTACGACTTTGGAGTCCTCCAAAATATGACGACCACTATCGACGCCGTGGAACTGCCACCATGGGCCAAGGGCGATCCCAAGATTTTCATCCAGAAGCACCGCGAGGCGCTGGAGAGTCCCCATGTGACGCAGAACTTGCACCACTGGATCGACCTGGTGTTTGGCACCAAGCAGAAGGGTGACGCCGCGATCGAAGCCGTCAATGTTTTCCACCATCTGTCGTATCAGGGCGCCAAGGATGTCGATACCATTGATGACCCTGTCGAGCGACTCGCTACGATTGGCATTATCCATAATTTCGGACAGACGCCGCATCAGATTTTCAATCGGCCCCATTCGGGGAGAGAGGACCTGCGCCATAGGATTCCGCGGCTGGATCGGCTGGCCGAGTCGCTTACGCAGCAGCCTTTGTCGCTTCTAAGTTAGTTTTCCTCCTTTCTTGATCCGGAGTGTTTGTATTTCTCTTTGGCAGGAGACTAATTCCGTGATAGATATTGGAGAGCAGGTGTCGTCGCTTTCAATGAAGCACGACCGCCTTCTTTGCGCACCGCCTCTTCGGTTAAACATACCCCCAGCCTACGACAAGTACATGGAGTGGGGATTCGCAGACGGCAGCGTCCGATTCTACTCCGCCGACAGCCGAAAGGTATGACCCTTCCGAGCGACATCTATCTATCTACGCGATGGCTAACTTCTACAGCTCCTGGGCCACTTCGAGCATCTGCACATCGGCCAGCTGTCGAGTGCGATCTTCGCCGACTCGCGCACGCTGATCACGTCAGGGACAGACTGTACGGTATCTGCGTGGACATTCACGTCGACGAGCAAATCGGTGGATCTACAGCCCACGGGATCGCTGTTCGGACACCGCACGCCTGTGACGGTGCTGGCCGTGTCGCGGTCGTTCAGCGCGCTCTTATCGGCTTCTACCGACGGCCAGATCATGCTGTGGGATTTGAACAGGCTGTGCTTTGTCCGGGAGCTTCCTGCGCGTGGTCCTATCGAGGTAGCTCGCCCCATCTCTAGTTTCTTTATCAAAAATGAAGTCATTCTAACATCATGGCAGTGCGCACGGATCAATGACGTGACTGGGGAGATTGTCATCTGTCGGGGCAATTGCATCAGCCTGTACACGCTCAACGGCGCGCTTCTCCTGGAGCAAGCGGCATCGGATACGACCGACGACCCTGTGCTATCGTGCGTGTTTTACGAGGGCGTCGGCAACGAGTGGCAAGAGCGCGAGCTGCTGTTCATGGGACACCGACGAGGCGTGGTCAACGTATGCCCCTTCACCTGTTACCCGGGACTCCCTCAACCTCCGAAATCCATACTGATGTAAGAACCAGATCTGGAGCAAAACCATCCGCAACGGAAAATTCGAGCTAGAGATGATCCGCCAGCTGCACCATGTGGATAGTAACCGCGACAACGGGGCGAATATCACGACGGGGATCAGCTGTATTCTGGCGCTGCCGCATGTTGTGTACACGGGGGATGAAGCGGGCAGGGTGGTGAGTCCTATCTCTTGATCGGACGTGGTGATGTGATATGATTATGAAGATGATGCTAACGTGTGTGCTTAGTATGAATGGAGCTGTGTGCAGCGCCGTTGAGATGACCTCAGATTCGGTTGCGCTGATGGTTCTTGGTGTTGCACCAAGGAACCACATGTGCTGTGTGGTAAGCAGTGCTTATGCATTGATCTGTTGGTCTGGGCAATGCAAGTGGGATGGATGTAATCTGGTCACCTCGTACATACAATTTCCGATTCCGAACTCCCCCGGGACCCCGCAGTCGGGGATACGAGGGGGAGGAGAAGAGGGGAACGGACTAGGATAAAACCAAGAAAAGGGGAAAGAAATGAATCGAAAGAAAAGGAAAGTCAATTGAATTCATCAAGGAAACAGGGTCGAATTGAACGGTATAAACTCAGGGTGTTAGTTAGTCCTAAGTAGTGTAGAAGTTCTACCGGTGAGACGTGATTAGCCCGGATGGCTGTGGACCGTCCAGCTCTCCAGCTAGAGGTAGCTAGTCGGAGCACACTGCACCGCTCTAGATCGTGAGAAGTCCGGGCATATAGAATTGCATTCAATGATGGCTGAATAGTACAGTAAGAATGAGAAGAAGTAAGAAACTAGACAAGGTCTGGTCATCATAATAATCTTGTAGTGGGAAGTAGGATGAGGGGTTGAGAAAAAAAGGATGAGAAGTGCATAGCGTCATCGTCGCCCCACCATCTCCGGCCAGCTTTCTCTCTATTATTTCAACGCCCCTCCCCTCATCTGGCTCTTGGTTCTGTCCTCTTCTCTCCAAACTCTCTCTTCTCTTTCTCTCCATCGCTTCTTTCGCCTCTACATCCTACTTTGAATCTTCTTGATTGACCGCAATCATTGCTATCATCATCCACCATGTCTTCCTCTCTTGATCAGCTCAAGGCCAGCGGCACTGTATGCCCCACCTTTCTTTCTTTCGTTCAATTTCTTCAAAAGAATCAAGCTAAACAAGCTGGGATAGGTTGTCGTCTGCGACTCTGGTGACTTCGCCACCATCGGCAAGTACAAGCCTCAGGATGCCACCACCAACCCCTCCCTCATCCTGGCCGCTTCCAAGAAGCCCGAATACGCCAGCCTGATTGAGGCCGCCGTCGAGAAGGGCAAGAAGGAGGTACATCTCTCTCTCTCTCTCTATAGCTCCGTCCTTCCCATCATACTAATAAGACCTCCAGGGCAAAACCCTCGACGAACAAGTCGACGCCACCCTGGATAACCTCCTCGTCCAGTTCGGCAAGGAGATCCTGAAGATCATCCCCGGCAAGGTCTCCACCGAGGTCGACGCCCGCTTCTCCTTCGACACCCAGGCCTCCATCGACAAGGCCCTGCACATCATCGACCTCTACAAGCAGATCGGCATCCCCAAGGAGCGCATCCTCATCAAGATCGCCTCCACCTGGGAGGGCATCAAGGCCGCCCACGTCCTGCAGTCCAAGCACGGCGTCAACTGCAACCTGACCCTCATGTTCTCCCTCGTCCAGGCCATCGCCGGCGCCGAGGCCGGTGCCTACCTCATCTCGCCCTTCGTCGGCCGTATCCTCGACTGGTACAAGGCTGCCCACAAGCGTGACTACTCCCCCGAGGAGGATCCCGGTGTCAAGTCCGTTGAGAGCATCTACAACTACTACAAGAAGCACGGCTACAACACTATCGTCATGGGTGCTTCGTTCCGTAACACGGGCGAGATCACCGAGTTGGCCGGCTGTGACTATCTGACCATTTCGGTATGTTACCCACACCCACGAAGACGACGTAAAGAACAGGAAGCTAACAGAGTATTATAGCCCAACCTCCTCGAGGACCTCTACAACTCCACCGCCCCCGTCCCCAAGAAGCTCGACGCCGCCCAGGCCGCCGCCCAGGATATCCCCAAGCGCAGCTACCTGCACGACGAGGCGACCTTCCGCTTCGACTTCAACGAGGAGGCCATGGCCGTGGAGAAGCTGCGCGAGGGTATCTCCAAGTTTGCCGCTGATGCGGTGACTCTGAAGAATATCCTTAAGCAGAAGATCCAGGCATAATTCTTTCGTTTCTTGCCTTTGAATCTTTGATTTTCATCCCTTCTTTGTTACCCTACATGTTTGATGCCCTGATGTGTAAAAATTTCGTTGTTGTCTTGTCCTAAATTGGGATGATAGTAGATACGAATTACGAATTATTTGTGTCGTTCTTTTCATACTTGTAATTATTGGTGGTTGGTGTTGCCTGGGCAGTAGGTGTAAACTATCAGAGATGATATGATGTGTTGTGTTTGTCTGTCATTCTGTCATGGAATAATAACTGTTTACACTGGTATGCTATGCTATGCTCTGCTCTACTAGTCATCTTCACTCTACTATTATCTTCTACTTGACTATAAATGTACTCCCCTCTCCTCTCCTGAACTGTAATTGTATTAATATATACCATTAAATACCATGTATGATAATGCCTACTATACAATCCACCATTCAAGTAACTCCCAACCAGTAACCCAACCCATGCAATAATACTAGGTATCTACCCACCCTCAACCAGCCTCTCCCTCTGAACCCTCCATTCCTTCTCCGCCAACGCCCACTCCACACCCCCGTCCCTCCCCCACCGCCTCGGCACCAAATCCCACCGCGTGCCAAACAGCGAGTCACACACGCCCGGACTGCCGAATCCATCTGAGAAAGACACGTTCGTGCGCGAGTGGTGCTCGCCATGCGCGCGGTTGTTAAGGAGGGTGTCTGCTAGCGTGGACCAGATGCTGTGTTTCTCTTCCTCTTCGGGCGGTGATGTTTTCGTTGATGATCTAGAAGATGGCGTAGGATGAGGATGAGCGGGGGACGAAATCAGCAAGGCGAAGTCATACCCCGAGTGCTCGTAGACACCGCCGATGGCGCCCAGCGCAGCCACCAGGTAGTGAAAGTACGGGTCTGCGCCCCCGCCGCCGATAGCTGCCAGGGGTACTAGGTAAGGCAGGACGATCTCGAGGAAGAAGTCCGGTCCGGACATGTAGCAGGCGCTGAGGCCGCGGCTGGCGGCTGTGGAGTGGTGGATGGCGTGCTTGAGGGCGCGGATGAGCGGAATGCGCGGACTGTGTAGCAGGTAGCGGTGGGTGAGGTACTGGACGATGTCGTGGCCGGTTGCCATTGCGGGGAGGGAGAGGAGGAAGCGCGTGGGGGAGAGGTGGGGTGGGTCGGGCGTGAAGCAGAGGGAGGTGGATTGGGTGAGGAGCATTGTTGGGAGGAGGATGAGGGTTTGGTTGGTCAGGACGCGGGGGAGGAGCTGGGTGTAGGTTTTGGGGTCGGGGGGGCGGGCTTTGAGGTGTTGGAGGTGTTTGGTGTGGTCGAGGTATTCGAAGAGGAGGGCGGTGGTGTGGAAGGTGAGTTGTTGGATTAGCCAGGTTGTGAGGGGGAGGGTATTCATTTTGTGTGTCTGTGTTTTATGTATGTGTGTGTATGCTGTAGTTGTAGTTGTAGCTGTAGCTGTAGTTTTTGTTGTATTTGTAGTTGTATTTGTAGCTGTATGCTGTAGCTGAGGTTTGTATGTCCGTCTGTCTGTCTGTTATATGTTATCTGTCTGTGTGTATGTCTGTGTATGTGTGTTGTCTGTTATATGGTGTATGTGTCTGTTATATGGTGTATGTGTCTGTTGTATACCAGTATGTATATTGTCGTATGAAAGGAGCAATTTATATGGTCAAGCTTATGGTCCAGTCACGCAACATCCGGGCTTTCCGTCCATCAAAATAGAATTGGAACAAGCATATCGGTCTTCGGTCAGTACAGTCCGATAGCTCAAGTGTTGACGACTGTGGACATTGGACAGTGGTTCCAATCGCGTGGGACAAGGTAGTCATCATCCAGTCATTGGCAGAAGAGCAAACATGCGATGGACAGCCCTGACTCATGGGAATGGAGTAAGCCGAATTGTCTATCGTCATTCTTGAGGATCATCTAGATGTCGGAGTATATACTGAGAATATAATATGTCTAGTAATAGTGTATAGTTCGATATACTGTCAGCTTATCTGATCGAGTTCCGATACTCGGATCGGATTAGTAAATAAGAGAGCTTCGAGCTTGACAGCCGATATAATTCCCGATCATCTACCTCGGTAGGGAGTTCAGTAGACTGATGATCTCTTCAATTCATATATTCAAATGAATAATAGATAGAAGGATATAAGAATAAAAATAAATTCACTTAAAAATAAATTCAACAGAGAAGAGTAGATCAGGAGTAAGAAGTAACTGGACAAAAACGTCATTCCGGTTACCCCGCCGAGTGGGGTTCTCACTCTCAGCGTAGCTTTTCCCCTCATCCTTCCCTTCCCTCTTCTTTTTCTCTCTCTCTCTCTCTTCTCTTGGTTTCTTCATCTCAACTCTCACGCACTCTCACCTCCAACCATCCATCAACTTAAGTAATCTTCATCAATCTATCAAAATGGTCAAGGCTGGTCAGTCTCTCCCCCTCACCCGTATTTTCATTGGTTTTGGTCCGGATGGATCCACGATCGACCGTGGCCAGGGGACCTGTTCGGGGACCTTGGTGTGAGCGGGTTTGAGCATTTTTTGGCCTATCATCGTCTCCTCTAGAATAACTGATGGTCTAACTGATCTCATGTAGTTGCTGTCCTCCGTGGTGACTCCAAGGTGTCGGGCACCGTCACCTTCGAGCAGAACGACGAGAACACCCCCACCACCGTCTCCTGGAACGTCACCGGCAACGACGCCAACGCCCAGCGTGGTTTCCACGTCCACCAGTTCGGTGACAACACCAACGGCTGCACCTCGGCCGGTCCTCACTGTATTTCTCCCTCTCTTCCCTAACAATCTGTAACCACACGACTAACAGCCACCCAGTCAACCCCTTCAGCAAGACCCACGGCGCTCCCACCGATGAGGAGCGTCACGTCGGTGACCTGGGCAACTTCACCACCGATGCCGAGGGCAACGCCGTTGGCTCCAAGACCGACAAGCTGGTCAAGCTGATCGGTGCCCAGAGCGTTCTTGGCGTATGTCCCCTGATATCTGGATTCTGATGATATACTGACTTTGATAGCGTACCCTGGTCGTCCACGCTGGTACCGATGATCTGGGCAAGGGTGGCAACGAGGAGTCCAAGAAGACTGGCAACGCTGGTGCCCGTCCTGCCTGTGGTATGTTCTTTTCCATTGCTCGGTAGGGTGAAATGTGTTACTAACGAGATAGGTGTCATTGGCATTGCTGCTTAAATTGATATCCCACATTCAATTCACCATAGGGGATGATGTTTCTATTAGTATTATTTCCTGATCTAAAAACAGAGAAAAAATGAATGAAGGATTCTCTGATTGTATTCCCTGATTGATTCCTGATTGATTCCTGATTGATTCCTGATTGATTCCTGATTGTATTCTCTGCTTGTATTCCTGATGATATTCACTGGATAAATTGACAGCATATCTGCACGATGGACAGGATCCAGTACCAGAATGTGGCAATCCTTCCCTTGTCCCCTGAGTGATGTTCTGTATGATCTGATGAATTGACTGTTGTAGTCGTGGTGAAGTGGTGTAATTGTAGCTGTAGCTAGTAAGAAGAAAGGAGTCCCCACAAGTCAGGTGTTCCGGGAGCTTCTCCGTTCTAACCACGTTGCGCCTCCTCACTCCTCACTTCTCAGTTACTTCTTCCATTTCCTCCATTCCCTGTTCTCCTCTCCCTTTTTTTTCATTCCATTCCATTCTTTTCCTTCTTTATCGCCTTTCCCTCTTTGTTTTCCCCGTGTCGGTTTTTCCCCTTCAATACCTGGTTTTTGGTTGTTCACGGTCGGTCTTCCCAGCATGCCTTTGGAAGCCCGTGTGAAGTCCGTCCTTTCGGGCGACACGGTCGTGCTGTCGCATGTCTCCAACCCCGGACAGGAGCGCATTCTCAGTCTGGCCTATGTCTCTGCCCCCAGGTTACGCCGTGAGGGTGATGAGGTGAGTCAATTCCTGTTTGCTGTCCCCCATCTCTGATCCGGACCATGCCATTCAATGGTGGCCTGAGAATCACTCTTGGAAAAACATCCACCTTCCTGACTGTTAGCAACGCTGACTCGTGCCGATTGCCACTCTAGCCATATGCCTTCCACTCCCGTGAATTCCTCCGTGAGTTGCTCGTTGGCAAGGTCGTCCAATTCCACGTCCTGTATACCATCCCGACCGGTGCCAAACGCGACTACGGTACCATCAAACTCCCCACCTTCGATATCGCCCTCCCCGAGATCTGTGTTCAGGAGGGCTGGGTCCGCGTGCGCGAAGAGGCCGGCAAGCGCGCCGATGAGTCCGAAGACACCGCTGCCCTGCTCGAGCGACTCCGCGCCCTCGAAGACCACGCCCGCACCGAAGGGAAGGGCGTCTGGGCCGGGACCGACGGCCGCACCGAGACCACCTATGACATTGCCGACGGAAAGGCCCTCGTCAATGAGTGGAAGGGCAAACACCTGGAAGGTATCGTCGAGAAGGTGCTGAACGGCGACCGCCTCATCCTGCGCCTGCTGCTGAGCCCCCAGGAGCACCTGCAGGTGCTGGCCGCCGTCGCCGGCATCCGCGCCCCCGCCAGCCGACGCACCAACGCCGAGGGCAAGGAGCAGCCCGGCGACGCTTTTGGCGACGAGGCCAACCAGTTCGTCGAGTCGCGCATCCTGCAGCGTAAGGTGCAGGTCTCCCTGCTGGGCGTCACCCCCCAGGGCCAGTTGATCGCCAGCGTGCTCCACCCCAACGGCAACATCGCCAAGTTTCTCCTCGAGGCCGGTCTGGCCCGCTGCCATGACCACCACGCGCCCCTGCTCGGCGGCCAGATGGCCGACTATCGCCGCGCCGAGAAGACCGCCAAGGACGCCCGCCTCAAGCTCTTCCACGGCCTGGCCGCCCCCGGCGCCGCCCGCGGGGCCGAGGACTACGTCGTCAGCCGGGTGCTGAACGCCGACACCCTCTTCCTGCGCGACAAGGCCGGCCGCGAGAAGAAGATCAGCCTGAGCAGCGTCCGCCAGCCCAAGCCGTCCGACCCCAAGCAGGCCGCCTTCTCCGCCGACGCCAAGGAGTTCCTGCGCAAGCGCCTGATCGGCAAGCACGTCAAGGTCACCGTCGACGGCAAGAAGCCCGCCAACGAGGGCTACGAGGAGCGCGACGTCGCCACCGTCGTCCAGGGCAACACCAACGTGGCCCTGGCGCTCGTCGAGGCCGGCTACGCCTCGGTCATCCGCCACCGCCAGGACGACGACGACCGCTCCCCCGACTACGATGACCTGATGATCGCCGAGGCCGACGCCCAGAAGGAGGGCAAGGGCATGTGGTCGTCGCGGCCCCCCAAGGTCAAGCAGTACACCGACTACTCCGAGACCGTCCAGAAGGCCAAGATGGCCGTCGCCACCCTGCAGCGCCAGAAGCGCGTGCCCGGCGTGGTCGACTTTGTCAAGTCCGGTGCCCGCTTCACCATCCTGGTGCCCCGCGAGAACGCCAAGCTGACCCTGGTCCTGTCGGGCATCCGGGCTCCGCGCTCGGCCCGCAACCCGGGCGAGGCGTCCGAGCCGTGCGGTCAGGAGGCCCACGATCTGGCCAACCGACGCTGCCTGCAGCGGGACGTCGAGATCGACGTCGAGACCGTCGACAAGGTCGGTGGCTTCATCGGCACCCTGTACGTGAACAAGGAGAACTTCACCAAGACCCTCCTCGAGGACGGCCTGGCCACCGTCCACGCCTACTCCGCCGAGCAGTCGGGCCACGCCGCCGAGTACTTCGCCGCCGAGCAGCGCGCCAAGGACGCCCGCAAGGGTCTCTGGCGCGACTGGGATCCGAGCCAGGAGGCCGCCGAGATCGCCGCCGAGGAGGAGGCGCGCGCGGCCGGCAGCGGCCCCGAGGCCGAGCCCGTGCAGCGCCGCAAGGACTACCGCGACGTGATGGTCACCTACGTGGATCCGACCAACGCCCACGTCAAGATCCAGCAGATCGGCACCGGCACCTCCGCCCTGACGGAGCTGATGAGCGCCTTCCGCTCCTTCCACCTCACCCCGTCCAACGCCACCCCGCTCCCGGGCCCCCCCAAGGCCGGCGACTTCGTGGCCGCCCGGTTCTCCGAGGACGGCGAGTGGTATCGTGCCAAGATCCGCCGCAACGACCGCGACAACCAGACGGCCGAGGTGGTCTACGTCGACTTTGGCAACTCGGAGAGCCTGCCGTGGTCGGGTCTGCGGCCGCTCACCCCGGCCTTCTCCGTGCAGAAGCTGCGTCCCCAGGCCAGCGAGGCCGCGCTCTCCCTGGTGCAGTTCC